GTAAATTTTAGATGCAAGGAGTCCTAGATGTTCAGAAATGGCTACAGCATGTAACGTGTATAGGATTAGGACAGAGATCAACGTGTGCACAAAACTTAATTTGTTTGAAGTTCAAGTACCCCTCATATTTCTCGGAGCGGAGTGTTTCTCGACCTGCAGTGATGGACGTTAATGGCCTTTTTTTGGCTATGAAATATTTGCGGCTGATTTGGGATCCACGAAACTATAATTAGGTACTTCGAGTGCGCTAATAAGCCAAGCGGTGCTCTTGGCACGACGGGCAAAGGCCGTCACAAAACAGCGTCACAAACTTCCATTTTCAGCTGCATATTTACCCGAAACCTGCGTTGAGGTGGAATCTGGGAATAGGGTCTAGGGACGGAACCCATGCCCACGATAATGGGTTCAATTAGCACCTGGATCGAATACACTCATTTTAGAGATGGATAAGCGTAGAGTCAATCTAACGTTAGATCAGAAAATGGGAAATGTTCGACTCTCTACGGAAGAGAGTAACCAATCTCCCACGATTTCTTAAAAATTTTCTTTTCAAGTGTATAAGGCTCGCCAAAGCCCCCTGTCACCCTCGGCATAAACACTGCCATAGCCTCGCCAAACAAGCTAATTTTATTGTTCAATGCCACGGTTTGAAGCCAGGCTGGTAGCCATGCGAGACTTTCCCAATCAATGAGCACAACTTCCCAATCCTCTTTCTTCCCTTCAGCTCCTTTTATAGATCGAATAAGGATGTTGGTAAACTTAGGGTCCATATGGGTAAGTACAGGTTTAGAACCGCGTGTTTTCTCCAGGACTTCTTTGATTTGAGGCAAGAGCGCTTTCACATGGGGAAGATAGTCAGGAAAATCGCCAAAAGAATCTGCTCCGCGCAGCTCAGCAGAAGCATACATAGCCGAAGCGCACTCCTCGTAGGTTTCGTAGGGACCACACATGCCTCTAATATTAACCATAAAGCCGTGATAGGCGCCCCTTAAGGGTTGGTGATAGACTCGACCGTAGTATCCTTCGGGTGGAATGGCGCGGAGTCGTTGGAACTGCTCTGAAAGCTTTGAGCAGATAGTCTCCCGCGCGTGCTCATCTAGAGCAAGCCACTTTGCCTCGTCAAAAACCTCGCCTTCAATGAACTCAGTGACCATGTAGTGGACGTTAAAGCGCTCTCCAGGCTGGATGAAGGCGGCATACAGCTTTGGCGTGCGGACTTTGGAGTGTTTCTCTAGAAACAATAGGTTCTCAGCTTCCTGCACATAATTAACAACGGCCTAGCGAAATGTGTGGAGTCTTACCTGTAGTATGGCCCAGTCACTGCTTCTTTTAACAACGCATTTGCCGACTCTGCAAACTTTGAAGAGTCCGCCGGGCTGAGCTATTATATTTTCTCTCATTCCTTTTTCAATTTCGGCCATTGAAGGTATACCTGGGTGCTCGGGAGCTTCATACGGGAATTTGGTAACGACCACTTGGTCGGCTGACGGGCGATAGCGCTCGAAAGCTTCCCACTGGAAGTGATAAATCTCCTCATCGGTCGTGACACCATAATGCTCCAGTAGGACTTCATTTCTGGTGCGCATTTTAACGAGAGAGCCGAGGAATCAAGAAATTTCAAAACAAAACAGAGGACGAAGGCTGCTAGAATGAAAAGACTCTTAAGTACCGTCGATGAGCGCTCGCCTTCTTTATAGTAATTGACGATGGCTGGCTCAAGCCGCCTGAAAGAATAAAGCATCTCTAGCTGTTGTTGCCGGTTGCAGCAATACTTGATGCTACTCGGTTGGTTTCTTTGTGGTAATTGACAGGCTCAAGTCGCCTGAAAGAATAAAGCATCTCTAGCTGTTGTCGCCGGTTGCAGCAATACTTGATGCTACTTGGTTGGTTTCTTTGTGGTAATTGACAGTGGCTGGCTCAAGCCGCCTGGAAGAACAAAGCATTTCTAGCTGTTGTCGCCGGACGCAGCAACACTTGATGCTACTTGATTTGTTTTCAATTCTCTAAGGCTGGCTTCTTTGTGGTGCTCCTAACCTCATGATGGCGCCACTCGTCACATGCAGCTCTTTAGGCGCACAGCTTTGGCGGTCCAGATAAGCATTAACAACGGTCATCCACGGCCTAAATGAAAGTGCACTTCTCTTGCTTCGTTGCGCAGCAGCCCTCGCCGTCCGGGTGACTTGCATGGGTACAAAGTTCATAGCAAAGGCCATAGATAGTTGTCGATATTTGTAACCGATGGCCTTAAGGATCCAACCTAATGGACATGTCCGTAGGAGCCGAAAAAACCCAGTAAATACTTCCCGCTGCGAGAGCGAGCTTACAGCTCACGCCTGACACCTTCCACAAATATAAATCCATAGAGGAATTCCCAGACGCCCATGCAAAGAACAATGGTCAGCTCGGTGGTACGTCTCTCTATGTTCAACCTCTTCTTTTTCGCATATTCTTTTCATGAATCCCAAATATTCTATCCCAAACCTCTCGTCTCCTCATTTCGATTTTATAACCCTATTATCATCACTACAATGAGTGACACCTTCCAATCTTTGGTGTTCACTGATGGACGATAGCCTGGAGAGTAACACATCTACCTCTAATAGTGGCGAGAGGGAGGTCGAAAGAGAAGAGATCGGTGGTGCGAGGGGCATGGGGGTGGTAGTGGTGTTGGCGTGTAGCTCCAACCGTCCGAAGATGCTACTAGACAGACGCAAGCCTACGGAGAGGGAAGTGGTGTTGGCTGACAGATCCCTTGGTTTTGTAATAGCACAGGTATTCTCTGATACGAATACACTTTCCAGGGCCTACCTGTGTTCAAGACAGCCAACCGCGAATTCCCGTCCTAACAGACCAAGCCGCCACCTAGTCGTGCTGCCTAATAGGCGTAGCAGGCCTCACATCCCTATGGCGACGACTCCTAACGGTTAATTCCCGCAGTGCAGGTATTCTCGTAGGTGGCGTGGACTCATGATACTCAGAAGCCGGTGCGGAAGGCGGAGGGGCAGGAATCTTAGATTCAAACTCCTCAAAGTCTCGGCCTCGCGGTCCTCCGACGCCACCGAAGTTGAACTGCTTGGACGACTTGGAACGCCGAGGCGCTTGTCGAACTCATCGCAGGACCAATTGCGCTTGAATTGACCCCGTGATCTCCTTCGCTGGTATCGGTCTCGTCGCCAGGCACAGACCGTTGGAACCACGCCGCTCTTGACTCTGCGGAGTCGAAGATGATCACCATGCCAACCCCGTCGCTGCTGCGGAGGGACTCCATGGTGCCGCTCCTTGGAAGCCAGACTTCATTCTTCTGGTCGAAGAGGATGCGGGCTTCAGGGTTCAGACGGCAAGTATTCGTGAAAGGAGCGGAGCTGCCGAGAACAGGCTAGGCTTGAAGAGAGCTGGGCCAGTTACACGTGATATTTCTCAGCATCTTGTGGACCTCTGTTAGAGCTTCTCAAGAGGACTTGGGCACTTGAACTCCTGCACATGCGTGCTGGTCGAATGATCGTTTCAGTTCTCCCCAGATGCACTGTGAGGAGGCTTGGCCGCTGTCGGTTTACTGTACGAATGCCCAGGGCCGCAACGGCTGACCCCACCAATGAGCCACGACGTGTCCCCAGCCAGCCTTCAGCGCTGCAATTCACTCCCGCGACCACCGCCCTGGACATGTCTGCTGCGGGAACACCACACCACCCTGCCTGCTACTTGCTAAGGAGTCTGAGGCCATGGCAGAGATTGATATTGCTCCCCAGTTTGGAGCCGAGCTGAAGGTAAGCGGCCGCCCCGTCATGCGACAAGCCAAACTGATCCGGTGTGCCTCGACAGGATGGCTTCAAGCCCGTCAACGCCTGGGTATGTGAATCCCTTGCACCGCCTATATACTCCGCGTTTTGCGCCACCTCCGAGAACCTTCCTCCCGCTCTCATCCGCCCCGACAAACGCTAAACAGCACTCTGCTTAGGTTACCAACGGCATTGCATGGCTGGATGACATACAGCAGTTCTACCGCGAAAGAAGTTTGATCGAGAAAGACTATGCCGCCAAGCTCAAAGCTCTGGCCCAGAAGTATTTCGAGAAGAAGGCGAGGAAGTCGAGCAGCCTGAGTGTTGGTGACACTCCTACTGTCACCCCGGGCTCTCTCGAGAGGTACGTCACAGGCGCAAACACCGTGGCGGACTCTGCTAATAATATATCTACTCCACAGTGCTTCCATGACTACATGGGGTGTGCAACTCACCACCCTCGAAGGACGGGCCTCGGAACACGAAAGCTTCGCAACGTCCCTCATATCCAACATCGCCGACCCCTTGAAGAATCTGGCTACTCGCTACGAGGAGCTCCGGAAATACCACGCCGAGTATGCGGCAAAGCTGGAGAAGGAGCGCGATGGCACATATGGAGACCTACGAAAGATGAAGGGGAAGTATGACAGTGTTTGCCAGGAAGTGGAGAACCGCCGAAAGAAGACCGACTCCTCTTTTGATCATGGGAAACAAAAAGCGCGGAATGCTTTTGAACAACAGCAACTAGAAATGAGAAACGTCAAAGTAGGTCTTCGTTTCTCGTTTCTTGTGCGACGCTGACTGTTCAGAACACATATGTGATTACGATCAACGTTACGAACAAGCAAAAGGAAATGTACTACCACGAGTACGTTCCCGAGCTTCTTGATGTAAGATTCGGCTCTACAAATGTCCTTATGATTGCAGATATTGAAGTCAGTCTAGAGCCTTCAGGACCTATCTGAATCCCGCGTAGCCAAGTTGAACGCAATATGGTCTACTGCTGCTCAGATCGAAACATCAACCCTGACAAGAAGCACGAGACTCGTCGAACATCTTTCTGGAGAAATTCCCAGGAACAACCCACTGCTAGACTCGATGATGTTCGTTAGGCACAACGCTGGATCCTTCCAAGAACCCGGCGACTTCCAATTCGAGCCAAGCCCAGTTTGGTTGGATGACGGTAATATGGCTACTGATGAAGCGGCGAAGGTCTTTTTACGGAACGTTTTAACGAAGAGCAAAGGTCAATTGATAGAATTCCGCCGTGAACTCGACAAGAAACGAAAGGAAGTCGAAAACGCCAAAAAGGTCCGACAGAACATACGAGATGGCAAAGATAAGCGTGACGAGGTCGAAGTTGTCCGCGCTATTTTTGCTCTCCAAGAAGGAACGCATGAAGTAGAGCGGCAGAAGGTTACTGCAGAAGTTGAGGTGTCGACCATCACATCAAATGTGGGAGACGTCAGCATCGGGGCGAGTGCGCACAAGTTCAAGTCGCAAACGTTCAAGATACCAACGAACTGTGATCTTTGTGGGGAGCGTATATGGGGGCTATCCGCTAAAGGATTCGACTGTCAGGATTGTGGATACACTTGCCATAGCAAGTGTGAGATGAAAGTCCCAGCAGACTGCCCGGGCGAACAGAGCAAAGACGAAAAAAAGAAATTGAAGATAAAACGACAGGCGACGGCAAATGCTGCAACGCCAGCCGCCAACGGAGGCGCCTCAGAATCACAAACCGATATGCCTCGCATGAGCAGAAGCGACACTGTCAACTCGATGAACACGCTTAGCTCAGGATACTCCGCAACGGCCCATCGATCGATATCTGGCGCCGTGTCACCTACAGACGAGAACCCTCCGGAAAGAGGAGGAACAGTCAAAGCCGCGCCTGGCCCTCGACGTAACCGCGTCGTGGCGCCACCGCCAGCGCAATACATCAAAGAAGATGATGATATAGCAAGTAATGCTGGATCTTCAAAGGCTGCGGAGCAGAAGGGCAAGATGCTGTACGCGTATCAGGCGAACGGCGACGGCGAAATCAGCGTGAGGGATGGCTTAGACATCACGATACTAGAGCCTGATGGTAAGCTCTCTACCGCTCTGCCATGTACCGCCCCATACTAACCTTCATAGATGGCTCCGGCTGGACCAAAGTCCGCGCTGGTGCCCTCGAGGGCCTCGTGCCCGCCGCCTACGTCGAGGTCGTTCCGCAAACACCGCCCTCGTCTCTCTCCACCATCAACCGCCCAGACTCAACCTACTCTGCGTCCTCTGTCTCCCTCGCCGGCAGCATCACCGCGCCGGGAAAGAAGAAAGGCCCAGCCGTGGCGCCGAAGCGTGGCGCGAAGAAGCTCAAGTACGTCGAGGCGTTGTACGACTATAAAGCGCAGAGCGACGCCGAGCACAGCATGACCGAGGGCGAGCGGTTCGTGTTGATCAACATGGATGCCGGGGAGGGGTGGGCGGATGTAGAGAGAGGCGGGTTGACGAAGAGCGTGCCGGCGAATTATATTCAGGAGGTGTAAGATGAGGGGAGCGTTGGAATAGTGGTTAGCGAATAGCGGTAAGCGGTGAGCGGTTTTACGACAGTAGTTGGATGAGCGAGCTTAGTCATGGATTGGGGACGCGGTTGACTTGCATTTCGTCGCTGCGCGTTCTGTTTCTAAGGGAGCCTAAAATTCGGCAAGTGGGGTTCATGCGGGGATTGAGTTTGCATTGGTTGGCTAGGGTTTGGAAAGCGGAGGTTTGATAGAAGATGTAGCATTGTTCGTTTCTTGCTATTCCAAGGCTTTTCCAGCATGGTTTCGATGAATGATCCTACAAATGTGGTTGCGACTTCAAGGATGTTAGGAGTGCTGCTACATCAACACCACCGCCACCGCCACCACCCGCCCGTCCGTCCGTCCGCCCCCCTTCTAACTCCCCCGTCTACACACTCCTTCGGCCCCTCTTGTTGAAACAGAAGAGGAGGCTTAAAGGGCGCCTCGAAGGGGGATCGGTTGATTGCAGTCTAGGGGGGGAGGGGGGGTTAGTCGCCCGACACGGTGGTTCTCAGCAGCAGAGAGAGACGTGTGAAAGCAAACTTCGATCGTTACCCTAACTCGTATCCATTTGACGTGAGCCCGCTTTAAGCATTAATTTCTAGGTCGTTTGGCGAGAGGCCTGAAATCGAGTCCAGGGTGTTGGGTTCGGGCTGAGGCAACCTCTGCGGAAAGACGGACGGAGTTTTTTTGTGAGAAGTTTTCACATTATCGAACCGCGTGCGAAAAAACTCTTTAGTTAGAACGCGGAGGGTACGCCACCCCCCCCGCGGGGGGGTAACGCGGGCGTGGTCGGCTTTATGTGACTAGAAGACCTTTTGAAAGGGCTCGTGAATCAGGTGGGCGAATTTTAGGTTATAAGAGAAAGATGTTGGGGCACGTTTATGAAGAAGTGGTGGGGTTCTGTTGGAAGCTTTTACATATTGAACCGCGTAAGAGATGTTTTGCTAGACACGGAGGCTGCGCAGTGTGGTTGCTTTTAGCTACTAGTTAAATGACGGAGATTGGGAATTATATTGACGTCAAGACGATGTGGAAAGGTTGCAGAGGTACCTCTGGAAAGAAATAGCAGAGCATGGGCACTTGTTTTTCCATATTCAACCATGTAGGAAATTTATTGTTAGGCGCGGAGGGTACATCGCGTAGTTGCCTTTGCTGCCAAGGGAATGACCTTGGAAATCGGATCAGAGTTAAAAGGATAGAAATAAATAGCTGAGGCGCTTCCGTGAGTAAGTAGTGTTATCTTGTCGCAAGTAGTGACATATTAAATCGTGCAAGATATATCTTGTTAGACGCGGTGGCCATGCGGAGGCTACACAGTGTAAGCTTTTTTAATTGAGAGGAAGGGTCTGTGAATCAGGCCAGCGTCCAAAGGATCATAAAAGTCTGCCAAGCTCTCTCCGTAGAAAAACAGTGCCCCTCTGTCGTAAGTTGTTAGATATTGAACCGTACTAGAACTTTTCCATAGACGCGGAGGCCACGCAGTGTGGACTGGGTGTAGTTGCTTTTACCCCACAATCAGAGCCCCTAAATCAGACTGCCGTCAAGAACACGATAAAAAGGTGCTGAGGCTCCTCCGTGAAGAGGTTAAGTCGTCTGTTACAAATTTTCAAACATCGAACCGTGCATCTGGAATTTTGATAGACGCGGAGGGTAGACAAAGGCCACACTGCGTGGCTCTTTCGCACAACGCAAGTGTCGGGGTCGATATCCTGGTTCTCGGAATTATACATTCTCTGCAAATGCCACGTTCGTGGACCCTGCAGAGTTGTTGCCATGCCAGGATTCCAGAACAGAGGGTTCTGCCAATGAAGCTTGAAGGAATTTCATTGCTACTGGATTGGAAGCCTGGGGCAAATGGACTCGTGGAACATGTATACCAAGCCCATGAAGCAGGAAGACCCCACACACTTGCACATATTGACACCGCGACACGGGAGAGTTCGTATTTGGACTTGCGGTGTGCTGGATTGGTCACTCAACTTGCTGTATATCTTCTTGGCCCAATGTTGTGTGATGTTTGCAGATAGTGCTGTTACTAGTGGCTATCGAACATCACGCCACTCAGGATGAAGTAGCATTCGCCTCGCGTCGGCCATGTTCGTGGATGCCGTTTGCTTTTCCCGGAGTGACACGAATCGGAGGCTAGAAAGGTCGACCACGTTCCACTCGGCACTTTTGGTGGTGGCAGATATTACGCCGGGACGATGGCGCTGGGCGGGGAAATGAGTGTTGAACAATGAGACTTAGAGGGAGTGACGATGACATATGATACAAAGTGATTTGGATGCTCCGACAGTGAATTGGTGTATACACAGAAAGCACACCTACGTACGTGGCTTGGCGTATGGAGCTTCCATGCGTGAAGGATGAGCAAGCATTACCTACGTCCCCGAAGCCCACGACGTGCAGGAGAAGCCACGGCCCTACGTCCCAATATGGGCGGCTTCTAGTAGAGATGAAGCACAACACCGGCCCACGCCAAACCCATGACGAATCGTGGGACCCAGTTGCCATGACCCCGGCGGCGGAACGCGTGTTTCCTCTTGGTTGAAGCAGAGACTGGACACAAGCACAGAGACAGAGCGACTTGGTGCGACGCGTGCCGGCCACGCCACATGCAAGAGCAGCGATGCAGACCAGGATGACGTGGGCGCGAGATGAGGATGGCCGAGGGGAAGATGGGTTTTGCGGGGTGAGTGAATTGGTGCCAGGAGGCCTGTCTGGCCCCGCCCACACAGCGAGTCACAGGCGTGCCCAAGCCGAGGATGAACGAGACGCAATTTGGGCCGTCTCGAAACCGGCCCGTGGCCTCGACGAGCTGCCGAAAGGAGCGCGACTTGCCAGAGATCGCTACGCTTCGCGTCTTATCGCGCGACCCTGGCGGACGACGCCCCTATTGCGACAGGGCTGCCGGCGATCGCTCTGCGGGCCTTCTGCAGGCGAGGCGGTGCAGTGTCTGGCCATCTCGGGCCTCGCGAGGTGGGGGAGGGCAGCGGGACGGGGCAGCGAGACGGCATTCCAACTGGCATTCCTTCTCCGGAATGTCCAGACGTCGCTGTGGAGGCACAACAGGGTCCAGAAACGGCTTGCTGCCAGCGCAGGTACGCTGCCGCCGTGATTGGACGGTCGGGAGGCTTGCCGCAACTTCGGCCTGCTGGCTCCACACTCGGGCTGCTGGTTGGCCGGCAACGGGGCCCGCTCCTTGGCGATCGACAGCCACCTCGAGATGCCTGTCCACGTCGTTGCGGCAGCCTCAACTCCTGGCCCGCGAATGTCACGATACCCTCACTTGCCTCCCGGGGTCTGGCGCAGCGGTGTCGCACACACGGCCTGAGAATGCGCCAACACGATGGCATCGCGCGCTCGCCGCCCGGTGCACGGCGCCGCGGCCAGTCTGCCGTGCCATGTCATGTCGCGGGGAGTAAATAGATACCATGTCGGCTCGCCGCGAGCGTCGCCAGCTTCCGGCTTCTTGCTAGCCTGCAGCACTGCCCGTTGCTGCCGGCGCTCTCATCGGCGCTGCAATTGACAGTTGACGCTTCACCACAGCCCAATCCACGCTCCCTCAGATCGATTGGCGACTGGCGATTCACGCGCGGTGCAGCCTCGTCCGCGCGCTGCTCATCTTACCGTCTGCAATTCCGCTGCCAACGAGCCCTCCACGCCCTCTGCTCGCCGTGGCCGCAATCACGCGCGCCAGCGGCCGTCCAATCTCGTTGGTGGCCGGCTGTGCGTCCACTTTGTGCGCCCGGCCCCCCCTGTCCAGCGTGTTTGTTTCCCCTGACGCTAGCCCGAATCGCGGCCCACTCATCTCGCCGCCTCAACACCACCTCGCTCCCTCTCCGCCTCCTCTTCCATGCTGCAGTGCAAGGTCAACCTCTCCATCGCGACACACCCGGCCGCATTGTTTTTCGCATTCCACCAACTCGGAGCCTAGTCTCCCATTCACTCATTTGGAACGCCTTGTATCGATAATATCCAAGTCACTCGTTCACCGCTCCCCCCGAGACCAGCAGCCCTCAGTTCCCGCCTTGCCAGCCCCATCTGAAAGCTCTCAATACCCAACGTCAGTGCTGTCTGCTCGTCTTGCGCAATTGTCACGCCTCTACTGACGCTCCTCCTCCAGCTCGCCATCAGCAGCCGTCGCTCCACGCCATCTGACACCACAACCCGTCGCTATGAAGCTCGCAACCGTCGTCCTCTTCGCAACTGGCGCCATGGCTGCCGCCAAGGTCCATCGCCACCGTCACCGCCATGCTCCTCCCGCTCTGCTCAACCGCGAGGCCAACCCCAACGTCGTCACCGTCGTCGTCTACATGCTGGATGGCGTTTCAATCTCCGAGGCCGAGGTCCAGGAGGGCATCAAGAACGGCACTCTGATCTGGGGTGACGATGGCGCCCCACAGGTTGCCTCCACTCCTGCCTATACCCCTGCCTACACTCCGACTCCTACTCCCAGCTCCGCTGCCATCAAGGTCGAGGCCTACTCTCACTACGTTGCGCCCTCCAGCGTCGTCGCCTCGAGCGTCGTCGCCCCGAGCGCTGCGCCTGCTCCCTCCGCCGTCTACAGTGGAGGAGACGGCTCCGAGGGCGTTGACACGCCGTTCCCCACTGGCCTTCCATGCACCAAGTTCCCGGAAGGATATGGCGCTGTTAAGAACACCTACATGGGTCTGGGTGGATGGATTGGCATCCAGAATCCCGGTGGAACTGCCATGGGAGCCACCGGCTTGGGCTACACCGACATTGCTACGATCCCCAAGGGTTCTTGCGAGGATGGCTCTTGCGTCAAGGATGGAATGTTCGTGTCCTACAACTGCCCTCCCGGGTACAGCAAGTCTTCCTGGCCCAAGATGCAGGGTGCCACTCTCCAGTCTGTCGGCGGTCTACTCTGCAAGAACGGCGAGCTTGAATTGGCTGATGGCGCTATCGCGAAGACTCTCTGCGTCAAGGGTACCGATAAGGTCACTGTCAAGGTCCAGAACACGATGAGCAAATGCTCCTCCATCTGCAAGACCGACTATCCTGGTAACCTTCCCATCTCGAAACTAGTTCAAAGTCTTTTTACTTACATGCTCAGGCACCGAGGGCGAGACCGCTGGAGTCTATATTGCAGGCGGCGAGACACAAGAACTTTTCTGCCCCAACAAGGACGAGTACTACTTCTGGGACGGCAAGGGCACTTCTTCTCAATACTACGTGAATCCCGCCGGCTATGAACCGCAGGATGCTTGCTGGTGGGGTCAACCCGGAAAGCCACTGGGCAACAACGCACCCATGAACATTGGTGTGGGATACAACCCGGTCGATGGAAATGCCTACATCTCCCTCTTCCAGAACCTTCCCACCAACTCCGTGGACTTCCTCGACTATACCGTGGAGGTCACCGGTGACACCGTCAACGGTAAATGCAAGTACTCGAACGGCCAGTACTGCGCCGGCGACGACTGCAATACCGGTGCTGGATGCACTGTAAGTTGAATCAACACCAATGTCTTCGGATACAAGCTAATGTACCCAAAGGTTGCCGCGCACGGAGGTGAGGTCATCATCGTCCTCTCATAATCGCAGCCAAGCGCATAGTTGGTCTTTACGCAGTATACCCGACCTACGACCGCGCCTTTTGTTACTTGTTATTGCATTCTTGTGGGTCCAATCGACCGATACGTTGACGACATGGGTTTCGAGGGAAGCAACCCGCCAATTTCTTTTCGGATTACAGGAATTACGAATGTCTGAGAATACTCTCGCATTTCGGAATTTCTCAACTGTGTCTGGAGACACTTTCAACAAGGATCTTTCTTACGTCCAGTTCAAATCGCACCGATGGCCTCGGGTGAACCCTCGTGGCCATTGTCTGCTAGAGAAAAGGCTCGTATCATTGATCTTTGGCGGGTTTGGGGGCGTTCGGTTGTCCAATGCATTTTCATGACGACATCTGTATCGCATTCATCCCGACCACAGTTTTCTCTGCTGGCATTGATGAGAAACCTTCTGAGAAGCGATCAGTTCCTCTTACTTTCTCTTGTATCTGTTCATGCTCTTCCCTTCGCCGGAACCACCCGACAAAACAACCGCCACCCTTATGCCCCCTTGATGCGATTACTTGCTTGCGTTGCCTGCGTTCCCTTTGTTTTAGTGTTTTACCTTACTTGCTGTCTATGCTTTTCCCCCACCCAGCGAATTACTGTTTATATAGGGCGGCAACGTCGCGCGTCAGACCGGACTTGCTGCCTGTCCGTCTGTCGAATGGGGCGGAAGGGCAGGAGCATAGATGTCTATGGCCAATGGGGACGGGTATGGCTTGATTGGCTGCTGCGATCTCAATGTATAATGTTTTTTCTTCTTGATATTATGTGTGTGCGATTGCTTGGTGGTTGACGAGTGACGTTGATTTGGGTGACCGGAGTAATACAATTAATAAGATTGATGGGGCGTTTGCAGAAGAGTAGATTAGGTGAAGAGAACGCGTAGAGGTAGACGGGAGAGAGGGATATCTTATACGTCGAGGACGGAAAGAAAGATGACGGCTGGTTTCATCCTCAAAGATTACCAAGGGAGAGTCAGTCGGAAAGGTGCGATGAAGGGCTGCATGAGAAAATGAGGGATACGCAAGAAGAACGCCCATGTTTCATGCCCCACCGAACCCCAAATAACTTCATCTTACAGATCGACCAGGGATCCAGGCCAGGATTGACCGACTTCCAGGATCAATGTTGGTGTTTCGTTGGGTCTGCCTCTCACCCCGCTATCTTCAGTTCTCGACCGCAGCACGCCGTTTCCCCCCCCGCTATTGATGCCTGGTGCACTGCCTCAGAACCTCACCGCCGCATGATAGGCCATACATCATTGCGCATAGATAATGCACTGCGACGGCCGTGAACAGGTGCTTCCTTCTATTCCATATCATCTCGGCTTTCTCAACGCCCCCATTCCAGTTCTTTCGTTCCATCTCGTTTTCTTTTCAGAGAGATTTTCCATCCTACTCCACCATCTATTTGAAGCCTGACGACATCCGGCCCCCAATTAGACCTGCGAAGGCTCTTTGTAGAGAGCATCACAAGACGGGGCGGGACATCCTCTCTTCCACCCTTCTCGTGTCTCAACCCGAACAGCGAGAATCATGGCCAGCATCTCCCTGGGCGAAATCGCCTCGATAACTAAGAAGGCGTTGGAGATTATCAATGCGCTTGCGTCTGCGCCTGCGGACCTTAGGAAGGCACAGGTGAAGGTATTATTCATCCCCCTAATCTCTTTAGCCACCCTTCTTCTCTTGAAGTAACTCATCTATACACGACTTTCCGTCCCCGTACCCTCCCATCCCCCCAGTCCACCTTTCTATCTCTCTGCCCCCGCCTCCCCCTCTCCCTCTCATCCTCCCAACCCACCCCTAACACCCCCCAGGTCTCGGCCCTAAAAATCTATCTCAGCGCCATCTCCCGCGAACGCGCCAACCCGGCCTCCAAGATCAACAAGACGGCCTCGATCCGGCGCGACGCGGAGCTGCTGCTCGGCTTCTGCCTGGCGCAGCTCGAGGCCGTGCACGCCATCAGCCGCAAGTACGCGGGGAAAGGCGCGACCATGGACCTGTGGACGCGCACCAAATGGATCGCGGGCGACTCCAAGGCGTGGGCCGAGGCGCTGAGCGAGCTGGAGGAGCTGCGCGTCGAGTTGCGCGAGTATGTGCGGGACGTGAGTTTTCGGGCCCCTCCCCCATCCCTCCTCCTTCCTCCCCCCTCCCCCCGTTCCCAATCGTACAGAAGTAATGGATAAGGGATGCCCAGCTAAAACAATTTTTTTTTCTGCTTCAAACAGGTCTGTATTGGAGTCATCGGGGTGAATGCGGTTGAAGCCGCGCTGGATGATACCGACGACGAGGAGAAGGCGGTCGCGACGGCGATTGCGAAGAAGAACCGCAAACACCCGCGCGCCGTGTCGGCCGAGGAGCGCGCGGAGCTCGTGCAGTTCGCGCAGACGGTCAAGGCGCAGCGGACGCCGAAGCCGAACCCGAATGGCGGCGGGAGCGCGAAGCCTAAGCCGAAACCTAAGGGCAATGCGGCACGGTTGGAGTGCTGGGTGCTTCGCACGACTTCTTCTCCGACTGGCGTGACGAAGACGTGGAAGCAGGAGAAGCGCGCGCAGTGTACGCTGAGGCAGACGGCGAAGGAGTGGAGGGAGGCGGCGGGGCCGAAGACGATTACGGCGGGGAAGGATGAGTGGGTGCAGGGGTTGCTGAAGGCGAAGAATGGGGCGGAGAAGGGTGGGGAGAAGGCGAAGTGGGTGTTTGTAGTAGGGCGGGTAGTGCAGCGCGGGTTTGTGGGGTTTGGGCTCGCGGCGACGGAGACGGTGATGGTGGTTGTGAGGAGGGAGGTGCCGATGCCGAAAGCTCTGAAGAATGTGGAAGGTAAAGGGAAAGAGGGTAAGGGGAAAGGTACCAAAGACAAGGATGGTAAAGAGAAAGATGCTAAGGAGAAGAATGGCAAGGAGAAGGATGGCAAGGAAAATGGTGCAAAGGGGAAGGAGAAAGATCCGAAAGAGAAGGATGCCAAGCAAAAAGATCCTAAGGAGAAGGACGGAGACAAGAAAGCCAAAGAGAAAGACCCTAAGCCGAAAGATCCTAAAGACAAGGATGAGAGTAAGCCAAAAACACCTCCCGCGCCCAAGAAGTCGCAAACCGACTGCCAATACGGCTCAGAGTGTACAGCACTGGACTGCAAATACAAGCACCCACAGCGCGGGCCATGTCGGTACGGCGAAGATTGCAAGAACGACAAGTGCGGGTTTGAACACGGTGCGCGGCAGTGCAAGTTCAAGGTGTGCCGGAAGGCTGGGTGTACGTTTAAACATCGGGCGGGGCAGAGGGGGAAGGTAAAGGAGTCGACCTGATTTGGCACAAAGATTGGGTGAAAGTGGACTGCAGCGTCTACAAGTGTGATCGGAGGTTTTAAGTGGATATATGTTCTTGTAGCGTCACTTTAAGGGGAGCATCTTCTATAAGATGGGCATGTTATTGTAGTATATGTCACTACGAGTTGAAGTAGGGATGGCCTAGCAATATGTCTGCTTTTCTGATACCTGTAATCTTGAATGCTAGGTGGTTCTCGGCGAAGAGATGTGGGAATGCCTGTAGACACTGGAGAGGGGGATTTCCACTGTTGTCTTACCAAAACCATTTTTCATGTAGACTTTTCAAAGGCAGGTGCAGCACCACACGACAGTGATAAACTAGATCAAAGCCGACCCAACTCCTCACGTCCTATATATAGCTGTGGAACGGTCCATTTCCATCAATCATACTGTCTCATCGAGTAAGTCTCGGCGACTAAAGGTGTTAAGTCTCGAAGGGGTTATGAAGCTTCCGTACCGTGTCGCCCGGATTCGTTGCGAGTCTTCGATAGGAGATTTCGATTTGGGGTGTGCGTCAAACGACATCGCTATTGAGCTGGGAATCAGACCTCCGACAACTGGACGGGAAAGGACCCTGCGAATCAGGCTGAACTTGGAGAGAAAAGGCGAAAGGTCAAGAATCCGACCTGATATTCCTTGGTGCTGTGGACACCCCGAAAGATGTTCGAGGGCCACTTCAACAGACCCAATGTTTCGCCAAATGTCGTCGATTCTTGACTGAGTCTTTTGATCGCGTGTGAGAAAAGCGAATGGATAGAAAAGTTTTTTCTGGGCCGGGATATCAATTCCCGACGCCTGCATTTCCCATTCATCCAAGCATACTCCTCTTCCGCCCTCTCATCCTTACATCCTCCAGCCTTCTCAACACCACCTTCGCCCCTTTATAGCTCTCCCCATATGTCCTCAGCACCTCTTGAAACAGCGGCTCCGCGACCGGATGCGTCGCCGCAAACGCGCGCTCTAGCACATACAGATCCACCGCCCGATCCTCATCCTGAATCGACTGCGTCGCAAGCCCAAAGTCAATGAGCACAATATCCCCAGCTAGACTCCGAAGGTCCGCCGGACTATCCTCTTCTCCCGTCTCCTCGCTCGCCGAGGTTTGATTTAAACTCGATTCCACATTCAGCACGCCCTCCCGCTGCGCCGAAACCGTCCCCAGTCCCCTCGCCAGACTCTCCCCAACACTCTCCACCGAGAAATGCTCTCCCCCATTCTTCTTCTTCTTCTTGCCCTCCGCCCCCCTCACCATCAAATTGCTCGTCGTCAAATCCCCATGACAAACCCCAATCTCATGCATCCTCCCCACGGCCCTGCCCACCCTCCCCATCAACCCCATCAACTCCCCCTCCCCCTCCTCCCCCCGCTTCCCCACCCACTTATCCAAAACCCGCCGCACCGTCGCCCCCTCGACCCACCCCAGCCCCAGCCACCCCTCGTCGGCGCCCAGCGCCACCACGTCCGGCACCAGCACGCCCTCTTTCCTACACTTGACCAAGACTCTGGCTTCGGCGAGCAGGCGCTGGCGCGTGAGGCGCCGGTCGAGCAGCGGGTGGCGGTACGGCTTCGGCGGGCGGTACTTCAGCGCGACGGGCGTGCGGGAGTCGAGCAGCGTCGTGTGGAAGACGAGGGCTTCGGCGCCTTGGGTCAGCAGCCTGAGGGCGCTGTGCGAGAAGGGCGGCGGGAGCGGCAGCGGGGTAGATGCGCCGACTAGGGGGGGTTTTGTTGGGGACATCGCGCCGAGGGTGGGAGGGGTGTGTGTGTGTGTGTGTGTGTGGATTGCGGGGTTTGCTGAGGTTTGAGGGAGTGACCGGGACGTTTTAGAGGTTGTGGGTGTTTGTTTCTGAGAGGGAGGAGAGGTGAGGTGTGGAGGTTGATGGGTTCTGATATTTTGGGCTTGGCGGGGTTGTTGGAGCGGGATTCTGGCCCCACTATGGCGGGGGTGCTTCAGTGGTATGCAATCGACCGCCAGAAAGACAGATAATATGAAGATTGGAGCACTTGCAATCCGTGGCACGAGTTTTTGGATGTGCCCGGAGGGTCTCCCACAGTCATCAATATTGTCAAAGGCGTCCATCACAAGTTCAAACACAGCAAAATCAGCATAATCCACCAGATTGTGAGAATGAGTGTGTTCGCATTTATCGTCCTACATGCCGCCTTTCCCTTCACCATTCATTTTGCAAATGCCCGTCTTATGCCTTGACCCTAATCCGCCCTAAACTGGATCCCCTCAGAAAGCAGAAAAGCCAAAAACAGCAACACCCACCCATCGCCATAACATGCCTTGTGCGAGAAAAACAGCCAAGAAGAGGGGAGAAGGATGAAAGATAAGAAAAGGAGTGCAGGAAGACCTCATAGCCGCAGGCCAGCAGGTTTTCCTTTTTCAAGAAGAAAATCAATGCATCCTCCTTCCTCCTCCCTCCCTCCCTGGGGCCTCTCGGGGAATCCCTAGTATAAAATCCGCAGGGTTGTTGTCTGTCGAGTAACTGACTCAGGCAGACCCATGATTGCAATCGAGGCAAGAAATGAAAAGAACCACGAGACCGCATGCTCATTAAAACAAGGATCACGTAACACAAGGAAAATGGGGTGTCGTGAAGAAAGTGAAAGAGTAAGGGGAGCTGCCAAAGCTTGAAAGAGCCGAGGAAACGAAGAAGAAGAGTCGAGGAAACCGCGCGTTGTTGCCGCACGGGTTCGCACGAGACAGAGTTAAACAAGTAAGAAAATCATGATGATTGGTCGTTAAGTTAAAACATCGACAGTATGAACAAAGAAGAGACTCTGGACTCGAGATCTACCCGATCCAGGCTTCGATCCTCCCCTAGTACATGGAGCTCTTGCGCTTCTCGGCGCTCGTCAGCACGAGCATGGGCATCTTGCGACGCTCTTCCGGGACCGGCTTGACGTCCTCGACGCAGATCTCGACCAGTCCTCCGCCAATGGATCCCTCGTCGCTGCTAACGCTGTTGGCAGTGTAGCGGCCATCAACGCTTGTCCTGTCGCGGGAACGCTCTTTCAGCTCCTTGCGCTCAGATCCGATGGCGCCGTTGGCAGCAGCGCGGAGGCTTCCAATGCTGGGTTTGCCCGAAAGGCTGCCACTTCCACCGCTGTGCACGCTGTCGGAATCGTTGTCGGAGGACAGCGAGAAGCCCATATCGGATTCGCTGACAGGCGTCATGCTTCCACCGCTGCCAGTGCGAACCCCACGGCGTTCAATCCCAGCGCGAACCAGACTGTGAACAGCACGACGGCGTTGACGGGTCGCAAAATTCTTGCTGCCTTCATGCTTTGTGGTTGGGCTAGCCTGGAGCTCCTCGAGAGGTGGAGGGCCACGGGGCTGACGGACTGGATGTTCACCGGCACGTGCCTGGCCAGGTCCGAAAGTGCCGGTCATCGGTGTCTGGGGGAAACCAGTTCGGGGCGTGAATGCCGACTTCGGTCCATCGCCCGGGAGGTCGCTGGAGTTTGTGCTGAGGGCAAGAGATGACACCATCTTCTTGTGGCCGCGGCGGAACGCGTTGGCGGAAGGGGGAGGCAGGGGCACAACATCCTGAGGTGGGCTGGGCGACTTCTTCGGGGGAGACGAGCTGCGATGATCGAACGGGTTCGAGTTCATCTCGGCGGGCGGAGATACCTCGGCACGGAAGGTTGGCGTGTTGGACTTCGGCGGCGAGTTGGTGTAGCTGGGAGTTGGCGGTGGCGGGGAACTGGCAAGCAGGCTGGCCAGCTGCTGCTGCATATTGCCTCCATTTTGCTGTGCTTGTTGGTAAGCAGGGTCGACTACGTAGTTATACTGGCTAGTCATGGGGTTGAACACAAGATAGACACCCGGCTGCCCCGTTTCCAGAGACTGGGGGGTGTTCATGCTCATCTGCTGGCTGTAGAAGTTGTTGCCTGGGGTGTAGGGCGTGGCAGGATACTGCTGAGATTGGCGCATTCCAGCGGAGCCAATGTTCATGCCCTGGAATTGCTGGGCAGTCAGACTCAGAAGCTGTTGCTGGAGCTGCTGCTGGCGTTGCTGAAGATACATCTCCGTAGCCATGAGCTGGGCAACAACATCGGGATCCATCTGTTCGTTGTCGAACTGGACTGGAGGAGGAGCCAGCACTTGCTCTGTGGGAGAGAAGATCTGCTGGTTCTGTCCGTATTGGTTGCGGCCAGCTGACGAGAACGAAGATCCAACGGCAGTCTGAGGGCCGCCCTGGTTAGCTCCGCCGTAGGCCTGTCCAGAGTATCTCGACGAGTCCAATCCTCCAAATCGCTGCTGGTTGTAAGGAGCGGAAGCTGGAATGCTCGAAGGGGTGCGAGGCTCCTTGCGGAGGTTGGCAAGCAGGTGGCCTCTGCTAGTGCGAGGAGTAGGGTTTTCGACCTGATGCTCGCTGATGGACGAGATCTTGGGCGGGGAGGCGACACTGAGACGCTTGAGCTGAGAGCCCTTGCCGCGAGAAGCAAAACCAGCACCGGGAAGGCCGAGGCCGCCGTTCGGCTGGAAGTTGTTATATGTCATCTGAGCGAGACCGCCTGCGTCCATGCTCATTATGGGTGGTCCGGGAAGTTGTAGTGAAGAAGGTAATGCTGTGGACGGTATGACGAGGGTGTCTCAGGAAAGATACGGATCAAGCGAGACAGCCGGCAGGAACAAGCACTGAGGGTTGGCGGAGCTGAGGGAGTGTTTGACGCGCTGAGGGAGGAGCCTGGGCGCGGGTGGAGTTCTTTGTTGTAGCACGAGAGGGTTTGCCGGCAAGGCAGCCGTGGAGGTTGTCGATGAAAATTAGATGATTAAGGATCGTAGGATCGATCGAGGTGATATGTAGCAAAAATGGTAAGGCCGGCCGACGATGTTCGCAGGAGTGTGGACGGGTCGCAGGACCAGCAGAGGCGAGGCAGCGGCGAGCGCGTCGGCTGGGCGGCGAAGCACGTTGGAGGACACGGGCAGGCCGGATAAGGGGCAGAGAAGTGAAGCACGATGGAGCTGCGGGGATTGACAAGTGGATACAGAAAGAAGCCGCAAAGACGGGATCTACTCGGGGCTGGCCTGGATGGGCGGGCTTGCTTGCTCTGCAAAGCACGGTATTAAGGCTGCAAGCCAGGTGGAGGGTATGTAATAAGATGAAGGGCAAGCTGGGAGGCAAGCTGGTGAAGTAGAGAGCGAGGGGGAGGGGCAAGGAGCGGCGGCGGGCCGGATGAGTGAAGGAGGGGAGGTGGGAGAGGGCGAGTGAGGGAGCAGACGAGGAGGTGGTGATGGATGGGGGAGAGGATGCAAAATGGGAACTGGGACGAGGCCGAAGCGGTCAAGGGCGCTGGAGCCGGCGCGGCATTGGCGACAACACTAGCCGGGATTGCGGCCAGTGAGGGCGTCGCGCAGCCCAGCTGCCCCCTTATCCACGGGCGCCCGCCAGCGAATCGCGCGCCGTGCTGGTGCGGCGGCGTGCTGTTCTTTGCGTGCTGACGGGCCTGTCCACGCCTGTCAGGGCCCTGACACGCATCGAATGGCCCACAGGGAGCCAGCGCGCGGCGATAGTCGCTGGCCTGCATCCGAGGGCATCGCAGCCGTGGAGAGGGCGTCTATCGAGGGTGCAGAATGCAGCGGGTGGTGTTCACCGGGCGCTTCTGGGGAGCCTCGTCCACTCACAGCGCCCTCGTCCTCCCCGCCGCGTGCTGGAAATAACCTCGCGCATGGCAGCATGCTTCGCCAGAGCGCATGCCTGCCGGATAGCCTCACGGCCTCGAACTCGCCTGGCTGCGACGGCCAGCGCGCTTGGTTCAGATTTAGGTCGTGCTGCAGAGCTTCACGCTGCAGAGCTTCACGCTGCACTGCCCAACCCCCCGGCGACGCAGGGCTCGAAGCACCTGATGCCGTCAAGCATGCACTCCGACAGCAGCTAACAGGTGTTTCTAACTCCGTCGCCGGCCGAAATAGACGTCAGGGGCCGGACGCCTCAATACTCAGTTCCACTTCAGGACCATATTTCTGTGAACCACGCCTCGGTGCCCAATTGCAGACGGCGAACGCGCTGTCACAGTCCGGCCTGTCTAGCTGCTGTGCAACGAGGGCATCAAAGCGCGGCGACGGTCGCGTTTCATCCAGGCCACCGTCTGCAATTGTCTGGGGGGAGCCTGTTTGGGCATCTTGAAACCCGTCTCGCATCCGGACATCAGCCCTAGCAATCTCATCTCGCGCGCACGCGCCGATCCACGCCACTCTCTGCGCCCGTTGAAACGCCCTCTTCTGCGTCCTGCGAGCCCCGAGGTCGTTCGAGAAGAGACCTGCTGCCACCGCGATCGCTTCGAGGCTGCTCCCTGGAATCCCCTCAGAGTCACTGCTGACTGCGAATCGCCACAGCCATCACAGCTCGGGCCAGGTTGCTTGCAGTCACCAGCACCAGCCTCAGAGTGGCTGTCAGGTCATACGTCGCCCAGGCCGTGGTTCGAAGAGGGTGAACCATGTCTCCGACTCATCAGTTTCTATCGAGCACGACGCCTCATTTCTAATTGCACTCTGTTCCTGGCCAGACCCCGTAGAATCAATAATCTTCCAGGGCTCGAGCCTTTGGAACATGGTACCTACTCATGGGAGTTCTCATCTTGGAAGGCTGGCTTCTTCTTCTCCTTGAAATACCTCGCAAGGTATTTACACGAAAGTCTTTTTTACCTAGTCTCGGCATGGAAATGATCGTAGAAAACATTGGTGAAAGAAGACCTGAAGAATCTGGATAACCAGCATGTCACACGTTTTTGACCTTTTTGATTCGTCCTTGCATGTTGCTATTCTGCCTGTGCTCGCGGGAGAAGTGAAGTGTAGCCAGATTAGGATTTGTGGCCAGTAGGTACAGACAGCACTATGACTCCTTGACAGCCCATGAGTTGTCCCGTCCGAATGCAAAAGAAGATTCACCCGCCATCAGTCATCATCTAGCCTCCGTCAACAGCATCCCCTACTCTTCAGCTGTGAATCCCTCCGCTGGCGCCTCGCCGCTCTCCGCCTGTTCCGCCTGTCTCTGGGCCTCTGCGGCCTGCTGGGCAGCCACGGCCTTTGCGCCGTAGTCCTGGGACATGGGCTGCACAACAGTCTGCTCCTCCTTCGGCTCAATAATAGTGACGGAGTCTGGCAGCGTCTTGGTGGGGCCGGCCTTGCCCTCGGGATCCGATCCACGCATGATCTTGACTTTGATACCCAACACACCCTGGCGGAGGAGGACGTGGCGAGTTGCCTCGTCGATAAAGTCCTTGGCTGGTTGACCAGAATGGATCATGAAGCCGTCCTGTCACAGTATTAGCCCAGCCCAATAATTTCCGACCTTCTACAATCCACATACAGTGAACTTCATGCTCTTAGCACGCGCAGCCCTCAGCTTGCCGCTGACCACAACCTCGCAGCCCTTAGCGCCACTCTCCATGATGAACCGCAGCACACCATAGCAAGCCCGTCGCACAGCCAGACCGTTGAGCAACTTGTATCGGAGGGATTCGCACTGGGCGACGGCCGAGAGACCGCGGTTCTGGACCTTGGCAGCGTACAGCGAGACGGAGTTTTCGGGGAACTTGAAGCGCTTCTGGATCAGCGACGTGAGCTCGCGGATGCGGCGGCCCTGCTCGCCGAGCACTTCTTGTGTGTGGGTGGCCCGGATGATGATGTCGGTCACGGTGGGCGTGACTCGCACTTCCACGCCCGAGTAGCCTTCCTCGGCCAGCTCGCGCTGGAAGAACTCGTTCAGCTCGGCGTAGAAGACACCGTCTGTGAAACATGGGTCAGCTTGTGTGCGCAATTGTGTGTTGAGGCATATCGAGCTCGGAATTTTGGAAGGTTCAATGTGGACCGCTGTCGCCCTCGGGACGAGAGGCAAACGGCGCCCATTGACCGTACGAGCCGTCGTGGAGGCTATAGGGATGCGCGAAAGGATTGCATACCAGCTACGAACTTCCTCCGCTTGGAACTGGATGCGGTCAGTCATATTGGCCTCGATCGACGCACACAGCGAGATACTCACATAGCACCTCCATGAGTAGCTGCCATTCTTGCGGTTATGGGACGATAGATTCCAAAGTGCTGGGGCGGAAGTTCAGCCGTCCGTTGTCGTGAGCTGTGATATCGTCGCGAAGTTGGAGGTCGAATTCGACGAGGGCGGGCAAATTGAGGTCGTGCGCCAAGGAATCGATTACTCGCTTAGCTTATCCGCACGTGAGGCACTAAGAGCGCAACCACGAAACACCAATCACTGTCAGGCTCATATCGATTTGCAGGTGTATTCATTCATCAATGGTGATATTTACATTGCGCCTCACTGCAATATACAAGTTGATCAATCCCGCTAGCTCCACAGCCCAAACGCCATCCAAATGCTTCAGTTGTGCTCAATCGGGGTTTCTGGAAGCAGCTCCTCAGGCCTGCGCTCTACCCAGCGCTTCAGGGGAGGCCTTACGATGTCGTTGAACAAGAATGTGCCGTAGACAAGGAGCCCGAAGCCGACTACTTGCAACCACTTGAATGTCTCCCAACCGAGGCCTAGGGAAACGATCCAGATGAATAAAGTACGACAAGTGTCGATGGTGGAGCGCGACGTGGCACTGACTGTTCGTGTAACAGAAAGGCCGAAGAAGTTGAAGCCGCTGTATGGTTGTCAGCATTGTTGCGATCAGCTGAGATGATCCAACTTACCCAATACTGATCATGATCAGGACGCTGCTGACAGCAATGGATCGGAAATGGGTGATTTCCCACAGGCCTTCACGAGCATCAAAGTACCCATTACTTCCTGCCTTTGTAATGCCGACTGCGAAGTGAAGAACGATCATGCCGATGACGGTAACAATAAAACCAAAAGTGCCTTCCCAACTGACAACCTTGATTGGCTCCATTGCGTAGCGTTCCATGATACTCTCCTCGAGCACGAATTGCGTAGCTGTGAATATCTGGGCGCCTGCGATCAAGAAGACGCCGAGGACAGTGTGACCTGCAGATGGAGAAGCGGCTATCTCGCTCGCTGCTCTGCGAACTATCTCAAAGCCGTGCCTAATCGCATCACGGAGCTCTGGCTGCGAAAGAGATTCGCCATGGACGCTTTCGCCCTTCGCGAGAGCTCCAGCCAGGCCTACAACAGCGACACCAGCCACTACGATAAATAGGGCAAACCATTTGTATGCACCGAGCCTTCGTTTGAGGAAGAGGACGCTGAACAGGCCCACGAAGAGTACAAGGGCGCCACGAGTCATCTGGTAGATACTGGCTGCTACGAAGAGCAACCCGACATTCATGAGTGTCGTCCCCGCTATGTCGCAACACGCTGGGAGTGCTAGTAAGAGGATATTGCGCCCTGTCAGAGGGACGCGACCGTCCGCGAAGGCGTGCGCAGGCTTGAGTGGGTTTGCAATAGGAACAGCGGAGTCATCGCTATCCTCCTGGTCCCTGGCGAGCACTGGGGACTCGGGCTCTTCATCCTGTTCGGTGCCGATGGCCTCATAGCCTGCCTTCCGTGAGGCGTAGCGCTGGTATGCTGTGAAGCCGCCCACGACTATCCAACAGGCCATCTCGCCAATAAACATTTGTAGGGTTTGTATAACGGGCTGTTCGAAGTAATCTCGGTCTTTGTGCTTGGGCGCGTCGCAGTTCCGTACGCATACATTGTCCTGACGAGATCTGAATCAGTTGGAGGTCAAAGAATCAGACAGGTAAGGGCACAAACTTGGTATTTAGTGAGCAGCGTATTGCAGACGCCAGTCAGAAGCATCATAGCAACGAGGAACGGAACCAACGCTTTCGCTGCCATGGTGCTGGAGGTGAGCCGGACGGCTCGATCGAGCTTCGGATATAGCGGCGGGGGTTGGGAGGAACAAAGCGAGCGACGATATGGTGTATGCAGGTTTGAACGACGTGAACTACCTCATGGAGAGGATCTAGAGTGATTATAGAGCGAGGTGTAAGCTGCGAGAGATAGACGAAGAGTGATGAGTGGAGACCAGATGGGACCTCAATAGCTTCGACGCGGGCTTAGCGCCGTCGGTAATCTCTCACGTGCCTTTGTTTTCGAGCTTCACCAGGCATCCGCATTCATCGCATGACTCTGCTCACGACGTGTCAAATGGTTAAATATCTATATGCTATATAGCCAAGCCCTGGCTTTTCTCTGTTAGCTTGCCAACAAACAGCCGCTAGTGCCGCCAAAGAGGTGCCCCGAAGACAGCTCCAAGCTTCGGGGTAGATTAGTACGTATCTACGGTGCTCGATGAGAAGAAGAAGCTCATCCGGAAGCTTAAGAAGTCTAGACGCGACCGTTGCTAGAATAAAAAAGGCTTCAAATCAGCTCAATCACTCTCTGAGAAAGATCTAAGCTACTTACCGTCTACGTGATGAGTAGTTTGGGTTATTTGCAATAGGGAGTCCTTCGTAAGCTATGCTCTCTGTGGTGGTTTTTAAATATATAGAGTAGGGTCCTGAGGTCGGGTTAAACCGCTAAGGTGCCACCTAGCTTATGAGTGGAATAACTTTTCAGCCACACATTCTTGAAAAAAAGCCATGGGTTCTTAAACCTGTTCGGGTCACAAATCAACCACTGGTTAGTCAAAGATGGCTACCCGGTAAACTTCTCTCTCGCCCCCGGCGTCTTCGTGTCAGTGATGGAACTGGGCTGGAGCCATTTGGACTAGACTGGATGGAGGCACTCGAAAAAAGCATTGGACTGGACTGAGTTTCTTTTTGGATGGAGTGGATTTGAGGCTAAATTCAGACCAGTCCAGCCCAGTTTCATCACTACTTCGTCTTCGCCAGACATAGAACCATGGTCGGCCCCCAAGTCTCCCGCGCTTGTTAAGCAGGCTGCTTTGACAAGCGGAAATCATGACCACTAGACCATCAAGGACGTCTTATTTTGAATGGAGAGGAAATTTTATCGTATCTATAGTAATATTTGTGCACTACGCTGCAAACACTCTCACCAAGGTAACTTCTGCCTGAGCGGGGAATTCACATGAAAACCTGTTTTGTGCTTGGCTAGTGGCGTCTCCGCTTTTTGACCATATGAGATTTGAAGTCGCACACGCAATTCAGTTACCATATCATTGGCAGTCATCATGGTGCTGCAGGGCAGGCGCGACTATCTGAGATGCAGAATGTGCTGTTGGCTAAGATCAAGGAGTCAGCTAATATCATCGCCATAGTGGACGAGTTTGCTGGTGAATTTCTGAGCATGGAGGAGCTCAGGACGATCACAGGAGAAGGGAAGAAGTTGGACGAGTCTTCTGGTACAGTCCCACCGATGGTCCAGATGAAGCGATGGGTTCTTGTCACAAGGCGATTTGAGAGCCGCCGATTACGGAGGCGTCATACGATCTCCATTGACTGTTGACTCGGGACTAGCTTTGTTCCTGCCTCCATACATAATACGGCGCATGGCCTATGTCGGCTCGCTAGCCTAGGTTGTGTCTGTTCTGGTCTGATCCCGCTGCAAATACATACCATACCAGTATGTAGAAAGTGTCTCTAGCCGAGACGCTCGGAAAGTGGAAAGAAAAAGGAAAGCAAGGTTTACTCAATCTGTTTATGTTTTCTCGTTGCCGTTCGGCGCGAGATCATTTCCAGCGCTATGACTGGCTAATGCCCATATGTCACGGTATATCACCACCTCGCCTCGCATCACTGTGGACTTCTGTTGGCCGACGGCACAAGCGTGACCGTCAGCTTCTCGCTTTTCTCAGTCGCGGAGACCCCTCCGTGGCGTATTGGTACGTCTTCGAATTCCCCGAGCTTCAACTGCTTTCTGGCTTTGTCCGAGTACGTCTTCCAAAACGAAAACATCGCCGTGTCCTGCCTCCATTTGTTGCTTCCTTTCGCAGGAGCGTTGGCTTCGGAGTATGGTGAGGTAGGGTTATTGAAAACCTGGTAGGCGTCGCAAGCACTCCAGACGAACAGCATGCAACAATATCGTCGCCATTCCATGCGCTTATGACCCATCCCCTGTCCGCCCCGATACACCTCGTCTAAGTCTACGCCCATCCAAATCGGCGGACCGAAGAACAGGTAGCACATCGTGGCTGGATCTTGGTCGTAGTACGCGCCGAAAAGGTCAGCTCGCTCAGTATCTGTCGCCCCATGAATGGGTGTGTTCTGGTTTTCACAAAAGGAAATACAAAAAAGAAGCAAACATTGGAACTCGGCGTACAATAAGATGAGGGGTTCAAACTGGGTAATAGTTGGTGGGAAGGGAAAAGGCAAATATTGCGTCGATAGAGTAGAAGAGAAAACTGTAGTAATACACTCTCTGGGCATAGGCCTCCTTGATAATATGCGGGCTTCGAATGAGAGGGAGTGCAACGGATGCGGGTGGGTTACTTGACGTACTCCTGCTTGATCCATCTGATTTTCTCGTCCACTGGATATGATAAGAAGACTTTCGGGTATTCGCGCTGCGACCCGGCGCAGTCTGTTTGCACTCGTCGCAGAGTGACTTGCAGGCGATGTACTTCCCGCTTTTGATCTCGTAGATCGGCGTTGGATCTTCGTCTTTATGGGTGTCGCGGAGCTTGCATCGGCGCAGGACGTGGATCTTGTCTCCAATCGAGAGATCAGCATCCCGGAATAGGTGAGCTTTCTTCGAGTTCTTCCGCTTCGTGGCCTTTTGCCCGGCTTGCTGTTGTAGTCCTTGGGTCTTTCGTCCTCTGTCCAAAGAGTCTTTGAAATATTGGACCGTGATGAGATTCTCTGATTTGGATAGCATCCAATGGTCTTCAACTGCTTTCCTGGACCCCCCGGCTCAATGGCCTTGCTGACATGAGCCATCGATAGGGCTGTCTGATCTTACTATGGAGGATCATAAGATACATCATTGCGGCCCTACAACACAACCCTATTATTGTTATTGGCTCCTTTGCCACTGCTTGTGGTACCTCATCGTACTTTCGGATTTCCGAACTAGAGTGATGTCTGGCGTTCTGGACAACTGGTAAACTCGCGAGGCCACCTCAGACGGTGTTAGAGAGGTGTACACAGATCTGACGCCCCAAATTTCTGGTCAGTACATTGAATCACTACTCACGCCGCTAGGAAAATTTACCGACACATATGTCGAGACACTATACCGATACAGGTACTCACACAGATAAGACCTTCTAAATGCGATGGTATCTGAACATCCTTAACAAGGACGACGATCCCACGTGGTTTTGACTAGATGTGTAAAATAACAACAGCAGATCAGTGCTGCAGTACCGGAATGATCTTGCTTCTATTCTATCAATGTGCCTTGAGATTCGCGAACACCAATCTTCGCAATAGTAGTGCAGCAAATTTTTCTCACAATTCGAAGAATTGTATTTTCTCGAATTGCCATTGGCTCTTGTGATGCTAATGAAATGGTGCAGGTTTGGCAAGGCGCTTCGGGTTCGCCGAGTAATTCCGCTCCCCACCCCACGACACTTATTCACCCGGCATTCAAATAATGATAAGCAATGAGTCGAAAGGATAGAAATCCAGGTTTGAAACGTGCGTACGGTGAAGGGAACGTTGATGAACGTGCACTGAAGTCCTCACTCAAGCGAATCCCATTATCAAGCTTTCGCGCACCACAAAAAAGCGGAGACGCCACTAGCCAAGCACAAAACAGGTTTTCATGTGAATTCCCCGCTCAGGCAGAAGTTACCTTGGTGAGAGTGTTTGCAGCGTAGTGCACAAATATTACTATAGATACGATAAAATTTCCTCTCCATTCAAAATAAGACGTCCTTGATGGTCTAGTGGTCATGATTTCCGCTTGTCAAAGCAGCCTGCTTAACAAGCGCGGGAGACCGGGGTTCGATTCCCCGTCAGGGAGCAAGTTATTCTTTTGCACTTTTATTTGATTTTTGGTTGGTCTTTGTAGGGAGACTGGGAGGTTAGGTATGGGGGAAGTAGACACGCAGTGGGTCCTTGGGGGTCTGGGAAGCATGCTTTTGCTGCCGTTTCATTATTTTGCATGTAGAGTTGCGGCAGAGAGCGCGGGTATTGTGAGGCTTTGGCATCGAGTCATGGTTAGTGTCTCAGATAATACCCATTGCCTAGATTCACAAGATAAGGTTCTACAGTTAATAGCCTTCCGCTTACTCGCGAAGACGGAGAACCTATCAGAGCTCACATGTCATCATGATATCATGGGACGCCCCTCGCTTTTTTTTCTATGTATGGAATAGACTGATGCAGGATCTGGCCCCACCAGCTCACGTCGACGGTGGCAATGAAGAAGAGAATTCTGAACACTCTGATTTAGAAGCACACGCACGCGTTGTTACTTTTGAGTTTCTTTTGAAGAAATCCCCTTTTTGGACGAGAGGAGAGATTGCAGTGAATTCAAGGAAACGAGTTGGCCGTGCAACGAGAACTCCACCAACACTCTAGGGTAAGTATCAAGCAAGTATTAAAGCAAAGTATCCCGAACATAGTAAACATGCAACCCTGAGCTTACAAGTTCGTAGGAGACCACACGTACCATGAGTTCCAATGCCCACAACTCAGGGCCCACGGCCCATACCTTAGGCCCAACACCTCTTAATAAAGCAACGTCGCCGCAGCTATTCACGCTGCAGTCCATCCCAGGGCAAGGTAAAGGCCTAGTCGCCTCACGTGCCATAACCCCAGGCACTCTCCTTATCAGCGAAGCCCCCCTCTTCGCCATCCCCTCCGCAGCCAGCGAGCGTGATTTAGCAACGCACCTCCGGACTCTCCCTAAAGAGTCCCAGCGCGCGTTTCTCTCTTTGCACAATTCCCGTGCCGGTGCAGGAGAACCGCTATCTAACATCGTCCGCACGAATGCGTACCCCCTAGGTCCTGGCAGTGATCTTGGGGGCATCTTCCCGCTCATCGCCCGCATCAATCACAGCTGTCGCCCAAATGCGCAGCATGCGTGGAACGGGAATGAGGGGGAGGAGACTGTGTATGCGGTGCGTGAGATTAAGGAGGGCGAGCAGCTCTCACTGTCGTACCACGAGGGGGGCCCATCGAGCGAGCGCCGAAAGGCGCTTAAAGAGTTCTTTGGCTTTGACTGCACGTGCGAGATGTGCGGAATGCTGAAGGATCAGATTGATATTAGTGACGAGCGGCTTAGGCGGGCCAAAACGCTTGATAAGGCGATTGGAGACGCGAGGCGCGTGCGTATGACGCCGGATGCTGCGTTGAAGGATTGTAGGGAGCTGCTAAGGATCTATGAGGAGGAACGAGTTGCGGATCTTAGGGTGCCGAGGCTGTATTATGATGCGTTTCAGATTTGCGCGATGCATTCCGATAAGGCGCGGGCGAAGGTGTTTGCGGAGAGGAGTCGGGAGGCGAGGGTGATGTGTGAAGGGGAGAAGAGTGAGGAGGCGGAGATTATGGCGGCATTGGTGAAGGACCCGGCGAGGTTTGAGAACTTTGGAACCACGAAGAAATGGAAGCTAGAGAAAGTGCCTGGAGGGCTTGATGGTATTGAACTTGAAAAGTGGCTGTGGAGGGAAACTTAGAGAGTTGGACGAGATGTTGATGAAAGGAAACGGCTTGGAGTATTTCTGCTTTACCTAGGATGACAAGATGGGTATTGGCCTACATGAGAATGATAGATCTAGAGGTTAGTTTTGGTTTCATGATTGATGAATTTCTCAGCTATTTCAGAGCGAAAATTGGGGGGTAGTGCGGAGTTACCTCCGTTCCAGGGTTCACATGACCTCGATATTCAAGGAATGAGCGAGGATGAAGGTGTGTAGGTAAATATCATCTATGGATATGTGCGTGATGTCTAAGTATACTACTGTTTTGAAAGTGATGAATTAAAAGGGAGCAGCGCGCTTGGACGAATTCAACTAGCTTGCTACTAGGCCGTGCAGCACTCACTGTTCACCTTCTGCCACCCTCCCATCTAGATCATGGAAGCACGTCATCAATGTCCTATCACGACTCTTAAGACCTGCCCCCATTGCAAGCATTGGGCTCCACAATCCTCCTCAAGAACATGTTCTTCCGAGACGATTCTTTTTCGCAGTCCTTCAATGTTTTCTTTAGCATTTAATTCAAATGTTATCCTATTCATTACACACATGAAAAATTAAAGATCCAGGACGCGATTACAAGGGGTTCTATTTAATCTTGGAATGGCGGTAAGCCTTTGCGAAAGTTGAGAACCAAAGACCTAGATCTGTTACTTTTCTAGTCCTCAATTTCATGCGGCCAAAGACACGCAACAATACTCTCAGATCTCGTTACCGCTAGGTCTACTGTCCTACAGTACCCAATCAGAAGTTTGCGGACTACTAGCAATTGGCTGGGGCACTCCGATAAACGTTGGAAACTCCAGATACAATGTGAAGGCCAATGCAGTGGAAGATAGACTACCTTTTAGCTGATTGAAGACGCATTACCTAGGGTACTCCCCACGGTGGTGTCGAGAGAGCAAGAGTGAAGCCAGGGCAGCGGCATATCCGTGTGCCCAAACTTATGGCTTAGTACTGTATGAGTTAAACCTGCACCATCATCATGAAGCACTCCGTCATAGTCGTCCACGTGGAAGCCATCAAAATCAATCGAACTGCGCAAGCCCCTCCCTAAATGGCATGATCTATACTCGAGAAAGGTAGTGTAAAATGGCCCGACCCTTGGTTGAAGATTTACCGAACCGACCTCAGTTTATTCTGTATGAGAAATTGGTGTATTCAGATTGACGATGGATGGGAAGTCTTATGATGCTTGAAAATGAGGCCAGAAGCGGGGCGCGGTCGAAGAATTTGCGCCGCAACCGCCTTGATCTACAAGAACGAAAGGAGATGCGGTGAATGGGCCTTGGCAGTCGACTTATCTGATAGAGCGATATGGTGGCTGCGACGGAGGCTGGCCTGGCTATCTGATAATGGAGATAGCAAGGCAGGATAGCGACTGCTGCACAGCATGTTTCTATTCTGATTCGATGTTCTGGCCTTCTATCCGCGGTGTCTGCCTCTCGCTGCTGCCTGTCTCGACCCAGGCTGCCCGTTTGTGAACCTTGGACACAAAAATCATATGCGGAGCCTCGTGGACGATCCCTGGCCGCTGCTGCCAATCCAACGCGAGATTCACCGCTAAGGCCGTTAGCGGCAGCGACTAGGTGTCTTCAGGACTAGCCCCCAGCCTTGGCAGCAGGACTGCGCAGCCTTCAAAAGCGAGGTTTCTTCGCGGCAAGACGCGTCTAGAAAGCGCACAAAACCCGATCTGCTTCGCTCCTCGACAGTCTCGCAGCAAGGCTCTGCGCGCGCCGTTTGCTGCTGTTGACCGGCGCGGCGCGGATGGGGCAGGCTGTTCGCTGCGGCCCCTGATGAAGCCGGGTGGCGCCTGCTAGCGCGCACGGGCCCTTCCTTCTGCACTGGCAACCAATACTTAAGAAAGTGCTAAAACTCACGGAGCCCGCCTTCCTCTCGCTCGCACCAACCTGGCCGCCCCTCCCACTCGCCCTCGTCACGTGACCCACATTCCCGCCAACGTTGCATGCATGGCTCATCACCCACGGAACGGAAAACGCCACGCGAGATAAATTGACACCCCGCGACACGCCGCCATGGCGAGCAGGTATGTGCCCCGCCTGCTCCACTCCCTGCTGCCCAGCGTATGCTAACCACAGTTCCAGCGGCACGCGGCTCGACCGCTTAGTCACGTAAGTAATGCTGTTTACTTCGTCTGCTATGCGCTGAGTGACGTCTGCGGGATGCATGCTTGTCACACCCACATCTCGTGTGGCTGGCCCGTTTGGGAGATCCGCTCTCACCCCTCACCAAGCTCTCTCCACGGTCGTATCTGGCCCCTTGCGCTTATGCTTGTGTTCTCGCCACCTGCAGCACGCGCATCTGTCGTGGCTTGCAATTGCCTCTCCCCACGCTAACCCTGATCTAGACTCCTCGAAACTGGCAGTACTGCGCTGATCCGGAATACCGCCGCCGACCAGCTCGCCGACGTGCAGAAGCAGCACCCTGACGAGCTCTTCCACTTGCTTACGCGCGTTGTCCCGTACCTCAAGAGCCGGAGCTGGGAGACGCGCATTGCTTCCGCCAGGGCCATTGGCGGTATCGTCAGCCATGCTGACAAGTATGATCCTAATGCTGGCGACGACGTCAAGCCGGAGAGCAACGGCCATGTCAAGCACGACCCGGACGGCACGAATGGCTCATCCATCAAGGCCGAAAATGGGGATGCGAGCGGAGCGCTCCCCGTCCCAGAGGACCAGCTCGACCTCGCGACCCTCGACATCAGCATGATTATGAAGTATGGCAAGACCCTAGCTGGCAGCGGCGGCAAGGAGTATGACTACAAGCTGAACGGCATGGACCCTGCCGCTCGCTTCGCTCATCAAAAAAAGAACCTAACCCAGCGTCTTGGCCTTGGCGGAGAGTACATGGAGGACGACCTCGTGACAGAGAACGACGTTGCTCAAACACCGGGCCTCCACCCCCCTCCTATGCATCGTCTCGACACGTCGGTGGCTCGCCAAGACAGCATTTCCTCTGCCGCTGGCTATCCCTCTTACTCACCACTGGATGGTACCAACACTCCCGTGGATGGTGAGAACGGTGCACCTGCCCTCAGCAAACGCCAGCTCAACGCTTTGAAGCGCAAGAGGAAAGATGAACTCAAAAAGGGAGCTAACAAAGTCCACATAGTAGACCTGGCCGCCCGGCGAGGAAGCACCGTCCCACAGACTCCCACCACTGCTCAACCGCATCCAGTCAAAGTGGAGCCGAAAGAAGAGAATGCCGAGGAAGGCGTCGGTGACTACTTCTCGCTGGATCGGAAGGGTGACGATGACAGCAAGCTTGTCAAGGAATTCAAAGGTGCCCCTATAGAAGAGAAACCCGCTTTCCTGACCGAGGCCGAGGAAAGTGGGCTGGAGTGGCCCTACGAAAAACTATGCGAGATCCTCACCGTCGACATATTTGATCCCAGCTGGGAGAACAGGCACGGCGCAGCCATGGGTCTTCGAGAAGTGCTCCGAGTTCATGGAGCAGGCGCCGGCCGATTGCATGGAAAAACGCGCGCTGAAAACGACATACTCAACCAACGATGGCTCGGTGATATGGCCTGCCGCATATCCTGCGTCTTCATGCTGGATCGCTTTGGCGACTACATATCAGACAACGTCGTCGCCCCGATCCGCGAAACTGCCGGACAAACTCTCGGAGCCATGCTCCAGTACCTGTCTCCCGAGAACGTCATATATGTCTTCAAGATTCTGCAGCGCCTCGTTATGCAAGAAGACTTCGATACAAAACGAGTTTGGCAGGCTTGCCATGGCGGCATGATTGGCATGAAATACCTCGTGGCAATAAGAAACGACCTCCTATTGGAAGACTCGGAACTTATGGATGGAGTGTTACTAGCTGTTATGAAAGGGCTGTCTGACTTTGACGACGACGTCCGATCCATGAGCGCGTCAACCTTGATACCTATCGCCAGCGAAGTCGTGGAGCTTCGACCGAAAGCTCTGCAAGAACTGATCAACAAAGTGTGGGAATGCTTATCAAATCTGCAGGACGATCTCAGCGCTAGCACTGGCTCTGTTATGGACCTCCTTGCGAAACTTTGCAACTACCCCGAAGTGCTTGACGCCATGAAGGAGAATGCCAAGCTCGACCCCCGTTCTTCTTTCGTTGAACTAGTTCCCCGTCTGTTCCCTTTCCTCCGCCATGTCATCATCAGCGTCCGAGCTGCAGTTCTTCGTGCGATTTTGACCTTCCTCAACATTGAAGGACGAGAGACGGATGACTGGGTTGACGGCAAGGCCCTTCGGTTGATCTTCCAGAACATCCTTTTGGAACGCGATGAAAAAGTCCTCAAACTCTCCTTGCAGGTGTGGAACGCACTTGTGGATCGTTTGAGTTCTCGCCGCGACAAGGCTGGCAACGAAGTCAACGAACTGCCAGACCTTTTCGCCTCGCATCTTGACGCCGCTATTCCTTTGACAATGACGCCCATTGGTGTTCTCCGTCACCCGATTGCTATGGAGTACTCCCTTTTCATTAGGCCGTCTGGTCAATTCTTCGCCCCACCAAATCATGTAAGCACCCGAAAGGTAACCCCACCAGGCGGAGGAGAGCCAGCTAAGAAGAGGCGGAAGTCACAGCATAAGAAAGAGGAAATGGCGCCTCCAGCATCTATCTCCCACAACGTTGACGGGCACATGATGAGTGGAGACGTCGACCTTGTTGGTGTCGATGTTATGATACGCTCTAGAATCTACGCTGCTCGGGCATTAGGCAAGCTTATCGCCTCATGGCCCTTGGAATCACGACGAGGCGTGTTTGAGAAGCGTCTTGTTGAATATCTGAAATCGACGCATTCAAGCACCCAGCTCACAGCAGCCATGGTGGTTGAAGAGTTTGCCAAAGCGAACAAGACCAAGGACGAATTGACACAGAGCCTCGCATCAGTTTTACTTCCTATTGTCGAAGGAGAGCGACCCGGTGCCTACGAGGATCTGGTCCCCAAACTCCAGGTTGTTCGTACGCAATGCCAAGCACTCATCAGCGCTTTCAGGGACGCCCACGTTACAAGTCTGCCACACCTCGCCGTGGTTGTGCAGGGCGATCCCGGTGCTAGCGTGTATGCCTTCTCCGTCTTGGATGGGGAGAAGCTTATTGGAGCGCAATTTGACAAGGCTAAGAAGGCGATGACTCCTGCCCAGCGCTTAGTATCCTTGACCAATCTAGAGACTCTCAGACTGGATGTGGAAAGCTCCCTCAAAGAAATCAAGGATATCAAGGAGAGTCGCGATATTCGCATCAAATCAGCTGCTGCCGGTGCACTTGTTGCACTTAACCAGGCACCAAAGAAGCCCGCCCTAACAATTAAGGCCATTATGGATAGTATCAAGAAAGAGGAAAATGCCGAGCTTCAGAAACGCTCTGCTGCTGCTGTGGCCGCATTGATCAACCATCTTGTGAACACTGGCAGGCTGACCGTCGTCAACAAGGTCGTTGGCAACCTCGTCAAATTCTACTGCATGGAGACCGCAGAGACGCCGGAATTCCACGCCAATGCGGGTATCGAAACTGGAATTCTGTCTCTCAAGAAAGAGGAGGACATCCGAGACCATCCAGATGCGGCTAAGTTTGAACAGGATGCTCGTGCAGCCCGGATCCAAAAGCGTGGAGCCAGGGAATCCCTCGAGCTGCTAGTGGAAATATTTGGAAGTGGGATCTTCGAGAAAATTCCTAAGCTTCGCGAACTTATTCAGAATCCTATCGAAAAAGCATATGAGAGCGAAGCGCTACCTACCGGCATCCTCGAACCAGACAACACCTTCGGGCAGGAGGTCGTTGATGCACTATCGACACTGCGAGCTCTAGTTGGCAAATTCCATCCGGATGTCCTAACCTTCGTCAAAAACCTTCTACCTCTCATTGCTAAAGCGCTACAATCTCGGCTGTACGTGCTTCGGTATGCAGCGGCCAAATGCTTTGCCACGATCTGCAGCGTTATGACCATCGACGGTATTACCATGCTGGTAGAAAAGGTTCTCCCATCCATCAGTAACCCTATCGACGTTCATTATCGACAAGGGGCGGTGGAATGTATCTACCACTTGATACATGTTATGGAGGATGGTATCCTACCGTATGTTATTTTCCTGATCGTTCCGGTGCTTGGTCGTATGAGCGACTCAGACAATGATGTGCGTCTCCTTGCGACCACGAGCTTTGCGACATTGGTCAAACTTGTTCCTCTTGAGGCTGGTATACCAGATCCGCCTGGGCTGTCGCCAAAGTTACTCGAGGGACGAGACCGGGAGCGGAAATTCATTGCACAGATGCTTGACGCGAAGAAGGTGGAACCCTTTGAGATCCCGGTGGCGATCAAGGCCACTCTTCGTTCGTACCAGCAAGATGGCGTCAACTGGCTTGCATTCCTCAACCGCTACCACCTTCACGGAATCCTCTGTGATGATATGGGTCTAGGAAAGACCCTGCAAACTCTTTGCATAGTCGCCAGCGATCACCACTTACGAGCAGAAGAGTACGCCAAAACTCAGGCTCCTGATGTCCGCCGCATGCCCTCTCTTATTGTCTGCCCTCCGACTCTCTCTGGTCATTGGCAGCAGGAGATTCGACAATTTGCACCTTTCCTCACCGCTGTAGCATACGTCGGCGCCCCTAGTGAGCGGTCGAAGTACATTGAGAAGCTTGGTCAAGCCGATGTTATTATCACTTCTTATGACATCTGTCGTAACGACATAGATATCCTTGCGCCACTGAACTTCAACTACTGCATTCTGGACGAGGGTCATCTGATCAAGAACGCCAAAGCGAAGACGACCTTGGCCGTTAAACAGCTGAACTCTAATCATCGCCTCATTCTTTCTGGTACTCCGATCCAGAATAACGTCCTTGAACTCTGGTCACTTTTCGATTTCTTGATGCCAGGCTTCCTTGGCACTGAGAAGGTCTTCCAAGATCGCTTCGCCAAACCCATCGCCGCGTCTCGTTTTTCCAAATCTAGTTCTAAAGAGCAAGAAGCTGGTGCACTTGCCATTGAGGCGCTGCACAAGCAGGTCCTACCTTTCTTGCTGCGTCGCCTCAAAGAAGAAGTGCTGGATGATTTACCACCCAAGATCCTTCAAAACTACTACTGCGATCTTTCCGCCCTGCAGCGGAAGCTGTTCGAAGACTTCACCAAGAAAGAAGGCAAGGCTCTTGCTGAGAAGGCTTCTGGTGAAGACAAAGAGAGCAAGCAGCACATCTTCCAAGCCCTTCAATACATGCGCAAGCTTTGCAACTCTCCTGCGCTTGTCATGAAACCGGGACATAAGCAATGGGACACTACGCAGAATTTCTTGCAGAGCCATCACACCGACATCCGGGACATCGCCCACGCGCCAAAGCTCACAGCTCTCAAGGATCTGTTGGTGGACTGTGGCATCGGCACCGAGAGCGTCAGCACCAGCAACGGACACGCAAATGCAATGCCCGGCGACCTCCCCGAGGCCGTGTCCCAGCACCGCGCTCTTATCTTTTGTCAAATGAAGGAAATGCTGGACATGGTGCAGACCGAGGTCCTACAGAAACTCTTACCATCAGTGCAGTACATGAGACTTGACGGCGGCGTCGAAGCCTCGAAGCGCCAGGACATCGTCAACAAATTCAACTCCGACCCCTCCTACGACGTCCTACTCTTGACGACTAGCGTTGGCGGTCTCGGACTGAACCTTACGGGCGCTGACACGGTCATCTTCGTGGAGCACGATTGGAACCCGCAGAAGGACATTCAGGCCATGGACCGCGCTCATCGTATTGGCCAGAAGAAAGTCGTCAATGTCTACCGCATCGTCACGCGCGGCACCTTGGAGGAGAAAATCCTAAAGTACGTATCCCCCAGGCCCCATATCTATAATCTTTCCACAATACGCATACTGACATCCCATCTCACAGCCTCCAACGCTTCAAGATCGACGTCGCGAGTACAGTCGTCAACCAGCAAAACGCGGGCCTGGGCACCATGGAAACCGGCGAGATCCTGGACCTCTTCAGCCTGTCGACCGACGCCAACGAGGGCGTGCCGGCGCCACCGGGTGAGAACGCAATTAGCGAAGAGGACGCGGTGGATGCGACGGGCGAGCTGCGCGAGAAGGGCAAGAAGGGGTTCCTGGATGAGCTGGGCGAGCTGTGGGACGAGAACCAGTACGAGGAGCAGTTTGATCTGGATGGCTTCCTCAAGACTATGAAAGGGTAGGAAAGCGGCAAAGCGAGGCAGCTGCGAAGTGGGGGGGATAGGAGTGAAGCGTTGGCTCTGGATCCGTCTTTTTTTCGGGTGGAAAACTCTTAACTCCGAACCTACCTATCCACTCGAACCCATCCCATCCTGTTCGATTCACATACTTCACTTTACGGACCTTTTCGGCGTATCAGGCAGGAAAAAGGGTCTCCTGGGAGGGAAGCTGGGAGCTGGGGTTTGGCATGCATGTTTTTTTTTCTTTTTCCCCTTTGCATGCATCTTCTGCATCGATTGCTTGAGCGTGGTGTTACGGTACGGATACGGTACGGATGGGGGGGCTACTGGAGCATCTGGGTTCGAGGCATTGGGGGTTTTACCTCGGTTTCTGCTCCTCTAGGCTTCGCTCTGGATAGATAGATAGGTGGTGGATCGGTGGGTTTTGAATTAAATCCATAAGCTACTACCTAGGTACTGCTCTAATCGATCAAGTTAGTTTCCATGCTGGTGTTCTGTTGATTTTCAGTTGAGAGATGCTTATGTTGTGGCTGTTGATGAGGAGCTACTAGGGGTGGATGTGTGCGAGTAGAGAGGTATGGTTGCCTTGTCTTGCCATACCTTCTACCACAGGGTTCAAGATCGTGTCAAATTCAAGAGGGTATTAGTCTCAGAAGATACCCAGACTCACCAAGGTAGACCAAAACAGAAACGAAATCTTCAAGGCAAGAAAAAAAAGTAGTTATATTTCTCCTCAACTGCTAATTGATTGCCATCCGCGCCATCTCATACCCTCCTTCAGATACCAAGCATCTGAAGAAAAAAAAAGGAGATTTAAATGGAGAACCACAATAGAAGAAGAAAGGATTAATCTTTTCTTTTTCATCGCCCAAAAAACTACAAACTGTGCGACTCAGAGTACGTCCTGCCGTCGCCTACCACCGCCACCGCTCCGATCCACCGAATATACCATTTTATGTAAAGGGAGGGTTTTGGGAACACCTCGCTTCAGAGAGCCGATCCTGTAGTACCTGTTGCATGCACTGGGTAGAGAGGAAGGACTTACGCTCGTAGGAGAGCTTGCTGTGGCTATGAGCCCAGGCTGGGGAACGCGCTGGGGTCCGAGAGGTTGACAGCAGCGGACTGGCCGCCGCGGCCGCCTCTGCCACCACGGAAATCGCCACGTCCCTCGCCGCGACCGCGTCCACCTCGTCCGCGTCCCTCGCCTCGGAAGCTGCCCTCGCCACGGCCACGGCCACGGCCGCCACGTCCGCCGCGGAAAGAGTCGCTGGGCTCCTTGTGGAGGCGCTCGTTGTCGAGCTCGACGATGGTCTTCTCCTTGCGCTGGCGCTCGCGCTTGGCCTTGCCGCCGGAGCCGGCCACGTATTCCTCCTCTTCCTCCTTGGTGAGGGGCTTGCCTTCGGGGAACTTCTTCGTGCTGCCTTCATTGGGCTTGCGCACCTCGGGAGAGCTAAGGTTGAGCTTCTTCTCCGCCTGCTCGGCAAGCCACGCCGTGTACGACTTGGTCTTGTCCTCTTCGGGCTCCTCGGCAGGTGCAGCGGCTTCAGCGCCAGCGTTCTCGTGGGCGAAGGGGTCGGCGGGCTGGGCATCGGCGTTCCATGCCTGGTCGGAGGAGACGACACCCTCGGCCTTCTCTTCCTCCTTGGCGATAGCTTCGCCAGCCTTCTCATCGGCCCATTCATCGCCGCCGGTTTGGCCACCCCAGCCGTGGGCAGTTTGCTTGTCGTGTTCACTGCGAGACAGAAGGTTAGCATATACTCTCTAAATAAAGTGTGGCAAGATACATACGCTATGCCGGTTCGGCTGTGACGGTCTCCGTTACCGCCGCGACCGCGTCCTCCACGGCCACGTCCACCACGGCCACGATATCCAGACTCGCCAGATTCTGTTCATGTTTAGCGGCTGATGCGACAATGAGGGGGTTGATGTCATATACCTCCAGATGCTCGGCTGCGGTTCTGGTTGCCTTCACCTCCTCGATTCCGGAAACCTGTGCACCAAACAAGTAAGCGAGAGCTTTCGCGCGACCTCTGTAGGCCATTGCGTCTTCCATTGAGCTGTCAAGGCAGTCTCTCAGCACATACCTCCGTCATTGTTGCCTCCTCGGCTGGCGCGGGCGTCACGGACGGGTGGTTCGGCGGGCGTGTTTCGCTTGCCGGCTCTCGCAACAGGCTTCTCAATGGCCTTGGCTGGTGGATCGGGGGCTCTGTCGGGGTCGAGCTCGGGGTCGTTCCCTAGAAGCGAGACGTATGAGACGGAGCTACAAGATGCAGTGGAGATGCAGCGTGTTATGGTGGAGCGTACCTAGGAGCTCGAACAGGTTCTGCAGCGCGGATCGTCAGCATCAATGCGTCGTGGGAGAGCGACAGACGAGCTCTGCAGATGCTCAATGGAGTCGGCAATGGCGGCGAGACCATGGCGTCGTGGACTGACCTTGGATGCGATGCCCGACATGGTGGGTGGAGTTCAAGCGCCTTCCGCGCTCTGCCCTCTAGTCGCGCAATCTGGACGGACTCGTCGATGGTGAGCGAGAGCTGATCCTAGGAGATAGGATCTGAACTCTCAGGGACGGAAGATGGGTGCTGGGAGTGATGGCGATGGAGAGCGTCGTGGTGGTGAAGCCGCGGTGAGCAAATTCATTTGTGGACGGGCCTCCTGCTGTCGCTAAGCTTAGGCCGCCAGGCCCAGGACAAAGAGACCTCCAGCCACAGCGCCCCGCCTCGATGACGCCGTACAAGTGCGTTCCGGTGCCAGACGGCCGTAGAGTCGAGAATTGGCATAGGGGAGCACTTGCCGACGTCAACTCACTGCTGCATCTAGTGTGGCCTCTCCCAGCCGTCACTTCAATGCATCAGGTCAATGCTGAAGTAAGCAATATACGACCAGAAATTCCACTTCTTATGCATGGTCAGAACGGTCGTACAAGTTCGCGTCACAGTGTTTCATTTAAAGCTATAGCCTTTTCGGAAGCTCCGCAAGATGCTTCTGTCTGGATTAGGACATCTGCACCAGAGCTGTCTACCAGTCTTCCCAACTACGTCCCTAATGCCTTCAATGGGTAGAATCCTCCACTCCCTGAAGCCTTCGATCGGTGAGATCCTCGACTCGCTCTTGACTGACCACGAGGAACAAAACCAACCAACATGCCATTCTCACCGCGGTACAGCTCTCTACGATGCATTCAACTCCACATAACTTTTCTTGGGGTGCTTCAGGACCGAACCCATCCAGAGACACTGTTCCGCCCCCAGTGTCACGTCCGGAACGCCTGCTTGGTCAAGGGTCGTTGCCATCCGAACGCCCGCTAGAATAGGAAAAGGAAGCAGAAATCAGCAACTCATCAGACAAAATTGATCATCCAGCCACATCGCTCATGGTCCTTCTCTTTCTCACCTCGACTCATACGTGAACTGGGTCGGGAAGTGCATGCTTGCCGACAATCCGAACGGGTCGGCGTCCAGCATCGGGTCGTAGGGGTCGAAGAGGTGGTTCATGGTGCCGAACACGGCGCCGGCACCATTCGCATCAGCGGGTTGCATTGCGGCCGGGGACTGATACCGCTGGTTCGCGGGGTTCTGCGCAGCGTTCTGCATCGGGGGCTGCATGCTTTGCTGCTGCATTTGCGTCGAGGGCGGGAACGTTTGCGGAAAGGGGCCGGGGCCCGCGGATTGATCGCTGGGATCTTGGTCGTCGAGCATATCGGCTTGCTCGTCGTACTCTTGCTCTGTACTCACGGAATCAATCTAGGACGAACATAGTTCTATGCCTAAGCGGGAAAGGAGGGGGCGGGTCAGCTTGCCGAGTTGATCCATATGACTCCTGAATGGAGACGTGTAGTAGGCGGGCGGGCCGCCGCTAGCACTACCCGTCATCGCACTCCCTGCTCCACTGCCCACAGTGGACGCACTTGAAAGACCGCTCGATGGAGCGTGGTTGGTGATTACCGAGGGGCGCTGCGGGGCCAGCAACGGCGTATACTGAGACCTAGGCGGCTGTTGCGGTCGCAAATGCTGCTGTTGATGACCTACCGGGCCAAAATTGGGCGAGATGGCGCTGCCAATTTGCGGCACAAAGTTCGGGGATCGAGTCGCGGTGGTGGACGGGGAAGACAAGTGGGAGCTTGGGGTGGGCTGCGACAGTGGTGAACGGTTTGGAAGAGCGCCATCGGGCTGAAGTACTGGCAGACCATGCACACCTTCTGGCTTCTGCGACCCGCCAGACGCGCCAATGGAGCGGCGAGCCTGCTGGTGTCGGTTCATTATGGCACGTTGGATGGGGGGCTGGTTAGGAGAGGCCACGGTCGATGCTGGTGCTCGAGTCGGGCCCAGATTGGGGCTGCTCGTCTTTGCGCGGAGCTCAGCCTGCACATCGATGCCTGCGAGGTTATTAGATGACGCGTCAATAGACACAAAGCAATGATTTAAGGGGTGGTTTGATGGATGGCGGCTGAGGAACAGCACGAAGGTATGGCGATTGAGAATGACCGGGGTGTATTGCTGAGGCATGCATTGAAGCAAGTGTTGACACATGGATTGAAGCACGGAATGAGAGCTGGCTATTGAGCAATGGCCGATGCTTACCTTTTTCGAGCAAGATTCTCTCGAGGAGCGAGTTCTTGTAGCGCAACATTAGGCACTCGTCAGCGGCACTGCGGTGGCTCTGCTGGAGATTCTGCAGCGCGTCCTCGTGGTGCTTGATGGTCGTCTCGAGCTGCTTGATGTACTCGGTGCGGCGCTCTCGAAAGGCAGCCTGGGCCTGCCGGTTGCGCTGCTTGCGCTCCTCAGAGGTGGCATAGATCTTGCGACGCTTGGTTAGTGACATGATGGACATGGTGGGCTGCGCAGATGTGCAATGGAGCTCACTGGCTTGCGGCCGCCCTTGCGCTTCTGCGTCTGGGGGTTCTCTTGGGTATATGTCTCGGCCTCTGGCTCGGGCGACGAGGCTCCGCTGCTCGTCGAACCATCGCGCGAGGCCTCAATCTTGCCCACGGGCGTCATATCTGTTACGCTACTATCTCCCATCTGCAGGTACCCCTCACTGCCCCTCTGGAGGAGGGCGGGCGCCAAGGTCGACGATAGACGCGAGCGAGTGCTGAGGCTTTGGCCTAAGCGCGCGCTGGGAGGCCGGGTAGGCGGGTAAGAGCGCAAAGTGTGTGTGCAGGTTTCTGCTAATGGAAGATAACAAGTGCGTACAGCGTGAGGTGCTGGGTGGACGGGCAAATGGCGTGAGGTAAGCTGTTGGCTAATGGAAACTGGAGAGCAGAGAAGAGCGAGGTCATGGCGATTTCAAATAGCACGGGCGGCCCTCTCCCCGCTTGCGCCTTCTGCGTGCCAGCTGGCTGCTCGTCTGGCCTGCCTGGGAGCCACGACGGCAGCCGAGCAGCAGACGACAGTGCGCCGCTGGTTGGAGAGGTCCACCGCCTCTGTGTGGTTGGAGAGGGCCTGAGAGGGGCCGCTTGGCTGAAAATTTGAGCAGCTGGCTCCAACCAGCGCCTCACCAGCCTCGAACAGGCGAGCACTGCCGATGGGACATGTTTGCTGCATGGGGCTAGCGGGAGAGCGCCGTCACATCTCCGCATCTCCTCGGCAGCGGCCGTGTTTAGTACAGCAAATCAGAGATGTAGACACGGAGCTCCAGGTCGTGTGTATATAGATACATCTCACCCTCATCAGCCAAATAGCACTTCGCACCAGGCATTTTGGTCACAAGCCCACCCAAGCGCTCCCTGCGAGCACCCGGTCGAGAGGGGCGACGTGGTCTGGAACGCCGCGACCGTGGGTTGCGGGCGGGTTGCGGGCTTGTTGCAGCCGCTGCCGAAGTCGGCAAGTCACGTGCGCGACAGACCCCGATCGATCGGCAAATTCATCCCGACCGTCATCCCGGCTGCGACCGCGGCGTGCACTCGGCGGCTCACCTCTACGGAATACCTCCGGCTCACTCGTCGCTCTCACGATGTGGCGGGACCGAAGCCGAAAGCAGCAGCTGGCGCCGGCAATTCCATCTCTCCATGCTGTTTTCTCTCGTCCACGAAGGAGCCGAGCAGAAGCAACATGGAGTCTCGGACACTCCTCCCTTTTGATGCTTGGCGCATGAATATGCCGGCATTCACATCCAGACCGTTCATGGAGCAGATCGCCAATCTCTGCAGTTGACGGTCACTTCCTGATGGAGCGGAGAAAAGGCATCTCAACCAAGAACAGACCCTCACGTGCCTCCGGTGTCCACGGTCCGCGGCATGCCGCGGCGCTCTTATCCCATCCTTTCCCATCCTTTCCCATCCTTTCCGAGGCATCTTCCACCAAGGTCAAGTCAATATGTAGCCGATTGGGCTGCCGGAGATGCACGACGAAGTGTCTCCATTCGGTCTCGTGAAGAGTTGCACGCCTGACATGCGGCGAAGGGGCGAGGTGATGGTCAGGCGACTGCATCGTGAGGTCAAGTGGATCACAGCTTTGGCCACTGCAATACGAATAGTCGTCATGCTAGAAGAGACCACCAGATTGGGTGACGTTTCCGTCTCCCTTCGGTGCCGTAGGCAACATACGGTGAGCAGACAGGTACGGCGACCTATCTGCTCAGTACGTTTGTAGATGATTTGTAGGTTTTGGAATAGCTACTTGTGTCAGGTGTATGGCTTGATGCCAGTCGTGAGCATGTTGGAAACTCTTCTTGAGAAGGAACGCTCTCCTCCTTCCACTCCACCTGCATATGTCTGAACGCATCTGTTCCTTCCATCTCCAACTTCCTCACCATCGCCATGTCTCGTTCATGTCTCAACAATTCAAGCCACGACCCGAGCGACAGCATATCCAAGCCCTCGACCGAGCTACTTCAGCTACTTGACATGCCTGGCTATCGCCAATGGTGTTCTCTCTTTTTCCGGCTGTAACAGATCTCCAATGGCTTTGTCGAATCATGTCTAACGCGCGTGTCTTAGCTGACGTCCAACCCACTCGTTCGCGTCGCCAGCTTTGGCCTTCTCCAACCGAACAAAGCAATCCCGAGTAATCGCATTGCCCAGCTGCAAGATTGTGGATTTGATGCTAAAGTTTCCAGGCACATCCGGCGAACCCTCTTCAGAACCTCGCAAATCAGTTGACAGCATCAAACCTCAGTCTCCAATCCCGCTGCCCCCTCATACGCCTCGTAAAGACATGCCCAGTAATACACTCGGTGCCACCAATCAGATGAACGCTCCGCTCTGGTCCACCAAAGCACGCCCGCTATCTGATATCCGAGAACTCACCGAGCCAAGCTTGGTTGAAATCCCTCGGAAGCCCTTGCCCGAATCGAGTATTGTGCGAAAAACTTCGTTGTCTCGAAACCAATCAGTGAGATCAGTAAGATCAGCAAGATCAAATCGTCGTCCCAGCACAGACAGCCACTTGGCGGAGAATCGAAAACCAGACGCAAAAGAGGCTGAAATCAGAGGGCAAGAGAGTGTCGGATCAGCGAACAGGGGGAGAGCGTCACCTCAATCTCCTCCGCTTGGTACCGACAACACCTATACAAGCATCTATAGCATCCCTCGTAGCAGTGTCCCACCTCGGTCATCTTCCCAACCCCGACGAAGCACTTCCCGTCGAAGACCAAACCCAACCGTGACTGAGTCCCCTGCGTTACGAGGCATACCGTCAGTTCCTGCACTACCGCCTCCTCGAGAGTCGGGCAATACAATTCCTGGACGAGGCCACACGAACTCGCCCGTCCGACAAGTTGCTGCTCGGCTTGATCCAGTGAGCTGTGACACCACGCGACGAGTTCCTTCGAGGACGTTCATAAGAGAGCCATTGACAGCCGACGTTCTAGAATTCCCCACCCACCGTCACCCGCGGGTGGCCCTTGAATTGGAACTCTCCGCTGGACTGTTCGTCGGAGGCAGCTGTGTTGAGGGCACAATCCAAATTACTGTGGATGATGCGGTGCGCGTAAGGCATAGACGGGCACTCGACATTGCCCGTATATCGGTTGACCTAGTTGGGGTCGAAGAGATGACGGCTAACAGAAGAGTGACTTTCCTCAACCTAGCTACTGAGCTGATTGACTCGGATAATCCACCGCCGTATAGCATGGTTGAGAGTCAGGAGCAGGTAGCGCCCGATGACCCCTTTTGGCATCTGATTTCATCAACGACAAACGTTCCTTTCCTCTTGAGTTTGCCTCTGGACGTTGGGCCTCCACCATTCCAGTCCAAATCTGCAAGGATTCGATATGTGCTCTGTGTCACTCTATTGGTCCGAGAACAAATGAAACAATACGTTGTAAGGACTTCTGAGGATATTACGGTTCTTTCAGTCTATGATCGTAAGTTTCACGTATTTCAGTCTGACTTTCGCTCACTGAGAACTTTGGGTAGCCGAGAAGGCGTTGATGTCGCTACCAAGCCCTCTTACTGCGTCGGACGAGTACTCGAGACCGCGGGATAGCAGCATAGAAGGCATCAAGGTGACGGCAGGCCTACATCGCCAGGTCTGGGTCAGTGGAACTAGCATATACGTCGACGTCCACGTTGCGAACAACAGCCGCAAAAACATCAAAAGGATTGAGCTGCAGCTGGAACGAGATATCCTCTGCTATAAGCACGTCTGTGTCAAGCTGTGCTCAAGACTTCTCAATACATAATGCTGAATAACTACGTGTAGGCTGCCGCATCAACAGCAGAGAAATCAGCAAGCCAAGCCCGAATATTCGACAGCAACGAGCGTTCCATACTCAGCAAGTCTTCTATCAAGCAAGGAACCGCGGGATGGAATGGCATCGCCGCCCACACAACGCATGTTCGAACTTGCGACCTAGAGTTGCCTCGTGGGCATGCCACTGTGAAATGCGGTAAGCGCCTCTCTGAGCTCCCCAGATGTCTGTTGTTATACTGAGACCACCCAGGGAAGTTTTTCGAAGTTCGATATTTCCTGAACGTAATCGTCAGCAGCGCACATACGTAGGTCCTCCGTGTCCCTTGTTCCGAGCGAAGGACTGACGTCTCATCAGAAAGCTTGTCACTGTCCAACTCCCAATCGTACTCATCCACATGGTGAGCTGATGCCGAATCTTAACGAGCACTATCTTCGTTCATCCGCTAACGAGCTATTAGAATTCTCTAGACGTGGTTCCCAACTCAGTTGCTCAAGTCGCTGCAGCCATAGAAGAGAAGCGATACCACCAAAACTTCCCCAAGAACCAAGATTTACCCGGCCATCTGGAGAGACGGCCTTCGCACCACTCAGTCCAAGGCCGCGCTTGGAATGCCCCGCGGATGCAATCGCTGGAACGGATGCGCAAGCAGGCCGAAGACATAGAAGAGCTTGGTCAGATTCTTGATAACTCTCCCCGGAAATTCGGAACGACCCGCCACGCAAACAGTGCATTCAATTACCACACGCCGCCATCCAACCGCAAGGGGCGTGTCTTGGAAGGTGGTGACGCTGAGGAGGTCAAGAGAAGACTAAGGCATGTGCGGAGCAGCGAGACAGTTGCAAGCAAGAAGACCGTCATGCGCGGATTCTCGCTCCGCGGGAGGCGGACAGGCGCAGGGAGCGCGATGGGGTTTCGAGAAGCCGAAGTCCGCGAGGGCGTGGACCTTGGGGGCTTAACCCTTGGCGGGGACGGGAGTTTCCAGTCTCGGCTGGAGGCAGCACGGGAGAGACAATACCAGTTCAAGAAGAAAAAGAGTGTCGAGCGGTGGAAGGGTATTGGATGGATTAAGGGCGGCGGCGGCGGTGACAAGGACAAGGACAAGCCCGAATCTTGGATATGAAAAGCTGGGGTCGGCGCGGCCTGATGCTGTTTTGGATGCAAGTTGGTCATCCAGAGCCTGGAGTATATTTAATCCTCTCGCCAATTGGGCTTACTAGTTGTCTTGGGCTTACGCCATTGGTTGTGTAGGTTTGTTGTTGGAGTCTAGCGTGGGAATGTTAGAAACCGATGTCAGGCACATATTTCTAGCACGACATCACGTAACTCGAGTGGGACTAATATGACGAAACTGCGAATTCAATTCTCTTCATGCTCTGTCGTTCTATCAAAGTTCGTGATGTGCTGCCGATCCTACATCATGACCCGGTTCCATATCGGACCTAAAGCGGATAAACCGCTAAGCCTGTGCCCAGGTGCTGATCTCCGTATGATCACGACAAGTCTGCGAGCAATCTGGACTACACGTTCTAAGACCGTCGAGGCACGTCTGACCGAGTTCCGCGCAGCCCCAGCGTCAAAGCAATCTATTATCATGAGGGGAGGACTGACTCAGTGATGAATTGCCTATTGATTCTAGCTTTTTCCAAAAAGGGTGAAACGAGTCTTTGTATCTAGTCTCAACCCCTTACTATAACCATTCGTTAAGCTGTTATGTGCGTAGATAGTGGGGAAGATGTCAGACGGAGAGGAGAATTCGATACATCTCATTGCGGCGAATAAAAAAGGGTCCGAAAGCCGCTAAGAGCCTTAAGATGGTCTGCAAGCTCCGGGCTCCAGCCGTCGCCAGTTTGAACGTATTTTGCTAATCTCATAAACAGGTGAAGGTGCTTTCTGACGCCAAATGAGTCGAATCTGATCTGATCTGGGTGCCCGGGAATATCCACGTCCCAATGCCTCCCATCCCTTTCGACGGCAATGATATGCCATACGAGAGTCGCAGCCATGGCATAAAAGAAAGGCCCGCAGGCACCCTTGTCGAGCTTCGCCGCGTCATTCTGTTGTCCAGGAATCTGGCTTGGAGAATTTTGTTCGTATTGCATGCCCCAGGGCTTGTCGCGAAATCCCAAAAACCTTTGCATTCCCGCGTCCACATAGCCTGCCGTTTCAGATAATAGTGCCCCGAACGAATCGATGTAGTGGGACTTTTTACAGACCAAATCGACCACCAGTAGACACCAATGGCTTCCTTGAGAGATCGAAATATTGCCATTAGTGGGTTGATAGCCGTCGTTGATTGGTATAAATACCCATCGCTTGTCCTGAAGGTGGTCTTTCAGTTTCTCGAGGCCCTTCAGATCCTCAGGGCCAAAGTTTTGGAGCTCTTTCACTCCTATCTGGCAAAGAGCCCTGGCATCGGTGGGATTCATGAGGGATATTCCCTTATCACTGCAGCTGGTCCAGATGCCCAGTAGCTCAAATGCGACGGCAATAACATTGTCTGACACCCATCCATCTTCCCTGGTGCCCTGAAGGGCGGGGATCTCACTTTCATAAACAACCGAGTGCTGCAGTTCAAGAAAGGCCGTTCCCGGTTTCGCTTCTGGTATCACAGAGAGCCAGGTGTGATCGTCTTCCATTGCCATTGTAACACTTCTCTAGCCAGGGCCAGGTTCCTCGCAATGAATTCCTTGAATATACTGTAAGATCTAGTGGTAGTTTTGTTGGTGAAGGTCCTTCTGGCGAAGCGTACTGTGTTGAATGGTAATTCAGATTCGAGCTTCGAATGTCCGGAATCGTGGGTACCTTTGGCCGAAACAAGATGCCATTCGGAGGTGTTGCTACGAAGGCGCGGCGCGACTCGACCTATCTGGCTTTGTCTAGACAAAGGCACTCATGGATATTCTTTGTCCAAGGAGTGTTGCACGGCCGTAATAAAGCGACATTGACACAAAGAACCGTGCGAAGCCTACAAAGACGGTGTATCGACCGAATCAGATGTTGTTGACCCTAACACAAGCAGGTCTCTATGAGACACACATGCCGCTCGCATGCCGCGCATGAAGTGTCCAATCCAGGAATAAGATGGCATTTTTGACAACTGTTGCATCGTGTTCACAAGTTCGGCGAACTCTACTTCTGGGTCTCCCCCAGCTTCGGCGACATACTGTAGAGCTGAACTAAGAGGGAAAGTGATAGCTTGACTAGAAAACAAGCCCGAGTATTCTCTGAAGAAGTACTTCGTCAATCGGGAGATGTTTATCGCGTAGAGTTTCGGATACGTCCTCGTTGGAAGCACTACGTGCGCTTTGTCTGATTCATGTTCTGACAAAGTTTTGATAGCAGTGTGCAGGAAGTTATAGGTATATAAGCATGCAGTCCAATATAGAACGGCCGTATATAGGACGTCGTATCCTAAAGGTACGAAATCCTCAGGTGAGAGACTTCCCGGGTCAGACGTGAAGGCATCCGCCATCAAACGTATCTTAAGGGGGGAGTCTGATAGCTGACGGGAAAATCGTTGACTCCATCTTTGTAGTTGTTGGTCTATTCTCCAACACCGCCTTACCAAGCCTTGAAGTTTCGCTAACTCTGCACAGTTCGGGGTTTTCATGCTCAACTGAATGGTGTCGTGCTCTGCGAGAATGGCGGGGAAGAGCGCAAAAATACTGACCAACTCGTCTCTGATCGTCTTCGGCTTCCTCTCCCATGGCAAAGTATTCCACTCTGGTCTTGCAAGGTACGTCGCTTTCCGGAGACCAATAGCAGCGATGACCTAAATAGTTCAGAGTTCTGAAATTCTAGCATGAAATACAAGGTACATACTAGTGGTAAACGGGCATCAATGAACATGATGTGCTCGTCATCCGAACAATGCTGCTGTGGCCCTCGGAGCTCAATGAGTCGACCTACGCCTTGGACATGTTTTATCCAGTTCGTACCTGGAGCCCTCCTGTCCTTGGCACTGTTATATTGCTAGAAATGGTCAGTTTGGCCGGGTGAAATGAGAAAAGGAGGCATGGCATACTTCGAACATCGCAAGCAGTTTACAGGAAGCAACCAACTCGACTCTTCCGACCTGCTGCGGGTCTCTCAGAGCCCGGTTGACTTGGGCGAGAGCTCTCCCATAAAGCTCGATCGCTTGCTGTGTCATGGCTGCGTTTCCGCTAGTCAACCCAATCCTTGAAGTGCTCACAGCGCGAAACGCAGACCTGTTCTCCATCAGAATTCAATACACTATAGGAATGGAGCAGAGTATTAGACCTCAGAACCTCACAGCCAGGACTGTATTTCTCTATGGCCTTTGCCCACTGGGTCACTGCAGGGATACCATAATGTTGAGTACTACACCGGTGGTCTCTGGGAAGGAAGTCGGTCCAGAAAAGCTCAAATGTCTTAGTCTCGAACGCTGAACAACCAAGGTTCTGTGGCAAGGGTTCAAAGGATGACACCGCTCGCAAGTGCAAGGCTGTCTGGTCTGGTCGTGGCTTTGCAGCGGTTCGGCGTGACAGATCTGTACGGCTTCTTGGTACGGGAATAGAGGGATTATGCTGAATGATTGTGAGGTCTCGGTTGTAGCCGCCACACATGACCTTGCTGCGAATACATTGGCCACATTGAGGCCGCTGAAGGTCACACTACAATCCTTTAGCACTCGGAATCCTTGCAGGCCAAATACTCACTCCTTTCTTCCTCGCCCTGCAGGTCTTGCAACCTTTTGAGCGACCGGGCACTCCAACCATTACTCACTCGCTAGCCGGGAATGACTTAGGGGCATCGCAGATAAGGTTGCGACAAGCCGGAGGCCGAGCGCAAGGCTTGCAGCCTGCGATTCGAAACCGATGGGGAAGAATGCAGCAATCTAAATGGTGGAAAGGGAAGTGTTTGGAGACGTTGCATGGAGTTTGATGTGCATTGATAAGTCCACTGGCTGCTTAGTGTGCGCCACGGCGTTGCTTAGTGCATTTTCGGAGGTGGTTTTCAGCTCGACACGTGACGTAGCTGTCCAACACATGGTGATAAACGAAACATCTCTTTCGAAAAAACGGGGTGTTACCATAATCGAAGACTAGTAACATTATTGTGCTCTATGCTCATCGTTGGTTGACCGAGTTAGAAAGCTACTCATGCTAGTCCGTGTATTCTGGAAGACGGACCCCAGCACGACTCCATTCCATGCAACTCAAGAATATGCTCTACGTCTCACAAGAAGTCTATTGTTGCTTCACCAGCAACAATCAGACACCCGCCCACACATCTTCACTGTCATCGACGACCGTCGCCTTGCCTCTTCCCTTCCCACCCCTCCCTCCACCCCCGCCTCGCTTCTTTCCTTTCCCACGTCCACCAGGAACCTCATCATCTGCTGCGCTGAGATCCACTACGACTCCCTCGGGTAAAACGCCATCTCTCATTAGCACCTCTCCGCCCCCATTCCGTACCTCAACACTCTTGAAGAACTGATAGCCCACGAATCCTTTGTCGTCACCCTCAGTGAGTATGACTCCGTTATCGCTCTTCCAGAACTTAATACCAGCCTCCAATGCCTTCGTGATATCGATGTAGATGAGAATGGTCGAGGAATGTCGCATGCCTGATATGACAAGAGGCTTTGTCTCTGCTTCAGTCTGCGCGGCTTCGTTGCTGTCCTTGGTAACTGGCTCAACTGGCTTGAGACCCGCCGGTAGCCCTGGAGCAAAGTGGATGTGATTTCTACCCATCCTTCTCAGACCGCCCGTCTTCAGGATCAGTGGCCATGCTGCATTGGTCGTCCCGTGGATGACAATCCCCGGGGCATCTTCCGCAGTGATGGGAGTGAGAAGGCCCTCGGAGTCCACTTTAATGGAATGGCCTTGATTAGCCCGGATCAAGAAGCAGCTGGGGTCTTCAGAATCTAGCCCTTCCGGCTCGGCGATGGTTTCGGTGGCAGATTCTCCAGCATTGCCGGAAGAGGCTGCAGCTGCGGGGATGAGAGAGAATCTTTGCTTGTCGTTGTCGGCGACGATTGTTTTTATTTCGTCAAATGTGACTTTGAGGCCTTTTATGCATTGTGTTCGAAGCTACGTTTCGACTTAGCTCTATCATAAACGATGCAACGATATTTTATGATGAACTAGGAAGTCTTGAGTGCATGCTGAAATCCATTATCTGACGCGGGAGGAACGAGGCAATGATGAAAATCGGTTGAGTCTTAGGTAAACGACGACGAAAAAAAGGGAGAATACAGAACGTAGAAAAAGGCCACCTACCACATCCGCGACGCTGACATAGCCCCCATCCCCTAGTGTCAATTTTTCTTGTTGTGCTCCATGTCTCAAAAGCCAACTGAGCTTCTTCGACACTTGGACATCCCGTGGAAGCTCCCTGCGCCTATCGCCTCCGCCTCGACCTCCACGTCTACTCGACATCTTCACAGCGTCTAACGCTGCGCGAAACCTGAGGCGTATCCTGGATCAAGCCTAATGATACCTATTCACGATCGGTGGCGTGTCGCAGTAGACAGAATGAGACTGTTTGCTGATGACGAGGTTGCAATGTTGGTGGTTGTTTGCCGAAAATGATTTTGAGTTGTGGCTGCTATCTAGGCTGCCTCACGACTTCTTTGTGGAACTAAACTAGTGAGTCACGGAACCCTCTTTCCTGCATATTCACCAAGAACCAAGTGAAAGCCGAAACTTATGTACAATAAGACTCATCGGGTTTTCATGGGTTACAATCGGTCAACATAGCAGTCTAGGAAGTCTTCATTTCATTTGCAGGCGGACGATTACATTATTAGGGAGTCGTGCAAGTCTAGCTATACATAGGTCTGCGGCCCGGCATCTCCTTCGTCTCTCGTTTACTTCAATAGTCCACACATGCACTGACAATCGGGAACCGGGCACATTGCATGCCGTGCAAACCAATCCCTCGCATGGTGCCCATGAAATCCATGCGTACATCTCATACAAAACACCATAAGCCTCGTCTCTGAATCCTCTTCCGCGAGTGCCGCCGCTGCTCCTGGCTTTGCAGGATCTGGGCTCCCGAGCCACATCATACACAATCCACATCGAGGCATTTGAGCCCCGCAGTGAGGGCAGGATAGACTTGTTCCCGCGCTCTGACGACCGAGGAAGCGTTTGCTCGGAGGAGTGGGTTGGTGCGGGTCGGCCATGACATAGTCTCGCTTGCTCTTGTTATCGCGGCGCAGGGCGAGGTTCATCTGGCAGTTGTGACAGCGTACTGACAAGGCAGGTGATGAAGGCTTATTCAACGACCGCTTTTCGCGTGTGACAGAATATAAATTGTGTTCTTTGATGAAATGAGTCCGTTCCAGGAAAGTTCGCCAGGTCTGCATCTGCGACAGATATGTGTCTTTCCAGAGAGACCAGCGGGGGTCGTTGATGTACAGCGGATTGGTGCGTGCCATGGCAAGAACGGCGGTCTGTATGTCGCCAAACTTAGCAATGTAATGCTCGAATATGTTCATAGCTTGCTCAGTAAGGCCAGTCAGGATTAGTCCCTCGACGTTGCCGTACACGATTGCTTCGCTCTGGGCGATGTGGAGGAATGATCCAAGACGTTCATCATCCAAGTATTTAAGGGCGACTCCAACGCGGTCAGTCAGAGACAGTTGCTTCATATCAGTCACGGTGCTCCACTCGCCGCTGATGAAGTACGCCAAAAGCGCTTTCAGATATGGATCATCTGTCTCCTCTGCCATCCAAGAGCACATGTGTCGTTGCTCATCATTGACCGAATCGCAAGCAATGACAGCTGCAAGTCCAATGGTATGCAGCAATTTCTGCTGGATGGCATATCTTAAAAGATCTAAGGCAACGTCCTTGTAACCTTTAAAAACAGCCAGGACAATAGCTTTGTGATATTCGCCCCGGTCCATGAGGGCCATACACTTCTCCCGTAGCCCTTTCGTGGATAGATTCCATCCACAAATAGACAGGCAAAGTTGCCGGTGTTCTGGAAAACTTGTGTGAACACCCTGAAATTCAGGAAAGTCCTTCTCTTTGCAGATAATCTTGACTGCTGTTACGAAGGTGGATTTTGATGGTTCCTCGACGTCAATGACCCGTTGATCGATTGAGCCGAGCTTGTTGGACCATATCGAGCTTACGCCCAGGTAAGTCAAATCAAGCCCATTCGCTATCATACCATCCTCGTATGATAACAAGTCCAATCTTGAAATAAGGCCCCACATATCAACTAACCACGGATCGTTTGCGACAATCTCTTGGTTCTTTCGACAGTCCATGTTGTAGCCTTCTTGACATCTTCTCTTATGAGTCTCAAGCACCTTGAGAACATCTGAAAGCTTGACTCTCACGTCTGGGAAAGCAAGAGTAAGCAGATCCTCATGGAGCTCCCTGCTTGAGTGTATAGATGATTGAATATTGATCGCTGATGGTGTTCGTTTCGGCTGGTCGATGGAGAACTTATCTAACCGCTCTGACAAGCTTTCCTTTGGGTTCGGGGTCACAGAGTGCTTTTCGCCCAGGGCTTTATTTTGGAGGATCGTTAAGTCTTCTGCAACTGTCCCGTGCCTCTGGCTTGGCTTAGCGATGATGTCACGGTTCCTGTATATTTCGTCGAGCACCGTCACGTTGATAAGGGCTGCCGGAGCAGGGACCCTCAATAGCTCAACATCCCGGTTTGGTCGAAGAGCAAGTACGCATTGTCCGCTGACAGGGCTACCCACGTTCATGAAATCACACGCTATAACGCGGGTGCTTTCGTTTTGCCTATGCCGTTCATCGTAGTACGGATACTGCAAATTGTGCGAAGTCTTCGTATAATGAGGAGAATTCCATGATGAAATGCCCTGAGGAGGCATCTGCGTAAGATGGGACTCAATTTTGTGCGAATGCTGCGCAAGCTCGACCACCTTCAATTCTCCTGTATTCGATAGTACGCCGAAAGATGCTCTCTTTGTGCCAGAAAATCGAAGACTCCAAATGGTCGCCGACTGGGTATTGTCTACCACAGGCTGAATGTCGAGCACAGCACCGCTTTGTGATGCCTCTCCTGGGGTGCCTGGAGTGGAGCGTGCGGCGAAGCGTTTATCCCAAACACTCACGGCCGGGTCACCAGTGGGTCCAGCTGATATGAAATAGTTCTCGTCGAGCGGATCTATCGCCACATTATGAACTTGGCGAGTTGGGAATTGTGCCGCACTAGAACCTCCAGAGTCTACCAGTTCATGTCAGTCTTCTCATGAGATGGATTTGGAGGCATCTGAACAGGCTTGAGAAGTGGTAAATTTCGGCCAACTTACCACGCAAATCGTACAACCGAATGCATTGTCGAGACACCCCCGCAATCAGAGTATCCGGCTGTCCAGTGAAGAACTTGATGCTTGTGATAGCTTCTGAGCTGGCAAGCTTCCTATACGGTTCTTGTAGAGCCGCAACAGACGGGGTATTAAGATCATAGATGTTCATACAAAAGTCATTACGCACTCGATCTAGGCCTGTTGCCAGGCAGTTCTTAGCGCTGAAAGCTATCGAGTTGCACTTTCTTTGATGTTTGATAGAGAATGTATGAATGTACTCGGAATGCGGCCGGTCGGCATTGATCTCAACTATAGTCGCTTCACCAGATGCAGACCCTAAGGCAACGATATACTCGTCTTTCTTGGACCAGTCGAAGGCGGTGAAGTTTGGGAGTTTATCTCGTTGACAAAGCTGCTTGTACTGCACTTTGCCTTGGTCGAACGAGTCGATTTGACACAGTCGTAATCGATTTCCCGCGACATCGATGATGAGAAAGCGAGGTTTCTGCTTCGTAGAGTGAGGCGACCATCTGATAGCTGCTTCCATGTTACTGGTATGTCACCGGGTGATTGGGGTCATCGGTGTTTTGAGGGGACGCGTGTTGGGATGATACTGTTCATCTTATAAAAGCATGCTCGGCAGCTTCTGTGTCTTCAGGAGTGCATTAGGAGTCCGGACGAAAAGAGATTATGCTGGAGTATTGGGATCACGTTCGTTGGAGGCGCGTACGACGTTCTGAGGTCTCGCCGAAGTGCGGAATGCTGGGGTATAGTCTGCCGTAGAATATTCTGCGGTGAACGAAGCGGGTAAATTATTTCTCCCAGCTCTGCTCCACTACAACCTACGATCGCAGTCATGCCTCGAAAACGGAAGCTTCCCGAACTCAGTGAAGATGTCACGCCGAACGTACCTCTTGAACGCGAACCTGTCAAGAAGCAGAAGAGGCCTCCCCTCCCTGAACCCCAAGTGCCGCTCTCCAACCCAAAACCACGACCTCGACCCTCCTCCTACAAGCCAAACTCAAAACCCTCCGCCGCGCCATCGTCGAATCCGAATTCCCTCAACTTTTTGAAAACTCGAATCCGAAACCTCAAGCGCCTCCTCGAACACACTGATCATGATAGAGGCTATAAAATGCCAGCTGGCGTGCGCATTGTCCGGGAGCGCGAGCTGGCGACTTGCGAGCACGACTTAGCAGAGAAGACCAACGCTGCAAGGGAATCAAAGCACAGGCAAAAACTGATTGGTAGATATCACCAGGTGCGGTTCTTTGGTGAGTACACAATCTGTTTTGCCAGTATGAGGGAGGAGCCGTGTCTAATGCTATCTAGAACGCCAAAAAGCTACCCGTGTATTGAAGAAGATTCGTCGCGAAGTGGAAGCTGCCTCTAATCCAGCAGAAAAAGAAGAGGCGCTCCGGAGAGTGCATATCGCTGAAGTGGATCTGAATTATACGATGTACTACCCTCTCATGCGACCCTACTCTGCTCTTTTTCCGAAAAATCAAGGCGACGGACCTACGACGAGGTCATATCCCACCCCAGATGTCGAAGAGGATAGTGCAGGGGGACAGGATGCGGGGGTTTCTGCAGATCCAAACGCGCCACCGACTACGAAAGGCGACCCTGCCATGTGGACGGCCGTAGAGCGAGCGATGGAAGATGGCACGTTAGATGCTCTTCGGAACAGCAAGCCCTTAGAACGGGGTCTTCAAGCAACGAAACAACGACAAACATCAAAGAAGGAAAGCGATCTGAAGCGGAAGCATGGTCAAAAGGAGAAAGGACGGGATCCACGAGGGACCTACGCGAAGCCTGGTACTGGGCGTACCACTAATGACGTCATTACCGAGAACGAAGACAGCGACGGTGGATTTTTTGAGTAGAGCGTACATATGTATGCCTTCCCCAATGGTATAGAGAAAACGGGTCGGTGTGCATTATCCTGGTTGGTGGAAAACTGTTGCGGACTCGGATTGAGCACATGGCACGTGGAGAATTGAACAAAGGTCCACGGCGTTGGTAGCTTTAGGATATTTCAAGGCTCATCACTTGAGGACTTAGGTTTCCAGGCCCCGTATGTTGCTTGGTACCCTTTAGAGGTGGTAGCACTCTAAATATTTGGGCTTCTATGCCAACAAATACGATTGATAGAAAACAAGTAATGCATACGACGGGCTGGAAGTGGTCGACACGTGATCGTGTTCAATCGCACGTTCGTTCACACATGAAGAAATAGCCTGAGGAGACGATAAACTGTCTTGTGCAGGGTAGCAGAGCCTCAGTCTATTTACGATATATGGGGACGTATGAGACGCGGACTATGCTTGCAAGGAATCAGCCAACAAGCTCATGAATATCGCCAGGATTGAGTGACGTTAGTCATTGAGAGTTGAGGCAGTGCAGCGTGCGCGGAAATTGTCTTTGCATCATCCAGGAAAACGAGGCTGTGGGATGAGGGCCTGATCAGTGGCTTGGAGAATCGGAGCTATTGCACACCCCAGCACCACCCCGGACTGTTTCATCGCCAAGCTGCATGCACAATCCTCGTCGGCGATGCTGCTTGTACGTACCCTGAAGCCCTGCCGGCTCGGATGAGAAGCAGCCTTTTGAGCCAAGGGGCAGCACAGCAGCTCTCCAGGATCGCCATCCTTCGTCCTTCATCCTCCTTCATTTCACCACCAATCGTCATCGTCCCATCTCCTCTCCACAGCGCTCTCCGAACGGCCTTGTGCCGACCTAACTAATTTAGTTTGCCCGCTGACTTCCGGGGAGCATAGGGCGAGCGATGATCTCAATCTAAACATCAAGCATTGGCCGAGAATCGTGGAGTAGCATGCTCAAGGCCGAGCAACGTCGCGCTGCGACCTGCGAGGATGTGACAGCATCATGCGCCCAGTGCGGGGCGTCTCACTAGGATAGCCGTCAGCACGAGACACTAGTGAGTAGTTCAAGTGCAAATTAATGGGTGGTCGCCCTGGCTGTCGTCGTTCGAGTAGGTGCGGCTGTATATATTAGTAGGCTCGAATGTCCGCCTTCATCTTGATACTTCGAGCCCCGCTCCCAGTACAGTGTTTCGTGTAGCCTCGCATTCTTCCACCAGACGCCATTCCGCCGCGCGACGTGGATCCTCTATTCCTATAAGACCTTCACTCAGCCTCAGACCCCCTGCGCGTCACTCTAAATGCCAAGAGGTTGAAGAAACCTCGATTCCCTTCCTTCTGTTCTGCACGATGGGTTGGTTTAAGCTCGTTATCGTTGGAGCCTTGCTGCCTGCTGCTTTTGCGGTCCCTCAAAGGAATATTCGTCAGAGTTATGACGACGAGGCAAAACGAGCACAGGCAGTGAAAGACGCGTTCCTCTTTTCGTGGAACGGCTATAAGACTTATGCATTTCCTCATGATGAGCTCCACCCGGTGAGCAACTCGTATGGCGATTCAAGGTAAGCAGTACACATTACGTGCTTATGTGTTGGGTACTCATAGCATTTAGGAACGGCTGGGGAGCCTCCGCCGTGGATGCTCTCAGCACAGCTTTGGTCATGGAGCTTTCTGATGTCGTGAACGAAATCATCGAGTACGTCCCGACTATAGATTTCTCCAAGACTAGTACCGAGGTCAGCCTATTCGAGACCACTATCCGGTATCTTGGCGGCATGTTGGCTGGATATGATTTCCTGAAGGGCCCATTATCGGGCTTAGCAAAAGATGTGAGCTGCATTCTTGGTCTCCATATTTTCGGAACTCATGCAATAGTAGGAGAAAAACGTCGATGCTTTGCTTGCTCAGGCCCAGAGTCTCGCCGATATTCTGTCATACGCATTCGATACTCCAACAGGAATCCCGTTCAACGAGCTCTGGATTGAGAATCGCTCGCATGTAGATTCATTTCAAGGGCTTGCAACCACCGGAAGTCTCATCCTCGAATGGACTCATCTATCCGATCTCACGGGAAATCAGACATATGCAGAATTGAGCCAGAAGGCGGAATCTCGTCTGCTTAATCCACAGCCAGCTTCTAGCTCGCCATGGCCGGGCCTTCTGGGTTACAATATCAATGTTACCACAGGACTATTCCAGGACGACTTTGGTGGCTGGATCGGCGGAGCTGATTCGTACTATGAGTATCTAATCAAAATGTTCGTCTACGATCCCACTAGGTTCAAGGAATACAGTACCTAGTAAGTATCACCTGATTGCTCATTCTATTATCCAAATCTGACATCACTGCAGCTGGTCCACCGTTGCCGATTCTACGATTGCACATCTGACAACTCATCCTACGACGCGACCAGACATCACTTTCGTGGCCGAATATAGCGGAAAGACCCTGATCGAGAGCTCTCAGCATCTTGCATGCTTCAACGGCGGTAACTTCCTCCTCGGCGGCACGGTTTTGAAAAAGCAAACCTATATCGATTACGGCCTTGACCTTGTCGACGGCTGCCGCGCGACCTACGCCGGAACAGCCACCGGCATTGGCCCCGAAGTTTTCGGGTGGAACTCTTCCCTTGTTCCCGCTAATCAGACAGAATTCTTCCAGAAGAACGGGTTCTACATTACGACCGCAAGCTACGACTTACGCCCAGAGGTCATCGAATCTTACTATTATGCCTACCGTGTTACTGGCGACAAAAAGTACCAGGAGTGGGCTTGGGAAGCCTTCTTGGCCATCAATTCTACATGCGCGGCAAACTCGGGCTATTCGGCCGTGGACAACGTGAACGAGGTAGGAGGCGGAGCGAAGGATGACTTCGAGGAGAGCTTTTGGTTCGCGGAGGTGATGAAGTATGCGTACCTAATCCATGCACCGGAGGCAGAGTGGCAGGTGGATGGAAGCGGGAACAATAAGTGGGTGTTCAACACAGAAGCACATCCATTCAAGGTCGTGGGTTAGTTCATTCCAAAGAATACTATTACTAGCTGAGTGCAGAGGACAGTGGGTGGCTCCAAATGAAAGCCTTGATGCAAATAAGACAAGTCAGACTTCACAGGCCCATCCAACTTCACAGGCCCATCATACTTCACAGGCCCATCATACTTCACAGGCCCAGCAACTTCTTTCTTTCTCTGCGCCTCTTTTTCAAGCGTTTGGACTCCTCATAATAAACGCTATATTCTAGATAGACGTCGTCGAAGATCACGTGATTTACACAAGCCCGATATCTTACCATTGTAGCTAGTCTAATAGGTTGTCTCGTACCAAACCAAGTCTTGAACAAGAACTAAATTGCGAAGCTCCGTGAATATGCATCCCCTAATTGCCGAGATAGCATACAATCTGAGGCAGTTTCTATATATATTTGCTTTCGGCAATTATGGGCCCAATAGATGGACAAGGAGTTGTCGGAACTCCGAGCTGTGTGCAGTGCTACGGACTTCAGCTCTACTAATCTCACTCAACCCAACCTGACAATGATATCAAGCCCGCAAAGAAGAACTTTCAAGGGAAGCCAGCAAAGCCGAACAACCTAAAGGGCCAAGTACACACGTAGAGTTCCGGTAAATCTACACCACCTTCCAGGAGCAATTCTCGTATCCCGCACCTTAAACCGGCCACTTTCCCTACTCCCCCCCCCTCCGCAAACGCCCTCAGAAACTTCCGCGCCTATTCGCATCTCAAAGAAGAAACACACCCATTTCCCCCAAAAAACTTCCGGCGCCAAACCACCATGAATGCCCAACCCCCGAAACCCAGCATCCTCTGCTTCCACGGCTCCGGCTCCAACGCCATGATCTTCAACGTGCAGCTCGCGCGCCTCGCGCGCCTCCTCCGGCCAACCTTCGACCTCGTCATCCTCGACGCGCCCTTCGTCGGCGCGCCCGGCCCGGGCGTCCTGCCGTTTTTCGAGGATTGCGGGCCGTACGCGTACTGGACGCACCCGGCGCGCAACGGGACCACCGGCGCCGACAGGGGCACCGGCATCGAGAGCGTTATGTTGCCGGAGGTTGTCGATGTGATTACGAAGGCAGTGAGGGAGGTGGAGGCGAATGGGGGAGAGGTGGTGGGGGCGTGTGGGTTCAGTCAGGGGAGTCGGGTTGTGGCGGGGTTGTTGAAAGCACAGGAGGAGGTGGAGAGGAGGGGTGGAGATGGGCCAGGGGGGTTGAGGACGAGGTTGAGGTTTGGGGTTAGCTTTATGGGGTCCTATCCCCCGCCGCTGCTACCGGCTGAGCTGCAGAGGAAGAGTGGGGATGCGGATGCGGTGGGGGAAGAGAGGATCAAGACGCCGACGCTGCATGTAGCGGGTGCGAACGATAAGTGGAATTTTGCTGGGGAAAAGATGGTCAATGAATGCTTTGATACAAGCACGGCGAAGAGCGTGATTGTTCAGACCGAACATCATATGCCTATCAGTGTAGAGGAGAATGAGATGGTTAAGGAGGAGATTATGAAACTATGGAAGGGAAGTAAATAGGAGGTTATCAGCAGTTTGTTGCACATTAGTACTAGAGGGCTGTTCGAGGGGCGTTATCACGAGTTCACGTAGAGATCGACACTGTCTCATGAAGCACATGGAACCGCCAATGCATATGTATGACTTATCGCTATCACTTCTATGCTTCTGCAGACCGTATACATTGTCTCTTCCTCATACACCAATCAATGGCTAACAAGGACGACCCTCCGTCTCTCAAGCCGGTTCTGACCAGTCCACTTGTTCATGGACAGTACCAGCGCTACTACTCGAATAACTTATCTTCAGCCGTAATCTAAGCCTTGCAGGTGGTGTCTGGAATCTTGGTTAGCAACATTTAGTACGCTGAATGTGATGAACTTACCCCATTGACGGCCGTTACCCTCATCTGCTGGGTTGCTTCTTGTCCACCATCTAACTCAGCTTGACTAATGGGCTGTAGTTGCAGCTTCTGGCTCTTTGGTACTGCCGCCTGAAGGGACACACCGCCAAGACGATCGAATGCGCCCGTGTTTCGGAAACGGGCCAAAACTTGCACAGCAGTGGCGGTGCGTTGAAGTTGGAAGGTAATTTGGAGATCGTTTTTGTTGTAGGCAGCATGAGCTGGTGGTCCCGAAACTGGTGGAGGCGAGGCTTGTGGTGGAGGTGAGGACATCCCACCAAAAAGGTCGACATTCGATGGTGGTGGCTGTTTCACCGTGGGTTGAGGTGTGTTCGTAGAAGGCGTGTCGAAGAGGTCCAGTATTGAGTTGACGTTGGACCTCGGCGGCGGTGACGTCGTTTGTCCTACAGGTGACGAGAGTGAGGAGCCACCAAGAATATCCGCGAGAAGGTCTGCGTTATTCTGAGAACCGTTCGTTGGGCCGTTGAGCTCTGATGGCATATCAGACCCACCCATAAGATCGAGAAGCATGTCTTCGCCAGTGATCTGGGAAGACTTCTTCTTGGTGACCTTTGAATGACGTTTCTTCGTAGCTTCACCGAGTACTCGCTGTTCTTCGCGTATCTCTGGAGCGGGCATTTTCTCTAGCACGCCCCTCCTAACCTGGTCATAGCCAAATAAGTTGACGTACTCCACTGACCGTTGCTGAATCTCAACGTCAAGATTGGTTTGGTTTCGTAAGAGCATTCGCCTTAGTCTCTCGATTTGGGCAGCATCATTCATACGAGTGGTAAGCTTCATTGCCGCCGTGATGATGTACTCGGTAACAATCTGGCCCGCGTAGCTGCTGTTGAGAATGGTCTCGAACAAGTCAACAAGATCATGCTCTTTGACCTCTTTGACGAGTTCTTCCTCCTCATATTGCCCCCCTCTGAGTAGCGCATCACCATACTCTCCGATCACCCATGAGCCAGCGAGAGTAAGGCCATCCTGAGTAATGTCGTCTTTGAGCGCTGCATATAGCTTTTGCACCGAGTACGTTTGCAATTCAGGGGTCGTTGCAATGAGTCTGACAAAGGATGAAAGTATTTGCTCCTTGACGTAGTTGCCAGCCTAGAGGACGCTATCAGTACAGGCCCAGATAACTGATATTGGGAAAGAGCTGATAAACGACATACCAGTTTTAAAACCCGTAGCATCGTGTCAACGTGCCATCTCTTGTTTGGCGCAAATCGATCCGCCGCAATGCCAATCTGGGAAGTCATTATAGGCTTGAACTCATTATCTGCGACTTCAAGGAAAGCAAGCAATTCTCTGATTAGCACCCGTACGTTACTCTCGTTGATCAATGTGAAGCTCAAATCGAGAGCTCTCCTTCGAATACTAATGTCGGGGTCTCGTAGACAGTCCAGAATGGTATTCCGATGTCTCTGGACCGCATTGGGTTCCACAGCTACGACCTTTATGAGAGTGTTCAAAGCAACGTAGCGAATGTTGTTATCCCGATTAGAAAGGAATTTTCCGAGAATGTTGACGCCTAGCACCCGGAGGCCTGAATCGGCTTCGATGTCGAGAATAGTCAGGACTGCTTCGTATAGAATCGAGTTGCCGACGTTCTTCGATGCTTCGGTGTTTGTCGCAACCTAGTAGAGTCAGCTGATATTCCTATTTTAGTTCTTTCAAATTTGGTGTTGAAATTCTTCAACCTACCTGTGCAAGAATATCGTTGATCTGTTCACTTGTTTGGGTGTCACCTCGGCCTAGTACACGCAACAGCTGAAGGATCTTGACTTGGAGAAAGGGGTCCGTGATTCCGGTAACATCGTGTTCTGGAGCATATCCCGAGCTGGACAGTTGCTTCAGTAGCTTGACCAAGCTTGGCACCAGCGGCCGAAATTTATCCACTACATCATTCTCTCCGTCCTCGAGCTCGTCGGCCTCACACATGCTCGTAACCAGTGTCAAACCACATAGCAGCACGCCATGGTTTCGATCTTGAAGCAACAGTTTCGACTTTTCCAGAAAGTGTTCTTGGAGATCTGGGACTTTGCGACATATCCGCATCGCACAGAGGGCAGCCTTCCGGCGTATGTATGGATTGGCACTTGATATTATCGTCTCGACTTCCGGGAAAAGATCTCGGGACATTTCGACAGAGGCGATATTTGCAAGAGTGCACAGGGCGAGACCAACGATATACTGGTTCGGGTGGTTGAGATCACTAGTGAACCGTATCATTAGCACAAGTGCCCAGTCCGATCATAACGCAATTGGTCTTACTTTTTCAGAGAGTTTGTGACCAATGTAAGGACTTCTTGGTTCTCGTCGAGAAGCAACATGGTCCCCAAATATCCCAATCGCTTGTCCGCAAAGCGCGGGGATGCCAGCAGCTTTAGACATTCTATTTGTCCAAAGTGTGTTCGCTCTCCCAAAGTGAACAGGTAGAGGAGCTTTGCGACATTGTTTCTCCTGCTGTTTTCTCAGCGACTGCATGCAAGTACGCCCAGTACCATATACGCACCGAACATTATGGTCGCCGCTCTCTTCCCTGAAGCTTGCTCGGATCGCAGCACTCTCCTTCTGCACGACGGCGCGCTCGTCCGCAATCGTCTTTGCCGCGCGCACATTCCGGATGAACTGCTTTACTAGTACATGTCAGTATCGCGGTGCGAACAGCTTCCGACGAAGGGATGCCTGGAGCGTACGGGAACTCATTGTGGTGGCCTCATAGACCCCGCCTTGGGCGGCGGAAGGGGTGTGATGGAGTCTGTGGTTTGGAAGGGAGGCTAAGCGTATAGAGAGTAGTGAGCAGAGCAGCCGTGTGAGGAGAACGTCTTCATAGTATTTCTGCTCCCCTGTCTGCAATACTTCAGAGCGTGCACGACGGTGAGAGACAACCTTGGCTACGTCGCATTGGGTAAGCGCGCTTAGAGATCACAGATCAGATAAGATCATGCGTGTCCAGATATACGTTGGAATGTGCTCAAAGTTACGCATGGTCTCTCGTGATGTCAGCTCAACATCCCGAGGTTTCTCGACGCTTTGTGTTTGCGCCGGACAACACTCTTCTCCGGAATACGAGGAGCCTCATTGATTCTACAGGTCTCCTCGATCGCCACCCAAGGATCTATGTTGCTGAGCCATCGCTTTCAACCTTGGTCTAAAGTCAAACAGTATATCCTCCGGAACACCGCCACATCTGACACCACGCCGTCCTGACACGGTGTTGATCTTCGGGTGAGATCACACTTCAAGGATTATTTAACCCCCCACACCTTCCCTCTTACTGGCCTCACTCTCTAAGAATGCTGTCGCCAGCAACATGAACGAATCCAGCTCAATTGACCCGCGAAACCTGGACGGCCATCTGGAGGTCGTCCAGCCCCGCGCAAGGAAGCCAGGAAATCCTCAGATACTCCGCGCGCAGTTTGACGATGGGGGTTTGAGACCAAATGGCCCTTTGCAGTCGGGCTCCAACGTGTCGAGGTAGATGGTCCTCAAAATCATGCTTCAAATGCCCAACGCTAATAGAAGGCAGTCGGGGTTCGACACCGGTACCCCCAGATGCCCCACCTTCCGTTCATGCGACCTCTTCTGCGCGCAAGCAAATTCGGGCTGAGCAGAAGCAGCGACTCTTCCCTACAGTAGAATATGCTGCACGAGTCTCCCATTTCGATCCGAAGAGCGATTATCGGGACTTCAGGGGATTCTTTGTGCTCTTTTGGATAGGCTTAGCGATTATGGTCATAAGTACGATGCTTCGAAACTTGAAAGAGACTGGTTACCCGCTATCCATAAGGCAATGGGGTCTGTTCGCCGAGAATTTTTGGGAGCTAGGACTCAGTGATGGCGCAATGGTCGGCAGCACGGCTTTGATCTTACCCATGCACAAAATGTACAGTCGGAACGACGGGATCTTGCGGTGGACCAAACTCGGTATGGCTATCCAGAGCATATTCCAGATATTTTGGCTAGCTTTTTGGGTAGAGTAAGTTAGCGCGAACCTGGTGTAGGAATGTAATTGCTAATGTATTGCAAAGTTGGCCGTTTATACGGAACTGGACATGGACAGCTCAGGTGTTCTTTACTTTGCATCTTCTCGCAATCTTCATGAAGATGCATTCATACGCGTATGGAGCTCATGTGCTCTGACAGTCCATATGTATGCTAAGCTTGAAGCAGTTTCTATAACGGACATCTCAGCGAGACGCGACGCCGTCTAAACGACTTAGATAACCCGGACTCTGCCTCGAAAGCAGCTGCATACAAATATCCACGTCCGAAAGCGCACCTTCAAGACTCTTCGCAGGACGACCATGTTGAAAGAGAGCGGAAAAATGGCGAAAATCTTCTCAAACTTCGTGAGGATCTTGCGTACGAGCTGACGTCTCCTCTCGGTCGGGTAAGCTACCCCCAAAACCTCACATGGGGCAACTACGTGGATTATATCTTTTGTCCGACTTTATGCTACGAGCTCGAGTATCCTAGGACTGCTAACACTCAATGGCTCGAGCTTTTCTACAAGACGCTGGCCGTTTTCGGCTGCATCTTTCTAATGACGATTGCGAGCGAAGAATTCGTCATTCCAGTATTGGATGAGTCTGCCATCAGGTTGCAGAGCTCTCGCAGCATATCTGACTTTGCCTTGATCATGGCGGAGACTACAAGCACACTTCTATTTCCATTCATGGTCATCTTTCTGCTTGTTTTCTTGGTAATTTTTGAGTATATTCTTGGAGCTTTTGCGGAAATAACTAGTGAGTCGATATCTCGGCGTAAAACGATTACCCAAAGCCAAATGCTAAGACGTCTTCTTTAGAATTCGCGGATCGCCAATTCTACGCAGATTGGTGGAACAGCTGCGATTGGCTTGAATTCTCACGCGAGTGGAATATCCCAGTTCACCATTTTTTCCGACGTCATGTCTATTCGGCCTCCCGTGGCCACCTTTCACGACCGGTTGCGACCGTAATCACCTTCTTCATTAGTGCATTGGCACATGAGCTCGTGATGGGCTGTATCACGAAGAAACTGCGCGGATACGGCTTCTTTGCCATGATGCTACAAATGCCAATTGTCATGGTGCAGCGGTCAAGGTTCGTCAGGGGCCGGACACTTCTCAATGTGAGTCTTGCAGCGTCAAATAGCATCAGTGATGTACTGACAGCTATAGAATGTTCTTTTCTGGTGCTCTATGATCCTAGGGCTGTCTATGGTACGTGGCTCCTTCGATACGTCGATGTATTAAGCTTACCCCGAGTAGATGTGCGCGCTCTACGTCCTCGTATAAACAAGTCCGCGTGCAAAGTATTGAGTTCATGAAGAACATGTATAGAATGATGATAGGCTGTGTATTGGATTGGAGGTTGGGATTGCATTAGGCTCTTGATACCCTTCTTTGCATATTGTGCATTCTTATAGATTATTATACTAGCCTTTCAAATTTTACAAGAAATTTGTACTCCTGCATTTGCTCACATTGCCTCAAAAGCTGAATGTTCCAAACCCATGGCAATTGAGGAGGAAATCATCCAATCTGCTTTGTGATGACTTCAAGAAACAAACTACCAAGACACTCCGGACAGTACCTTAAACATGATTGGCAGAGCCAGCTGTATGCTGTAAATCTGCCTCTCCAATAGTACCCCCTCATGACGTTTGCTCGAGTGATTAGACTAGACCGGCTGCAAGCCTCGCTCTCTTTACCATGTTCTATCGTGAGGCCGTGCGCAGACAGGGATGATCACTATATGACGTGGGGCAAGCAAGCAAGTACCTCGATTGACAGCCTCCCCAAACATGTGAATACATATCACCTACATACAGTGCAGGCACAGCAGGTACGGCCTTAAATGACACAGCACAGCCCTCCCACGACAAGCATATCCTGACCTTCACGCGGCCCTCTTTTGTTTCCCCAGCCTTACGTACGTAGCCTCTCGTGTCTCCAGATCCCGCCCCCGGAAAACTGCGGACGTCCCAGATATTAATAGCACAATCACAGTAGCTTCACATTCCTCAAGTGTTGCGAACAGTCCCAATGACTGCACCTCGAAATGTCGAAACTCCATAGCGCATTAGAAACGCTGCGGCCGAAGGAGTATTCGGATGTTCCTCTTGACGACCTCAAGGGCTTCCTCACGGATGTATTCTCCAAAGCAGAGGTGATAGCCAACTCTGTACCTCCCCTCCCAGGCGGATCCGACTTTCAGTCCTCCCAACGCTCGCGATCCGATGTCAATGGCGCTACTTGCGCCTCCGAAGTCACTGTCTCGCAAGCCAGAGCCCCGCCGCCTGCGCCGGATCAAGCGGAGTTACAAAAGGGATGGGGGAAGCCGCTGAAACTGTCCACAAAGGACACTGCAACTGGCATTGCTGTGTTCAAGATGGCTGGTCATGATCGACACGGTGCCTGGTTTGCGAGGAAGAGCGTGCATGAGGGCCTGGGGTTTGAGAAGTGGAAGCGGGCGATGATGAGCGAATTCCCGGAGAGCTTAGCTGTGCAAGGCGGGCCTGGAGAAGGCAATATAAGAGGCATTGGCGGAGACAAGAGGCTAGAGAGCGAGACTGCGAATGGTGTTGGTAAAATGGAAGGTATGCTCTCCTGCATTCGTTGATCACTGTTACTATCGTGATATCATTCACTGACCGGTCTCAAAATAGTGTATCAGCTTTCTGCACAATTCCCAGGGCCAACAACACCTCGCGAGTTCATTACCCTCCTTCTCACATCCGATAACTGCCTATCCGAGGCTTCGAAGATTGGCGATGTCATACCTCGCCACTATATGGTTGTATCAATACCAGTGAATCATCCGGACGCGCCTCCACGCAATGGGCTGATACGAGGCTACTATGAATCCGTGGAGATGATTAGGGAAATACCGCTGGCGCGCCGAAAACATTCGGCTTCTACCACAGATCTGCTCAAACCCGAGCGAAGTCCTTCAAGAGCGAGGGGTAGCACAATAGGATTTGCAGAGTCTCGTGGACCAAAAGCCAAAGGCGAGCGGATAGACCGACAGGCTGAGGCTAGCGACGACGATCCAGAGACTAATCCGGTAGAGTGGATTATGATAACTCGAAGTGACCCGGGTGGAGGGATCCCACGGTTTATGGTTGAGCGAAATACACCGTCCAGCATTGTCACTGATGCTGGAAAATTCCTTGATTGGGCGTGCAGCAAAGACGAATTCCCAGGTCAGGAGGAGAGAGAAGGCATTGTGGAGGAAGAGTCTACTAGGAAGAGCTTTGAGAGTGTTCGCAAGAGCTTTGATAGCGCGCGCTCGTTCCCAGTCTCACAGGCAAACGGATATCTTGCTGGTGTAGGCACAAGCATTGCAGACCAGGCTATCAAACCTACACACAGGGACCGATCAGAGCACCGGCGGCAAGATGACCCGAATACTGGTGTCATGGCATCAATTGCGAGCACTATGGAGTCCGCATACACCGACTATACCCCTGATGCTGTTCAGCGCGCATTTCGATCTGATTCTGTATCTTCGTCCTCCACCGAAGTATCTTCTCTCGACTCATTTGCTTCCGCCGAGCAATTTAATACAGCAGAGGAGGGTTCTGCGAAAGAGCATCCAGGCAGCTCAGACAGTGGTAAGCCAAACGACACAGATCTACTGCAGCCTGGCTCATCCGCCGATCCAAACGTCCCAACTCCATCAACACTTTCAACGAAATCCCTTCCGTTATCTCGGTCAAACTCTCCCCGACCTGAGCAGACGACCAGAGAGCTTCAGAGAATTGAGCAAAAGCGCAAGGATCTCGAAGCAAAGATAACCGAGGACCGTCAGAAGCAGACGCAACACCGCCGCGACGTATCTGAGAAGGAATTAGAGAAGGTGTCAGAGAGGCATTCACGGGATCGCAAGAAGCAAGAAGATAAATACGCGAGAGAGGTCCGGAAGCTTGAGGAGAAGCGCGAGCGCGAAACGAGGAAGTTGCTTGCCAAACAGCAGAAGGAGGCAGACAAAAATGAACTGCTGAAGATTCAGAAGGAGAGAGATGACTGGAAATCTAAAGCGGAGTTGTCTGATAAGGAGATTGTGCTGCTGCGGGAGCAGATTGGGGATTTGCAGCGTGAGAATACTGCAATAGTTGCTAAGATTGGACGGATGGAAGGGGGTATCGATGTGCTGCGGAAGGTTAAGGAAGATATGGAGGGCGGGAGGACGAGGGCAAGCAGTAGGGCCAGTGCTGGAAGTCGTGGGAGTAAGGAGAGTAAGAGGAATCATCTTGGCGATGCCCATTAGTTTGGCATCGTATGAGGTGGCCTCGGGGGCTATCTGCCAAAACTGGCAATCTACGAATTTTATTGATATACCAGAGGACCGTCAAGCAGTGCTAAGCAAGTGTACACAGGTCTAGAGTGAGTGTGTCTCACGACACATTCGTGGACTGTCATGTTTGATTCGAGGGAGCCTGGTGGATCATGTTAGGTTGGATGTGCCTGCGAGATGCTAGGCACGAAAGGTTTCCTATTTTAGTCCACGTGGTGTATGTCATTATGAAATGGTGGCGCTGGATAATTCACTGTACATATTGCGTCTGCATTTAAGCAATGCGTCTGCCCTTTCCCGTTTTAGGGGTCCACGCAGCGAATATTGGTGTTTGGTGAAACCAACCAATTAGGATAGGTAGGCTCGATTTAGCCTATGTCTCAACGCAATACTACCTTTGTATGTACTTTCGTAACGGAAATCCTAAGCGAGCATATTCTTATGCACGACTTCCGACAACCGTTCCGTTGCGAACGCGGTCAAGGCGTGTCAGGACGCAGAGGGGTGTGCTGGGATGACGGCGTGGGATTTCTATGACCCGTATAGCTGGTGAGTAATTGTCCACGGGTGTTCATTGGTGGAAGTGGGATGCGGCTAGCCACGTGCTGAGAAGGGTGCCGGCGGTGTTTGAGGGGCAAGGCGACGCTGCGGTCTGGTGGGGGAACTTTACGAAGAAGGCGGTGTTTATGCGCTTGCGGACGCATTGACAGAGTAGAGGAGACTGTGTCGTGATTTGAGATGGGAGAGAAACTGCTCACTGAAGGTCTGGGGTGTGCATCACGTGACGAGGGATTATATATCCAACCTCTCGGACACCACCAGACTGCATACCTTTTAATGATTACTTCCTACATACTTAAACAGCGGCTAGCTAACGAGAACTGTCACACGGACATGGCCTTCCGTGCAAGCCACAGTTGCTCTACTAACGCGTATGTAGAAGATTCCGTGAATCCCTCCGGCGTCGGCGTCGGCATCCCCACGGGAGAAAGTCTGTATTCAAGCGGGGAAAGCTGGCATCGCACGCGGCGCATAAAAAAAGTGGCACTTCTAGTTTGAACAAGACGCGGGAGTGGGTGTGTACACGTGTATGCCATTGCTTGGGGTGCTTCAATGCATTTTCAGAGATTGAAGGGGGATAGAAGCTCGTCACATTGGGGTATTTGAAAAGTCGTCGAAGCCCTCCAAGTACTGGCAGACAGTGTACACACGAGGGCTTTTTAAGTGTGCCACTTCTTTTCCGCCCAGCTTGCATCGCTGGAAGGGAAGTCCCGAGGGATGTCTCAGCAGGAGGGTGGAGAAGTGATGTGCAAGCTCCAGGACGGACACTGATGGATCGGCAGGGCATCGTAATTTGGCCTCTGACCTGGTTGTCAGGCTGGCAACCGCAGACTTCGGCGAGAGTACGACACCAGCGTGCTACCAACCCCGCTTCTCGTCCCGTCTGACTTGCATTTGTCGTGAAGTGCGAGAACGCCACGAGCTCATTTTGAGGGGGGGCCGAGGCACTAATGCAGCTCGCTGGGAGGCTGCGGGAGCGGCGTTCCTGGGGAAGCTTGGCACGTGCTTGGGTCGGATCACTTTTCTGTGGGTGAAAGAGGTTGGTTGGGATCTGGATCTGGCATGATGACCGGCATGCAGGGAGGGAGAGGATTAAGGATAGCCACCTGACCTTCCTGACGCGCTCAAGTCCTTGTTATTGAGAGCGGCACGCATAGGTATGGGAAAAGTGGCACTCTTTGTAGAACAAGCTGTCTGGTGTGTGAGGTGCTTCAACGAGTTTCCACATAGCCTAAGGTGAAGAGCTTATATCTCATCCAGATTCCTGGAAATGCATTGAAGCACCTCAAGCACTGGCAGACAGTTGTATGCACACGCGAGAAGAGTACTTGATGAGTGTGCCACTTTTTCACGCCCAGCGTGATCGTGCAGTTCTTGGCACGCCGCGACCGCGATCGAGGGCGGCTCGGGAGACTTGCACACGCGGTGGAAACGATGGGCAACGATGGAAACGTTGCCGTTCTCGGCTGGCGGCGGCCCTGTTGCATGGTGGTCTGTGGCGTCCCGGTGCTTGCAGCAGCTCGGTCGTGAGAGCGTCATGGCTTCCACCTTGCGCCGAGTATTAAATCATCACAGCACCCCTTACATCGCTGTTCGGTCTTACACTCCACCACCACTCTGAGCATTCGTTCAATTCCTCGCCGTCGTTTCCACCTGCCTCTGCTGCTGGGAACCCATTCTTACGCCACTCAAAATGAAGTGGCTATCGGCCGCAATTTGCTTGCAGCTGGCCCATGCGTTGGCTGGAGCACCACCACCTGTAAGTGATCTCGGAATCCGTCAACAACACTGCACCTTAGCACCAGTATTCCTTATACCGCATGAATGAAGTCGCATACAGGTCTCCTGGGCTTCGTCGTGTCCATATTCCCTTTCCTCGACGTAAACATTGCGCTCGTTTCCATTGTTGTTTTGCGCTAACTCGTGTAAACAGTACTCCAATGTCGCGCGGCAGTCACCCAATAACTCCACCCCACCGCCCGATTCGAAGGAGGCATTCTCCCCGCCGAAGTATCCATCGCCATGGATGGATGGCTCGGGCGGTTGGGAACAGGCGTACGCCAAGGCCCAGGCATTCGTCAAGCAATTGACTCTGCTGGAGAAAGTCAATCTCACCACCGGAGTTGGGTGAGTAACTTGCACGGATTCTTGATGACAACATTCTAACAAAAAGCAGTTGGGAAGGAGAAGCTTGTGTTGGTAATGTCGGCGCTATTCCACGCCTCGGTTTCCCGGCTCTCTGCATGCAGGATTCTCCATTGGGAGTCCGTTTCGCTGATTTCGTCTCTGCGTTCCCTGCTGGTGGCACTGTGGCTGCATCATGGGATCGCGGTGTTTGGTATGAGCGTGGTTACCAGATGGGCTCGGAGGTAATACTCACAATCCAACTCTACTGATCTGTTAACTAACTTTATCCGCAGCATCGCGGCAAAGGAGTCGACGTCCAGCTAGGTCCGGTCGTAGGACCCCTAGGCCGTAGCCCCGAAGGCGGACGTAACTGGGAAGGCTTCAGTCCTGACCCAGTCCTATCTGGCATTGCTGTCGCCGAGACCATTCGTGGTATTCAAGATGCGGGTGTCATTGCTTGCACCAAACATTACATCCTGAACGAGCAAGAGCATTTCCGCCAGCCCGCCACAGTGAATGGGACTTTCTTAGAAGCCATCAGCTCCAACGTCGACGACAAGACGCTCCACGAACTCTATCTATGGCCGTTTGCCGATGCAGTACGAGCTGGAACGGGCAGTATCATGTGCTCTTATAACCAAATCAACAACAGTTATGCTTGTCAGAACAGTTATCTCTTAAACCACATTCTCAAAGGGGAGCTTGGCTTCCAGGGCTTTGTAATGAGCGATTGGTCCGCTCAGCATGCTGGTGTCAGCAGTGCTCTTGCTGGTCTGGACATGACCATGCCTGGCGACACTGCTTTTGATACTGGCCTGTCTTTCTGGGCAAGTCTAATTATTTTTTCTAGAACTGTGTTATGTTACATACTAACTTGATTCAGGGCACGAACCTCACCATCTCCCTCCTCAATGGTACTGTTCCGGAATGGAGACTCGATGACATGGCAACTCGAATCATGGCCGCATACTACTTTGTCGGCCGCGACACTGCATCAGTTCCCGTCAACTTCAATTCTTGGTCCCTCGACACATTTGGCTATGAGCATCCTTACGCTTCCGTAGGTTACGGCTTGATCAATCAGCATGTCGATGTTCGAGCCGAGCATGCATTGGCCATCCGGTCTGCAGCTGCTCGTTCTACTGTTCTTCTGAAGAACACTGCAGGAACTCTGCCCCTAGAAGGCACCGAGAAATTCACTGCTGTCTTCGGAGAAGATGCTGGTGATAACGCCTATGGACCAAACGGCTGCCCAGATCACGGTTGCGACAATGGCACTCTCGCTCAAGGCTGGGGCTCCGGGACTGCGAGTTTCCCCTACCTCATCTCTCCTCTCACAGCAATCCAAAACGAACTCCTTCAAAACGGCAAGGTCGTGCAGAGCGTCACGGACAACTGGGCTTACACTCAAGTTCAAGCACTTGCCAGGCAGGCAAGCGTTTCCATCGTGTTTGTCAATGCCGACAGTGGTGAGCAGTACATTGTTGTCGACGGCAATGAGGGTGACCGCAACAACCTCACGCTGTGGGGAGACGGTGACACATTGATAAAAAATGTCACGGCCAACTGCAACAATACGATTGTTGTTATCCACTCTGTTGGACCAGTCTTGGTAGATGCCTGGTACGACAACCCGAACGTCACCGCGATCCTCTGGGCAGGTTTGCCCGGAGAGCAATCTGGAAACTCCATCGCCGATGTTTTGTATGGCCGCGTCAACCCTGGAGGCAAATTGCCATTCACTATGGCTAAGACCAGGAAAGACTTCGGAACGGATCTGATATACACGCCAAACAACGGAGACAACGCGCCGCAGGATGACTTCGTGGAGGGCGTATTCATCGACTATCGTCATCTCGACAAGTATAACATCGCTCCAATCTATGAGTTCGGCTACGGATTGAGCTACACTACATTCAAGTACTCTAGTATCAGCGTTTCGAAGACTTACAGCGGACCTTATACTCCTAACGAAGGCACGACGGCGGCCGCTCCGACGCTCGGGAACTTCAGCACCGATCCAGCAGACTACCAATTCCCATCCAACCTAACGTATGTGACGGCATATCTCTACCCGTACCTCAATTCGACGGATCTCGAGAAGGCCTCTCAAGAGCCTGATTATGGCCAAGACGGTTGGATCCCTGACGGTGCATTGGACGGCTCGCCCCAGCCTCGCATCGCGGCTGGCGGAGGACCGGGTGGCAATCCCCAGCTTTGGGACACGCTCTTTGCCGTCACTGCGACGATTACCAATAATGGCACTGTTGCTGGAGAGGAAGTGGTGCAGCTGTACGTCTCTCTGGGTGCCCCCGACGACCCGAAGGTTGTCCTCCGCAACTTCGAGCGTCTGAGCATCCAACCTGGACAATCAGCCACGTTCACCGCGGACATCACGCGGAGAGACGTGAGCAATTGGGATACGGAGAGCCAGAACTGGGTCATCTCGGAGTATCCGAAGAAGGTGTATGTGGGAAGCTCGTCGCGGAAGCTGCTGCTGAGCAGCGACCTCTCTTTCTGAGGGCTCTCAAAAGTAACGGGCAACGGCGTATTACTCGTCTCTGGCTAGGGACGCGGGGTTATGATAATGAATAGTGTGCTAATGAATAATTTCAAGTGGATGATCCCGTGACCCCGGTGCTTTGTTAATGTCGACCATGGTAGCGCGATAAGGTGACGTACGCTGCTTGCATCCAATTGACCATAACTATGCCACGTAGAAACTTGACATGATTGCCATGAGAAACAGCGTAGCGCCGCAGTGATATTCGAGTGCGGAATCTCCAGGACGCACACAAACCGTATTCACAGCGAGCTTGATGGACGACACACGTGACGGCGCTGTTTGGCGGCGCAAACGCCTTCGAGCTGGAGGCCACGGTGGTGGCAGCGTGATTCGCCGATTGCTCGGAGCCGTGGTTGATACATATTGCTGCCAGAGTCGACGCTGCCTCTGTGGTCGCTGTGTGGCCGTGGGGCACTGGAGACGAGTCTGCGCACTGAAACACAGCCTTTCTCACGACGCGTTGTTTTTCCAGGTTCTTTCTTTACCTGCCTCCGCTCGGCTCATCCCCTCATCTCAACACCACTCCTGCCTGCGCAGCCCGCCCCTCCGCCCGGCATCTCGCACGCCTGCATTGGTATCTGGCCCTCTCGGTGAGTGTCCTGCCCCGTCCAGGCGCCCTCTCTGCCGCACGCAGCCCGCGGCTGCCCGGCCCAGTGCGCGAAAGTTTCGACCCTCCCGCGCGCGCTCGACACCCCCTCCGGCCTTGTAACTAACCTCTTGCAGTTGCACCGCAGCCTACATGCACGATGCCGCCCTCGTCGAACAGAAAGCTGCGCTCCCGTAGGGAGCCTGACCCGCAACCGCCATCCGACGCCGACACGCCCGAGTCGATATCCACCCCCTCCAGGAAGCGCAGACGGGTATGTTTGACTATATAAATGCTGCAGACATACCTCTAACTTGATTGCCAGTTGAACAACGGCGCCGAGCGCACACCCGCGCTGGTTGAAGATGCCCCCCGCGCGCGCGACACCGACTCTCCGCAAAGCGATGATTCGAACAGAACCCTCTCCAACGGACTCGATGCCGACAACCCAATGGACCCGGTGGAGAAGCAGAACACCCTGATTGCCCATCTTGCGGTCCCCAAAGACTATCTGCCGAACGCAGCTGTCCACTACAACAACGACTTACAGGCCCGCCGGAACCCAGGCACGACGCCCGCGTTTGCGAAAATCGCGGCCCGCGACTGGTGCTACTTCGTCAACAAGATGACAATCCTGATCGGAAGGGTAGAGAAAACCCATAACCCGCCTCCTGCGGAGTCGAAGGATGACCCAACGCCGGCGCCTCCCAACGACGGCACCGATATGCCTAACCAATGGCAGATCGACATCGACCTTGGACCAGAGCGCCAGGTTTCCAGAGTACACGCCTCAATCGACTACGAATCGGAGAAGCAGTCTTGGTACATTAATGTGAGCAGTCGGAATGGCCTCAAACTCGACGATAGGATGTTGGGTCGAGGGGAAAAGGCGTTGCTCCACTCGGGCATCTGCATCTCCCTTATGGGCACCCAGATGCTGTTCCTCCTTCCGAACGCCAAAGACGAGTTCCACCCAATGCTCCATCGCCAGGTTCGGTTGGGGCATGAGCACGAAGACTTTGACGGCGGCAGACGTGCTGCTCGTCAACAACAGCCACCTTCCAGCCATCACCCTTCTTCTCCAAAGCGGGAGCCTTTCAATCCCTTCCCGCCAGCTTCTCACCCCCGCAACCAGCAACACTCGTATCACAGCAGTCAGCTGACATCCACTCCTGGTCGTGGTCAACTAAGTACCCCAGTTGCCCCTCGCTCGGGAGGGAAGGAACCACGTAGCCGGCCATCGCCTTCTGCCTATCCGAAAGGCATCATGTTGGATTCTATGGAAGAGATTGATTACAGTCTGGACTCGTCTAAGGATATCAAACCCCCGCACAGCTATGCGCAATTGATTGGACAAGCAATTTTGACCAGCCCGGAGGAAATGCTGACTCTAGCAAACATTTATGCCTTTATTAAGGAGAGATACGCTTTCTTCAGACACAGCACTGGTGGTTGGCAGGTTAGTCAAAGCAGCTGTGCCCTATGTCACTACATACTGACTCACTTCTTAGAACTCCATCCGGCATAATCTATCTTTGGCCAAGTCTTTCGAGAAAGTAGCCCGACGAACCGACGAACCAGGAAAGGGCATGAAGTGGCGCATCGCGGACGAATACCGTGACGACTTTGTCAAGAAGACTCTATTCAGTACCCGCAAGGGCCAAGCCCGTATGGACTCTTCTGGGCCTAACTCTCCTGCGATCAAGGAATCGGGTTCGACGCATGCAACAGAACGCCTGATGGGAGCCATCAACCAGAGTGACGGCATCATCCCATTTCCAAAGCACGAGATCGGCGCTGCTCGCGTGAAGACGCCTCCGAGATCCCAAACTCCACCGCTGGCTTCTTATCCCACCACGAACGACTCATATACCCCTGATCGAGGACCTAATCTACAGACATTCGGCGGAAATCACCCCAATACGTCTAATGGAGCGCATATGCACACCACACCTAATCCCAAGCGTGACTCTCCGGCGCTGGATCAAGATGCTCGAGCAAAGAGTGGAGAGGGAAGCAAGACCGTGAAAAACCCGGCATCTCGCCAAGACGCTTCCAGCAAAACACGGGGCTTGAACGAGGCAGCTGCAAACTCGCCGCCTACTCTCTACTCTGATTCTGTAGCGAATGGCGGTGCGGATCTTGGTCGACCGGGCAATGCTGGCCTTGTCACCCCTTTAGTGGCACGTCATGCACCACGCTTGGCTCCTCCGAGTACCGCTCAAGTCCCTAGCCAGTACATCAACTTCTCGAGTCCAGCCGCTTTCTGGAAATATCTGCCCAGTACGCCCGCTGGAGCCCCTAACATCGATACCAGCCCGATCAAGATGAAGAAGCCTAACGAGGCTGCCGAGGGCGCAGACGAAGAGTCTGCCCAACCGAGCTCGCCTCCCGTGATGTTCGACGATAAGGACAAGAACGATGAAGACGAGGACGACGACAATGAAGGAGACGGTGACGATGGCGAAGAAGACATCGAGATGAACAGCCCGAGTCGGACTTTGTCGAGGCCAGTTAGCCGACGCGACGGAGCTCGAGATCGCATCTCGGAGCCGATTACCGCCGTGCCAAATGGAGTGCGTAACTCGAATGGCATGGTCCGAGGCGCCAGTCTTGCGATTTTGGATGACGATGACACAGAGGGCATCGACCTTACCAAGTGAGTCCGCTTTTCTCCTCTCTTCTACCCAAGTTACGAGAGACCAACAACGGCACAGGGGATTCCAGAAGATCGGCAGCTTCCATCGCAACATGGCGCAGCAGAACCAAGGCGTCATTCGGGCTCCCTGAAGATTGATTACTGTCTTACCATAACTTACGACATTCATTTCTCCGGCCTGTATCCACTCCACTCCGCTCGCTCGAATCTACAACTCACATGCGCGCACTCTACCGCGCAGGGGAAGACCAGGATTGGAATCGGATCGGATCGGGTTAGGATAGACATTCGTGGACCTTTTTGAGTGTCGCTAGATTTTGGAGATAACTAGAAGCTTTAATTGGGGTACGGCATACCAGTAAAACGTCTTCTCATAACTCAACAGACCCTACCCATTACCCGTGTTGAAATGTGTACCATCAGTTCTTCTTTCTCCCCTTCCCCTTCCCCATCTTTTGTTTCACTTCTATTTGCGGTTTTTGGAGTGGTGGTTATCGGGGTCATGCTTCGCCCAGGTACGCTTCGCTCTCACAACTCTACGGGTGGCGGCGTCATGGGTTGCATTTGGAGAAATCAACCTTTTCTTCTTCGCTTTATTCTCTCCTCTTACGTGTGGTGTGTGCATTTTTGGGGTCGGTGGCTTCTTTGCTCTTTTTTGTGGGAATGGAGTTGAGGGATAGTGGGGTGTCTTGGGTTCTGTGCTTATGTTATGTACTCATGCCTCTCTTTCAGTGGTGTCTTGATTCTTTGTGAGAGTGGGTTGCACGGCGGTAGTAGTAGTGGTGGATAGCTGGGATAGCCAGAAACTAAACCTGTTTTGAAAACATCTTGAGGCTTGTTTGTGTGACACGATGTGATATAAAGCGGGTACTAGCATCTAGACAGCCATCCACAATCCTCACAGCCCCCTCTTTAACGAAAGCACGCCACGTAATCACTCTCCTCACTCGCACCATAGTCGAGCTTGCTCGTTTGGTTCAGTCGCCATTCGATTCATCTCGTCCCGTTCCTACTCCGCTTGTGTGTGATATATATACAATCCCCCCCCCACCCCCAAACCGCATCTTGGAATCAGTTAATCTCCTTATGCGGCAGCCACTTCGGCTTCTTCAGATTCTTCTCCTCCATGGGCGCGTCCAACAGGCCCAGCCGCCGTATCTGCGCCGCGCTGGGTGCATCGTCGCGCGCCTGCGCGGCTTGCTGCTTGCGGTACGCCGTCTGGATTGCCAGGGTGCGAGCGGCCTGGTTTCGGAAATCACACAACATCAGCCATCGTATATTCCCCGCGCTCCTATTCCTGATATTGTGGGGATTGCCGGGTTGGAGCGGTTTTGATGGGGCGGGAGGGGTTGGATGGATTGTCGGTACCGAGGAGTAGAGAGGGGAGGTATAGGGGAATTTGTAGGGAAGAGAGGGGAGTGGGTTGACGCATACCTCCTTCTTATGATGCAAGCACTCGTAGTAATCCTCGAGCGCGGGCGTGCATTTTGCTTTGCCCGAGTCGTCCGAGGGCGTCGTGTTGGAGACGTAGCAGGCGAGGACTTCTTGCCAGAAGGGGAAGCAGCGGGAGGGTCCTGTATCCCCAGTACTAAATTAGCATCACTGCAATTGCGTGCGTTGGTTTTGTATAGATGGGGTATGGAGAGCTCTCGGGTAGGTGGTGGGTTCGAGATTGGAAGACCGGGAGCTCGAGAGGGCGGGCGGTTTTGGAGATTGGACGGGAGAGAGGGTTGCTAGATAGCCAATTAGGAGGGGGGGGACGTACCGCCTGCTAGGCCGTATCCTGAAGCCATTGTGGGGTTGTGGTTGTGGAGGGGGAGCTGCGGATGGAAGAGGTTCGTGAGGTTGGAGGTTGGAAGTTTAGGTTATGTAAGCGGGGATGGAGAGCTCTGATTGGCGGAGTCGGGCTTGAACATCTAGGCTTAAAGTTACACGCCCTGGCGCCCCTGGCAATATAGCAATTGTGATGGATATTCATGATGATTAGCGACAATTGACTTATTTGTCTTATTGCTATAGGTCCTAGTGTATCTACTGCCTGGATCTTAAAATATCCAAATGCAGCAATCCTCGACAAGCTTTTGAAGTCGTAAAGTGATGCAATGCAACCGCCATAATTCCCTGTCCATTCTCTCCTATCTCAGCAAACCCCATTTTATAGGAACCACCGGAACTCATCAATCTGAGGCCCATCTTTCAACCTCTCCGTCGGCACATCACTTGCTGTCAACGTGACTCCCCCCTTCCGGTTCCTCCTCGCATTATCAAAGATCATATACGTGCCCAACAGCAGTGTGATGGCGCAGCCGCAAGCTCCAAAGGCTGCCGTGGTGGCCAATGCCGGAATATACTTCGGCGCATCCTGCGGACGAAAGATATTGCTGCTGACAACTCCCATGAGATTGGCAAGTGGCACTCCAACACTAGTCAGGGTGACGCGGCGGCCCTCGTGGGCAACGTTGTTGTTGTACCAGGTGGAGAGAAGGACGGATGGAGCGGATGTGCCCCAGGTCATCATGAAGCAGGCGAAATATGCCACATGAATGCTGTGCTCGACATCGATGGTAGCGTAGATGATGAATCCCACGAAAGTGAACAGAAATCCGAGGGCGATAAACGGGAACCTAATCCTTGTAAAATCGCTCGAGAACGCGAGGATGAGGAGCATGACTGCGCCAATGATGTTCGGCGCCACGGTATAGAGGTTGGTTTTGACTTTACTGTAACCCAGCCGCGCGACGATTTGTGGCAGGAAGAGTGAGACCGATTGCAGAGGCACACCGAGACAGATTTCGATGGCCAAGAAACCGTAGGTTACGGGAATTTTGAAGATTTTGAGGGCCTCCTTCAGGTTGAAGGGTTCGTTAACGATCGAGGAGCTGTCCATCTGAATGCGCATGTACGCAGTGTGCTTCTCCTCTTCAGACAGGAATTTGGCCTCAGAGGCGGACTTAGGGAGGTATATAAAGGCTATGAGGGAGACTGCGGCTCGTGTTAGATGTTGGTCTAGTGTACGGTCTTGAGTTTGGAGAACAGAGATGTTTTAAATTTGCGAAGACGAGGTACTGGTACCTGCATACGTATGGCGGGAGTGACATGATACTTACAAATGACCGTGCATGCACCTTCAATGAGGAAGAGGTACCTCCACCCGTCAAGATGGGACTTGATCTGGAACACACCAAACGCCAACAAACCACTAAAGGCGTTGGCGATATTCGAAGCGGCGTAAAAGATGGCCAATCGTCTGGCCAGCTCGCCTCTACGGTAGAACGTGGTCAAGTAATAAATGACCAACGGGAAGAACGCAGACTCGGCCATGCCCAAAAACCATCTTAGGGTGATCATGCCCGCGAAGTTGTTGACCGACGCACCCAGCAAGGTAAAGCTTCCAAAGCTGAACATCATGATTGGGAGAGCTCTATGTGGGCCGAATCGCTTGCCGGCCATGGCAAACGGCGGCGCAAAGATGACATAGGGAATGTAGAAGATGGACAGAATCAAATTGTATTGGTTCGACTTGAAATGTAGGTCCTTCTCGAAGCCGTCTGTCTTTGCGTTGCCGAGATTGCCTTTGTCGAGGGCATTGCAGAGATACATCAGGGCCAGCATGGGCAGGATGCGCAGATCGAACTTGAGCACCAGGGCCTTCTCATGCTCGTAGGTGGGGAGCTGATGCACGTCCCCTGCCACTCCGGCCGAGTCTTTCAGAGAGGACTGGGTGGAGGAGACCTTGATGCCCTCCTTGGCGATTTCGGGGTCCGTGGCCATGGTGATTGACGGAGAGGCTTGACGGAAAGGGAATGCGAGTCCTGGAGACGGAGAGAGGAGAAGAGGAGAAGAGGAGAAGAGGAGAAGAGGAGGGAGGAGGGAGAGGAGGGAGGAGGGAGAGGAGGGAGAGGAGGGAGAGGAAAAGCGATCCAGATCAGGACATTTGTAGAGAGCAGCAACAGACCTTATCAGGAAGACGAAGGGTTCAGTCAAAAGAAACATTCACAACAGTGGAGTAGCACACGCAGGCTGCATGGCAGGATGACCTGCAACGTGCTGAGGGTGCACCAAAGAGCGTTAAGGCCGGCTCTCTAGGTGATGCAACCTAAGCCGATGGCCCTTCGGGTGGCCCACGGCTGGGAGAGGATCTCCACGGGGTCACGGGTGTGGTGTTCGCAAGATGGTGCCGTTGATTGGGCTCAACGCCGTCGTGTCGAGGAGGAGAGCATGGGGGATGCCGATAAGAGCTGGGCCGTCCGAGCGTTCACCGCAAGGGTCAAATTCCGGGGTCACGATCCGCTCGCCGTTGTGCCGACGGTAAGATTCGCGGAGCAGCGTCGCCCACGGTGCATTGTGGCATGTTTCTCTCCTGCGCCTGCTGCCAGCCGCTGACGACGGGTGGTCAGATCGGCGGCGGCAGCATATCGTCCTGTGTCTGTTCTGGCCACATAACAGGTGGCAGGGTCCAAGATTGGCATTGCTTGATTCACAGTGCGGCGCCGTGGCGCCGTTATCTCAACCCCATGCAAGCGACGTCAACGGCGAGACGCCGAGTGCACATCAGGGACTCTATCAATACCGCGCATCGCCAATCAGCGCGGGGGCGAGCTGTGTGGAGTATCAATTGTTTCAATTGGGAGCACCGCGTCTCTACCACTATATTCGACCTTCTATCTAACCCAGATCCTGCTATTGATACAGCCCAAGTACAGTAAAGGGAATCTTTTCCGCGCAGCTGTCTTGCAGCTACTGTAGCCCTGACGCTCGGGGTGACCGTCCATAATAGGGAACCCGTCCATCTTTCTCCAAACGCCGTGGGGTATCCAACCTGGGAGGACTAATGGGCTTTTAAACGCCCGCGATTACATAGGAAATGACAATGAGTGTTGGCCTAAGTAGGCTTTGAATACCTCTATTCAGGTCGTGGCGTGAAGGCTTAAACAGGTTCTTCGAAGCTGAAAGAGCTGGCCCATGCCTACTGAGTATCGGCAGCTTTCTCCTTGCTGTGGGTCGGGTGCAAGAGGTTTGGCCTCCATTTGGCCACGTTGCTGACGTTGAAATGTAGAGGCTCTTTCGGGCCCTTCTCGCGCACCGTGATCTTCCTCTTCGATCTGCCAGAGATGTACACGGGTGCTGATGCCGACGATGAGCCGCTCAAGGACGGCATCGATGCCTTCTTGTGCATCCTCGGCTTCTTGTCTCGGTGCTCGTCATCGGAGCCCTCCGTCTCGAAGCTTCGGAGACTGCTGCGCTCCGACGAGTACGTTGTTGTTGCAGTGTTTGTCCGTTCCACTCGTGATAGCATCGACGCAGAATCAGCCAGAACGTCTAGCTTGGACGGCGTCCTGTCCACGCTTGCGCGGCTGAGACGCGACGAGTATGGCGGAGGATCCTGTTGGTAGTCGTACATGAGCTCCGTATCTAAGCTCTTGAAACCACTGATAGAGCCGTCAAGCTCCTCGTCGTGGTTCCAGCACAGTTCATCCGCACCCAGAACAGGGGGAAGAAATCGGATCTCGTGCCAGGTGGCGTCCTCAAACTGCAGTGCAATGTACAGGACGTCACCCTGCATCTTGTCGTGTGCGATGCAGTGGTCCTCCAAAAAGGGGTAGTCCCACACGTCCCTCGTGCAGAACTCGCTAGGCAGCTGCCTCAAGGCCATGCGTCCGAAGGGTTCGTCGTCAGGGCGGTGTCCAGTCAGCGGCATCCATGACCGCCCTCGGAGAATGCCCTTGAACGAGGCCTCCACGCCGTTTACAAAAGCACCGCTGTCTTGGCTGGAGAAGTCGAGGGTCTGTTGTAGATTTCGCGATTGGCATCGCCGGTACCCATTGCTGTCGGGATCGTATGCGAATCGCTGTGCTCTCCGTGGCACAAATATGACACGAGTGCTCCACATCTGGGGGTACCTTTTCTCGGTCCGTATCGGCAGCTCAGAAATGGTCTGCATCTGCATCGGCTGAGGCAGTTGTGGAATGGGGGTGTGTGGAACTTTGGGCGTCTGCTTCGGTGTCTGGGCAGGTTGGACAACTGGTGTCATGGATCTCGACATGCTGCCTCTTCCAAACTCCAGCCTCTCAACTCTGTCTTCCAGCGACATGGCCGACTCATCCACTATTATCAGCCGCTCCTGCACAGCCTTGATCTCGTTGTGGCATTCCTGCGTCTTGTCTACAACGGCTTCAACCTTGTCGTCGAGATGCACCTTGAGAAAACGCATATTGTTATACAGTCTCTCCTCGATGCCCTTCCACATCCGCTCCCGGTCCTCCCGCATCATCCTCTCCTTGGCTAGCTCTTGCTCGATCACCGCGAATCTCTTCAGCTCGTCTCTCAACCTCTTGACTTCCTCCACCACTTCAATATGCTCCTGCAACGATACAGAAGCCAGAGGCTGTGCCTCGTGGCTCCATGCCTGATGGCCGCATCCGCAGCGGGAGCGGACGACCGAGTCTGGGTAGAAACTGCGGCACTGGCAGCGCTGGCGGCCTCCGTTGGCATGCTCAGGCTCGGGCAGGATGAAGCCGCATTCTCCCCTGGGCAGCTGGGGCTCGTGGTCCTGCTGCGGCTTCCCGGGGAGGTGGACGAGGGATTGCGAATTGTTAGAGAACATCTATGGCAGCAGACCTCTGGGCGCGGTCTGAGGGTGGGTGCTGTGAAGCGGATGGGCGCATGAAGACCGGCAAGATAGGCAGCGGGCTCGCAGCGTGGTGGAGGGCATGCGAGAATGAAGGCGGCAGGGGTCGGAAAAGGGTCCGCTGGTGCAGGTCAGTGGGGAGTGGGCTATATAGAAGAGGGAGGGGGCATGAGGCTAGGAGATGTTGAGGTGCCCACCAGATAAGGCAACGGGCTCGCGAGGGGCCGGACAGAGAAAGCAGGAGTAGGCGGGAGCATCCGCCGGGCGCAGATTGGCGTGGACGCGTGCTGGAGAGGACTGTCTCGGGCGCTGGGGGTTTGTTGCGAGGATGGGGGTTCGGTGAGCTTGCGGTGGGCGCGAGAGAGGTCTTGGGTCTTCAAGCACGACGCAGGGCTGGACAGGCACTGCGTTTCTTTTGAGCAGCGGGCTAGCTCCCGCGCTGGGGTGGGCGACGGGCAGCCCTGTCAGACGGGCGCGAGGGCATGGCAGCTTGGTGGAGCGTGTGGGCGTGCCGAAAGGGCTCCGACACTGCCAAAAGATAAGGATCAGGGACGCTTGGGCGGCAGTTGAGCGCACAGCCGTGGAGCAGCGGAGGCACGGCGATAGAATGGTTGCGCAAGGCGTGGGGTGGCAGCGCGCTTTGGCAAGGCACAAGCTGTTGCGAGACGTGAGATTGCTCCGGCACTGGGCTGATCGCCGCGCAGAGCAGCGCTGGGGGCCTGCATGCGGTTCAATCGAGCATCGCGGCTCCTGGCGCAGGCGGTGGCCGTGTGTGGCCAGCTGGTGGTTTTGAATTCTCACATATCAAAGTGCTGCCAGCAGCGTCTGGCGCGGGCCCAGGGGACCCCACACGGACGACGACGGGAGCTCCGGCGCTGCTTGGGCCTATCAGCCGGATGCGGTCCCAGGGCGAGGTGAGCGAGCTGGAGTCCAGACTCGCGCGGTGTTTGTGAGGTGGAGGGCTGAGGCGTGCGGTGACGGCGCTGCGCCGTGGACGGTCGACGGTCGACAAAACCGCTTATCTGGCCGACCCCCCACACTTTGCAGGCCCGGCCTTCCCCTGACAAGCTCTGGCCGGCGCGTGCCATTCGCTGCCGGCCCCGCGGTGCGGTGTCTGCGGGCCTGAGCGCGGCATTCAACCTGGGAATCGCGCATCGTTCTGCTCTCCCAGGGCTTCACATGCGCGGGAGAGCAGCGGGGGTGGAACGCCCGCGTCTGTGCGAGGTTCGCCGGCATTGGGACTGCGGCGGGCACAGTCCGTGATGGCGCCGCTGTCTGTTTCTGTGTTTGAGGCTGGTGATGTCGTCTCCATGCTCCCGAGGCCTGTCGCCGAGTCTTGCCCTCTGCGGCCCCGACCTTCCGCCGACCGCGATACACAGTGGCCGCTGGACGGAGCTGGATAGAGCTGGATGGAGCTGGATGGAGCTGGATGGAGCTGGACTGAGGATGGATTGCCATGTTATGGGCGCCGACAGCGCAGCGGTGGGCCAGGTCCGGCGAATGTTGAGGTACAGTAAGACCTCATTTTCGTGATAGGGGTCGGTGACTAGGGGTATTATTACTGTATAGAAAATATCACGTTACGTAATGTCATGTGCGAGGAATTTGTAAGCAAGTCTGTCCCAAAACAGCCCAAAACGCCCAAAAAGGGCGCGACTGAGGGGCCACGGACCACTCTCCCATACAAAATCCAGCCCCCGCACATTGTATCATTGTATAGAAAATATCACTATACACCAGTATCACTATACCGAGGTTTTGCTGTATCTTGTAGGGATGGATTGAGTCAGGCGAGTCTTGACCAGCACGCAACCTCTGCTGGTGCACGCGTCATGAACTGGAATCCATGAATGACATACACTGCACATGGCGGATTCCCGCCCCCGGGTGATGCGAGAGCCTGCGAAACGCAGGAAATGCTTGGCGAGGGTTTTTTCGCAGGGGCAATTGTCCACGACATTTCCTCCGAACCATGGCCTGCAAATTGCAACAGTCCCCAGACGCGTCGTGACACCCGCCCACGCGCCCTCGCAGCTGGTTGATGAAGACTGCCGCGCCGGATGCAGTCGAAACCTGTGCGCGCGGTGCAAACTCCCTCCACGCCCTTTCTCGCCCCTTTCAGGTGTGCGTTCTGCCCGCTCCACGCTCCCGGGCTTGTTCGTGATGCCGTTGAGCAACCTCCCACCATCATCCCGCGCCCATGACTTTGGCCGGGCTACCCTTCTCCCACGGCACCCGTCTTGTAACACCGCTGCTGCACCCATTCCTGCTCGGTCTCACCTCCTGCCGTCATCCGAAACCGGCACGCCAATAATGCCCCTCTGCAGAGCGGATGAGCTATGTACATACTGGATCTCGCAGATCGGTCGGGAGCATCTGTGGGGAGCAAGATCTCCACGCCTGGCGCCCACCCGCCTGCTCTGCTTTCCTTTTTCCTCTTCGCCCACCATTTGCGACGAATCCTTCCCGCGGCCGTCCAATCACGCCCACTGTCAGCCTCCTTTGGCGTCAGGAACCTCCCGGTCCCACCCTAAACGCGGGAGAGGCGCCGTCACAGGAACGTGAGAAAAAGCAGACCCAGCCCAGAGGGCGTGGACCAACCAAAGAAGTAACAATCGCCCGCAAGGTCCCAGTGAAGCTCCCGAGTGAACGGGATGCATCTCTGAAATGAACATCTGCAATCAATATCGATAGACACGTTCCATTGCCGTACACCTCGGATGTCAGACATCAAAGGTTATTACTAGTTAAGTTCATGGTTGGGACGCTGCGTAGTCTAAACGTCAACAAAGTTTGCCTACCGACCTTCAGGTTTACGTTTAGGGTAATGTGTGTGCCCCCATCCTATTTTTCCACGTAGGAAGGGCTTTTTGGGGGGCCCAGGCACGCTCTCACCAGCTTCCCTTTCAATGTTCCGCCGAGGTGAGACAATTATCGGTGGTAGCAGTGTCTCCACATGGCCCTTGGCCTCATCTCCTCCAGCTGTGCAATCGACGCGGGGAAGCCTCACATCCAACGACCTCCACGCTGATCTTATCTCTCTCCTAAACGAATTGGGAAGTCGGCTACCGGAGCCTAAAAATACCAAGGCTCGTCTCGCTCTCGGATCTCATCCGACAGCATATCGCTGATGCAAATCTCCCCCATATGGAAGGTCGTGTCGTGCTTAGCCACAGCCAGCTTGCGATAAAGCATTCAGCCTTCCTGCAGCCTCAGGTGCGACCAGTCTGGCCAGACAGCCAAGGACTACATGTCACCACACAGTGTAATTCCGATACCTGCATCCCACAACAGAGCGTCGCATATTTCCTTGGGTGCAGGTGGCACCGCGTATTTTTATATCGAGCCGAGCTGCCATGGATCCAGTGACAATGGAGCCCACTACAAAAAGAAAACTTCCTAGAAAACCCCCAAAACCGTTGAGAACAACAGGAAGGAGGGCTGAAGTGGCATCGCGATCTCGATTTGCACACTACGTCAATTCCCATTTAGAGAGGTATGTCCGCATGCAGGAACCATCGCAGGTCGCCTATTGCAGGTTTTCTTGTTTCATGCTCTCAGCGTGACGCAGCGTGCGCTATCTCTACACTTCTGAGTATGTTCTCGATATGCGATGTGTATTCAACTTCATACTGTCCTCCACGCCAAGGATGAGCTTTCCGTATCATCCCACCGTGCTGGAAGAGGGACATACTCAATAGGCGGCAATCTGCCGGAGCCATGACCTGAAATCAGGAGACATAGCAGGAAACGGGACTGATTACTATTCATCGCGTTGCGGTAGCTCAGTTGTGGCAAGACACGAGTGGCAGGTCTCCCAGATCTCTATCTTCTTTCTCGCCGGTGTTATCTGATCCCCAAATCTCAGCATTTCGACCCTTACGTAAGTCTACCGCTGTGGTACTAACAGTACGGATCGCGGTATCAATCCACCTCCATTCAATAGTAATAGAGGTACGTCACTTCCCAAGTGGCGGTATTCGCGGTTCATCACTCAAGACTCAAGGTAACCTTGGAATTTTTGAGTCATCGCGCCGTCTCATCGTCACTTTGTATCGGCAGCACACGGTCAATTCTGTATACACACTTCCAGTTAAACGGGACAAAGAGTCTCAGAGAAGCCCCTCCGCATCCCCTTACACGTCTCTCTAGAACAGTATCACGCGGTCAAGTCTATGAATATTTCCAACAAAACTAGGCAATCGGGCCCCGAAAGCCCCAGAGGGGCCTCCTCATGAAATTGTCTTCACCAGCTCTCCTGCATATGATTACGACGTTCGGCCACCCAGTTGACTAGCAGTCCTCTCTGCACCCCTCCATGCCTTTCCAAAGCAACGTTAGACAATCGAGTTTGTGACAACATACACAGAAAGCAGCCAATTACACCCCGAAGGATCCATAGAGCCGTTCCCGTACGTCGACCATCTCCACCTCCCCGAAATCTAGGTCTGATTCTATAACTCCAGCAACGCCAATAGCTAGTAGCCGCCCTGTGCGTCTGCCCTCCGCGTCAATGTATACCAGCATCACACGGCTGATCCCGTAGCTTCTTCTACCAAACCTAGACAACGCGTGCCCAAAAAGGTCATGGATCCGTCGCCCTCTCCGTCCCTCTACACTTGCTAGCACTTCACGGTCGCTTCTGCACTTTGTTCTAACAAGGCTGGACAGTGCGTCCCTGTATAAGTTCCTAAATGACTACCCGCAACATCCAGCCATACGCAGTAGATTTATTTTATCCACGCTATCACTTCTTCCAATAGCACTAGACAAGGCGTCTCCTACACATGGGGTTGATTATTACTCCTTCTCGCCACTCTGCATCAGTTTCACACAGCCAACTCCGCCACTTCTTCTGACAAACTTGGGACAACGCGATCCTCCACATTGCGCCCAAAAGAACTTCCGTGGTATTACCTCACGCCCACCGCTTGGCGCGGAAACTCCTCCTGGAACTGCCTGATCCCGAAGTCAGTACAGCGACTCTGGTTTGGATCCCGTCGCCATAGCACTTGCCTTCCGTCTTCGGCCCTCTTCTGCTTCGGGATGAGCAATCAGCTGGCTCGTTTCCACGGCTACGAAATCTAACAACCATCGAAAATCTCAACACACAAAGGCCACATCGTTTTACAGTCTCGCAGTTTTTTTTTTTAACTGGCACCGGGACCGTAGTTTCCTTGTTCAGACGAGGTCACATTTTTCCACAATCCACTATAGCTCTCCCTCACCAACAATCAATGTCAACCCATCTAGCCCAGAATCAATAAAGTCTTAGATATTGCCGCAAAGATATATATCTACAGATCAGAACTTCATATGTCCAACCTCCACCCACCCAGTGCCAGTGATATAATGACCCCCCCACACTCCCTCCCCTTTCCCTTCCCCATCCCCCTCCCCGAACACAATCCGCTTACTAACTGATAACTTTTGGTTTGGTTCAAGGGTTCGCCCGCCTGCCCCACTCCGATATATCTCCCAATCCACCTCCTTACCTCCGCACCGAGTTCATCAGATCAATCAGGCCGCTCGCCGCCCGCCCCTTCACCACACTACTCGTCAGATCGCCCTCCTCGAACCGCCGGTTCGCCCTCGCGCTAGTAGTCAGTTCCCCCATATCTCGCTCTCCACTCCCCGGCGGGCTGCTCAGCTGCTCGAACGCGCGGCGCTGCGCCATGGGTGTCACGAAGGAGTCGTGGGAGGGCGAGAGGTCCTCCGGGGGGTGGATATGAGTTTGCGCGGGCGAGACGGAGCCGGGTGGGGACGAGGGGATGATGCCGGACTCGGTGATGAAGCGGGAGGAGTAGGCGGTGGGGAGGAGGACGGGCGCGGGGAGGAGTTGGGGTTTTGTGGGCGGTTTTGAGGTGGGGGAGGAGAGGGCGGGGGAGAAGGTTATGCTGGGGACTGTAGAGGTAGTGGAGGTGAGGGAAGTGGAGAGGGAGGTGTGGGCCGTGGAGATTGAGGCTTCGGTCGTTAGGGTGGAGAGTTTGGTTGAGGGCTCGGAAAGGGGTGTGGTGGTGACGGGGGTAGGGAGTTTGAGGTCGGCGAGGGGGATGTCGGTTTGGTTCGTGTGGACTTTGTACATTGCCATTCGGAGGCGGAGGCGGAGGGCTTCGGCTCGTTGTTGGCGTTCGGTAAGAACTTTGGTGTTGGATGTATTTACTGAAGGTGGTGGTTCTGGAACTTCTGTGGCTGGTGGCGATACGCGAGTTTGGGAAGAAGACCTGTCAGGATTGTAGTTGATCATTGATGAGAAGGATTGGTTTGTCTCTTGCGAGACTTGTGCCTCTCCTTCCAGAACGTCCTCTTCAGAGTCGTCTCCCCCGAGGTTGACAGCAGATGTTGACTATACACAATTAGCCGTTTAGAACGATCGTGGTGTGATACCGGATACATACCTGATTTTCGCGCATCCTAGCGATGACGCCTGGCCTAAACGCCTGCCGTAACGAGCCGTCGCGCTCATCAAAGGCACGATACGTGCATCCCAAGCCGTCCTCGCGCGCGACCGCGCCGTCAACTTCAGTGATGGGCCTTTTTCGCCCGAGACCTGGGTACTGAAGCTCTGACATGTTCTCGGTATCCATTTGGCGTGCTGGAGACAGTGTCTGGACCTGTTTTAGGGGGCTGCGGTTCTTCAATGCCTCGAGATGTTCGACAGCAGCGTTGTTGTTCGTGGCCGCGTTAATGGCCTTGGGAGTGAGTTCAGCGAGGACGCGTCGAGCGGGCGACTCGGCCGGAGTCCCAGTAGCCTCACGGTCCCTGAAGACGTGGTGGGGAGAGGCGGGAAGGGTTGCGGGTGCAGACATGATGCCGATACGCGTGCGGAGGCGGTGGGTCGATCTTGGAACGAGAAGGCGGCCAATTGGAGAGGAGTCCTGGGATTGAGGCTTCTGACAACGCACGACGTGAGCTCCGGACAGCAAGCAAGAATTGGGAGGCTGGCGGGGATTTGCAAGTGTTGTTGATTGAAGACAGGAGGTGTTGCGCGTTTGGCGATGGCATTTACGATGGACCCTGCACTACTGCCACTCGGCGCCAATCAGTCTCCAGTTCCACAAAGCGCGGAACATGAAAGCAAAACACGCTTTGCGCTTGTGCATCTGTCGCGTTCGTGGCGGGGTGCTAACGACGGCCCAAGGGGCCCGCCGCCATACGTAAAACGAAAAATGCGAATGCGAGAAGGCCATCTGCTGCGAGTGCCAGTCTTGGCTTTGCAGACCTCCAATGGAGGCCGACTTATCACTCTTATCGCCTGTATTTCGTGGCCATGGCTCCCCACACCGGCTGCGTAGTTGCGTCTGTCCCAGCATCGCTGTCTATCACCTGCGGGTTGCGCGTCCCTGTCGATCCCCATCTGGGACCAGTCGCGGAGGTGTACGCCGCTGTCTGGGAGTTCATAACCTCCACCGCTTGTGCCTCGATATACACATGTCTTTGCTCTTGCCAATCGAGGGTTGAAGAGCTGCGCCATACTGTCGAAATTCGGTTGAGCCCGGTCTGAGCAATTTGTAGCCCAGCTGAGCCACTGCAGACGGTGCTCTCTAAAGCTGTCGGCCTACGTCACCAGACCTGTGTTGTGCCTGCTCCTGTCGGATATATGAGAAGGCACAGCGCGATACTTGGTAAATCAGCACTGCTCTTTCAGCTCGTTCCCCTTCTTTCTCTCAAACACCTCTCCTAATCCAGAATCCTAGCATCTTCCACGCGCCCACTTCTCACCAAACACACCCTTCGACCTCCAAAATGAAAGGCTTTCTCCACAAAGCGAAAGACCAGGTCCAAAACTCGCTGCAAAGAGAGCCAAAAGCTCCCCCGCCTGTTCCTGGAAAGAAGCCGTCTATTTTCGGGGGAGGTACACCCCAAGGAGGCCAACCTCCGCCGCCTGTTCCTGGGAAGAAGCCGTCTATCTTCCAACGCGATGCACCCCAGCGACACCAGCGTTCTGCCATCACTAAACCAACCGCACACCAGAAAGACCAGCCGTCTTCCATCTCGATACCAGACGCACAGGAAGTGTCACGCTACCGGTACCATCATGGAGCGAATTTGGGCTCCATATACGTGCTCGAAAAGTGGCTGCATGGGTCAATGTTTCCCCCGAACGCTGCACCAGGTCGAACGAGCGAACTTGAAGCGGTAAAGCTATGGGTTGGCCAGATAGGGCTGGACGCAGCGCGCGCAAAGTTTGAGGCACACTGGAGAACCGCTGTGTCTGATAGTGATCTGGCGTGGCTCTCAAAATCAGCGAATTGTAAGAAACTTCTCCCATATCCTCTTTAGTGTACATCCATCTGCCAGATCCCGAGGTGACTCCACGATTCCTACGTATCGCTCAAAACGATGAACTTCCCTCTCGTTCGAATTCCTCAAATTAGGTTGACGCACCTGCGACAGTGGCAAGAAATCACCCTTGAATATGCAAAACCACACACATCTTTCATATATCCTCACTAACACATTGTTTTAGGCACCACTCTACGTCTACCAATCGGCTATTTCACTCTTGGTCCCTCATTCTGTCAAGGAACTCCCTTTGAACCATACGCCTCAGTCTACACTGATGCATGGTCCTCAATCCAAACCCTCATCACGCGCCTCTGGTCCTTCCGCATCGGCGTCCTCCTAGACCTCCACGCCTTACCCGGCGGCGCCAACGGCGGCGAGCACAGCGGCACTAACTCTGGCAAAGCAGACCTCTGGAACTCAGCTTCGAACCTCAACCTCGGTCAACGCTGTGCCGAATTCCTTGCTCAGCAAGTCCGAGATCACCTCACTGGCGTCGTCGGCATCCAGCTCTGCAACGAAGCAAACTGGGACGCGCCTGGCATGTACTCTTGGTACGACCGCTGCATCGCCAGCATCAGTGCCATTGACCCCAGCATCCCCGTCGTCATTTCCGATGGCTGGAACCTCTCCAAGGCTCTCGATTACGTCGGGAAGAAGAACGTCGCGTACCCTGACCAACCGACATGCCCGGTCATCGTAGACACGCACTACTACTGGGCCTTCTCAGACGCTGACAAGAGAAAATCACCTCAAGCCATCATCGCTGAAGCTAAGACGAAGATGAGCGAGCTAGACGGCAAGGAAGGCAGTGTCCTCGACCGCGGTGCTTTCCAAATCATTGTAGGTGAGTACAGCTGCGTCATGACAGAAGACTCCTGGAGAAAAAGCGGCGGCGCGCCCAAGTCGGACCTTGTGAAGCAGTTTGGCCAGGCGCAGTCCCAGCGATACCAGGAGCGATCCGGCGGCAGTTACTTCTGGACATACAAAATGGTGAGTCTTCATGCTTTCCAACCCCCCCTTATCGATCTATCTACACCATCTCCTCACGTCAGAACTGCCTCAACTACCTTCCCCAAATCCAAGTTCAGCAACCCCTCTCACCACGCTAACACCCCCTCCCAGAACTGGCTCCCCGGCGGTGAATGGGGCTTCATCGCCCAATCCAACTCCGCCACCATCACGCCTCCCCCAAACCTCCGCATCGCCGACGTAACCAGACGCATCGCCAACGCCAACGACAAACAAGCCGACCTCATGACGGTCTCCATCTCCGCCCACTGCGGCTACTGGGACCGCACCGCGCCCGGCAAGCCCTTCGAGCACTGGCGCTACGAGCAGGGGTGGAAGCTCGGCTTCGGCGACGCCTCCGCGTTCCTGGGCATGAATAGCCAGCCGGGCTACTCGGAGCAATATGCGCCGGGGGGCGACAAGATTGGGAATCTGGAGCTGTGGGTGCTGAAGAGGATCCGGGACAGCGGTATGGGGGGCCCGTGTGTGTGGGAGTTTGAGCAGGGGCTTAGGGCGGGCATTAAGGATTTCTATGGGGCGGCTGGGGTGTGAGGGACAGCAGATGCCGCAAGCATGAGATTGTGAACTAGACGGGTGGATGACGGTGGGTTGAGGGGGTCTTTGGTGCTGTTGTTGGGTAGGCAGGATGCAGTTTAGCCTGGCGTGGTTTGGCTTGTATGGCTTCTAGAATAGGTAATTAGGTGTTAAAGGCAGAAACGGCCGAATCAGAAGCTGGCGTTGTGGTTATGCGCATATAAACAACACACTTGAAGAGCCCCTGAAGGGCTAGAAAAAATTGGTGGCCAATGTTTGTATACTTTCACGAGCTAATCCAGGGTATCATTCATAAACTCCCACGTCCTCTCTTCTACTGCATCTCCACCTCCATGTCCTCCTTTGATGGCTTCGGACTCCTCCCTCTCTGTGGACTCGGCTGCGGACTCAAGCCCCCCGACCCAATCCCTAAACTCGCAAACGCCTGCGCCATCGACGCGGCAGGCTTCGGCTGGGCGGCCACTCCCGTCGCGTACTCCGCCGTCTCCACACCCGTGACAATCGACTCCGGCAAGATAGGGGTACTCGCGCCACTCCTGCTCGGCGTCGCGAGCCCATTCGGGTTATTCGACGAACTCGAGACCATCGACGACGAGGGCGAGAGTGTCGCGGGCGCGCCAGGCGGCGGGCCGGACTTGCCGTTCATATCCTCGTCGAGGCGGTTAAACAGCTCTGGCCACCACCGGATCTTCCTGCTGTCGGGGAAGATCATGCGCTCTCTGCCGCGGACGCTGTCGTCGACGGCGGGGTTGTATGTTGGGTTTGTGAAATCGGGGCGGCGGGAAAGGAAGTAGTCCCATACGCTTCGCGTGCGCTGCGCGGCTCTGTTCTCGACGCGCTCCTTTTCGTTGTCGAAGAGGAAGGTGCCGTATTGGCACGAGTAGAGGTGGTAGAGGAGGCGGCGGAGGAAACGCTCGTTGTACTCGAAGCGGTCCGGGTGCTGGTAGAGGAGCTGGTAGGTGCAGTCTAGGAACTGATGGAACACTGGGGATATTTCGGACGGCTTTGTGACGCGCTGTTCTTCGGCGGCCCCGGACATGGAGGCTATGGGTGCTGGAGTAGAAACAGAGATGGGTGTCGAGTCAGATGCATTTTGCATCTCAGCGTCTGTGGTATCTACGAGTGATTCTCGGCTTTCGTCCTTACGATTGAAGAAGCGGTTTGCAAGTCGAGTGGCGTTTTCGATAGTATTACCGCCGGGAGAGCTGGTCCCGTTGGCACTGGTCTTTCCACCTATGCGCTCATTCTCGATCTCGAACCATTTCTCGTGACTCAAGAATCCAGATCGTTGCCGGAACATATGGCCGAATGACATCCAGTCTTTTTCTACTAGTACAATGAAGCCGTCTATCGTGCGATAGTATGGGTCAAGGCATATCTGACTTAGTGCGCTCAGCTGACTCGTTCGGTCCCAGCCGTCGGAGCAGTGTATCAGCACATGTGAGTGCATGATGCCGACTGTTCGTGCTATGAGAGCCGATCCTTCCAGCACATTCCCTATGTGCTTCAACCAGCCCGTTGCTGCGAGCTGCTCCGCATTGGGTGGAAATGCAGAAACATCTGAATGGCTGAGCGCATCGACGATCTTTTGGAGAGACTTGCGCATGACGTGAATGTTGTCGATGCCCAAGTAGGCTTTTTGGGCACCTTTGTATCCATCCATGTTCTCTGAACCCTTGCCGACTAACTGCATCGCCATAGCGTTGATTGTTGGCCGAGCGTCAACGATCATGTTTCTCCGTTGTGCACCGTAAACCTTTGGATGTATGGTATCGGACTCGTCAGGGTCCGAAAGGTCTTCCGTCGCGGGGTCAACTACAGATGAGCTATCAGCACCAGAAAAAATGAAGTTGTCCACACTAGATTCTGGGCTCGAGCTAGTTGTGCTTGATGTCGGGGCTGTTTGTGGTTTCCACCCACTATTAGTCGCAAATATAGCGGCCACCAGTTTCTCATCTTGGACGTTCCTGGAACCCCTGATGCCAGGCGTCGGTTGAGCGCTCCGAGTAATGGAGCAATTATTTATGGGATGCCGGTAAACGAGGGCTGGTATCCGTGCTCTAGACCTGTATTTGCCCGCATAGTTGAGTACATTATCTGAGATTCTGGTGGGAACGACGATTAATGCAGGATATGTAGGGGAGTACTATTCTGGTTGTTAGGGAGCTTCTCTCCAAAGGTAGACACTGAAAGGATAGCTTACCTGGTAGTCAACGTTAATTTCAGATATCCGCCAGCCCTTTTCCGAGTCCTTTGCGCTGATGCCTAGTCGCTTCCACTCACGCCTAGCATCATAGATCTTCCAGCCATCAATAGGCTTTTCCGCAGGCGGTGGCTTATACGAGAACGCCAGCAACTTATCCAGTCTTCCGATCCTACAGGACGACGAGCGTATCCGCTCGTACGCCTCACGTGCCTTGTTCTCTCCGAGGAAGTGAAAAGCGAAGAACTTGAAGTCGCGACACTGTATCCGAATCGAGGGTTGCTGGTGTGACTGCGGAGGGGTAGGGCGGTAAACACAATATGATATCATGGGGAATGTAATCCATATATCTCTTTCTCGGGGTGGCTTCGCGGACTCGGGGGAGTCGGGCGGAGGCGGAGGATGCCAGCTGAAGACCATGTGGTGGGGCTTCAGATTGAGCGTCCCGTCGTACCGCGTTCCTCTCATCCATAGCGTGACGTCTTCTATCTACGCACATGTTAGAATCGTAGGGCTCGGACAGGCAGCACTAATATGCGCGCTCACCCGCATCTTGTCTCGAGGTGGACTGCGGAGGAAGGTGGTGTATGGACGGCAAACGAGTCGAGAAGGTAGAGCGAGCTGTGACAGCAACAATGTTCGAGAAAGAATGGGTAGCAGCGACGTCTACTAGAGTGTGTGCAGTGGGGTGAATGTCGGGGCTGGGTGTTGACTTGTGATAGATGACCGCATCCTTGCTGGCAACAGTGGCTGTGGGGTTCGAGCACGAGCCAGCAAAATCTTATTATTTATACTCTTGAACCTTCCATTCTACACAACCTTCAGAAGGCGCTTACACGACCTTTGTCGTTGCCTTGAATCGTTGAGACTCCAGGCGGCCAATCTATATGAATACAAGCTGAATCACAATGGCGCCCCTCCCGGCCGACCACCTTTCTCCCAGCGAACTGGGCACCAAGGACTACTGGGACAGCGCCTACAGTCTCGAATTACAGAATCATGCCGCACGCCCTGACGATGAGGGCACTATTTGGTTCTCCGACGCCTCTGCCGAAGAGCGTGTCCTTGCACACCTGGAAACTTTATCCGACGAGAGCATCCTCAGCAAGACCAGCACGACATTTCTAGATCTAGGCACCGGGAATGGGCATCTCCTGTTTGCCCTCAGGGAAGATGGATGGGAGGGCAATATGCTTGGGGTAGATTACAGTGCTGCGAGTGTCGAGCTAGCGCGGCGGATAGGAGAAGGGAGAAAAGAGGAGGGCCAGGCCGGAGTGAGGTTTGAGGAGTGGGACATATTGAACGAGCAGGCTGGAGGCTGGCTGGGCGAGGGCTGGGATGTGGTATTGGATAAAGGCACGTTCGATGCAATCAGTCTCAGCGGTCAAGTCGACGAACAAGGGAGAAGGATATGTGAAGGATATCGAGTTCGTGTCGAGCCACTCATAAAAGCAGGAGGACGGCTGGTCATAACGAGTTGCAATTGGACTAGCGACGAGCTAAGAGCATGGTTTGAGGTTGAAGGGGGGCAGCTGGAGTACGAGACCAGCGTAAAGTACCCCAGCTTCACATTTGGAGGTAAGACTGGGCAGCAGGTCTGCACACTGAGTTTCACAAGAAGAGCGGATAGGCTTTCCTGACTACTGTCGACGTCGCAGTCGAGCAACAGCAAGCCATTTCTTTCTCTCCCCCATGTTCTCCAGGCCTCCGTCACGCTCGGCGCGCCACTCCCTACGCACACCGTTAGCATCCATCTCGTATATCTCCTCAATCTCCAGACCCTCCTCTCCCACAACCTCTTCAAAGAACGGAGCTAGCTTCGCCCGTCCAGTATGGAAACCTGCAATCACGAAGACACGGGCATCGGGAGAAGGCGAGAGGAAGTGCAGCATCGAACGCGCCAGGCTGTGATGTTCCCGCGGCATCCAGAGGCAATCGGCAGCTAGTACGCGGGTGAAGCGTCCAGCATTCTCTTTCGAGAACGGGGACTCAAGGTCTCCCCACTCATGGCCCTTGATAGAGAGGCGTGAGCGTAGATCGCTTGGAACATTACTCTCAACGTTCTTGGTGATATTTGCCAGCAGCTCCGGCGCTGGATAGTCTGAGATGACGATCTATAGATCTAGATTAGTTACTCTATCGTACATACAATACCACGAAATCTGAAAACTAGCCTACCTCCTCAGCTCCAGCTAAAGCACTGATAATCCCGGCGAGCCCTACGCCTAGAACCTGAACATATCAGCACCATACACCATGCTCCCTCACTATTCCCCTAGGGCAGCCAACCAACCTGCCCCAAGTTCAAGAACTGTTTCTCCCTTTACCCTCCACAGCTTCTCCTCCTCCTCACTAGCCCACCACCTCTCCGTCCCCCACCCAGCAATGTCATCCTCATTTACCTCCTCCACCCCACTATCCGTCCCATCCCCGTCATTATCACCCTTCCTTCCCCCCACCAGCTCCCCCATCAACACCCCCGCATTCCAAAGATAGTGCGCAAACTTCCTCCGCTCTTCCTCCCCACTCGGGTCGGCCACAGTCAGCTCCAGCTCCCCGAACCTTCTGTTTTTATAGAGGATGACAGTGTCCGGGCCAACGCCATGCATATTTTGACAGTCATCGGGGAAGAGCGTGCCCAGGGCGCTGAATAAATAGTCCTCGGGTTCTGGGACCGCGGTGGGCGGGGAGCGCAGGCGGATGAGGGAGGGGAGCATGGGGCAGATGGTGGTGGATGGGTCTGTCTGGAGGGGGTTGTGACTTTGGTAGAATTGTGAGGTGGTGGGATCTTTATGTGACGCGGTGGAGCACGTGCCCCTCCGCGGGGTTAACGGTTTACACTTTCTCCTTTTCATTGGGCATGGTCGTAAACATGGGGCCTATATGACCTGTGGATTGAAGGTAGTACTTGGAGAGCGATTTTTCTCATTTACTCTAGATAGACGTTCACGATATGACGTGCATTGGTTACGCCCTAGACGACGCTACATAAGATATTCACGAGACATGCCCGAAGACTTTCAGCTGGCTGACGGGGATGAGCCTAAGGACTCAAGATTGTATTACTTTGGTGTCTATACATCCCTTGTCCTGGAGCTAGAGTTTCTGCCTATTCCAATCTCCGTCTCCACGAGCTCTAATCCCGAAAGACTGGGATACCGTTTACTGAAATTGGCCTCCCAATCATCTCCTTGAGGCGCCCCAGCGTCAGCCGGATTCGGCAATGGTTTCCCGGTGAGGGCAGCCGGTTTTACTGCTGATGATATCGGTGCTTCGTATTGGCCTCCCGTACGCAAGGCCTTCGGTTTTGGCGGTGCGTTGGGCCGACTGCCTGTCCTCAGCGCTACAGGGGCCGCTGAAGACGACGATGGAACGAAGGAGGCCGGGAGCGGTCCAGAGTCCTGTATTGGCATTGGTCTTGCCTTGGCATACGACGTATCGCTAGGTAAATTTCCAGTAGTTTTTCCAATTGGCTTTCTTGATATTAAAGGAGCTTTGAAGTTGGGGTCCTCTGAAGGCCTCGCCGGCAAGGCCTTCCCCGACTCGGTAAATCTCCCATACCCTTCAGCGGTTCGAGATGGCTGCACCTTACTATCATCTAGCAGGGTCTTGACACGATTCTGGATAGTCGAGGCACGCGTAATGCCGCCTTTGCCTTTTCCACTGTCGCCTTGTTCAGCTAAACGCTGGCGATATTCGGCTGCAGCCTGCGCAACGCGCTTCTCTTCTTGCGAAAGCCGTCTTCTTTCCAACTCTCGTCGAACCTCTGGCGGAAGATCCTGCGTCTCATCTATGGCGTGTTCGTCGTCGCTAGTCCCTCCCGTAGCTTCAGAACCAGCAATAGGGGTTAACGCATTGCCGTTGCGATCAATGAGTTGGTCGGTTGGAGTTCGAGGCTCTTGCGGAGCTGTATTGCTCTCAAATCGGCGGAAAGCATCTCCGAATCTACCAGCTAGAATATTCTTGGTGTTCGACAGAGATATCGACGGTAGACTGGACCGCTTACTGTGCTTGCTCTGACTACTACTACGCCGATGGTCCTTCTTTTTGGTGGAATCATCACCTTCTATAGCACGCAAGAAATCCACATTCGAAGTAATGTTCTTATCGTCTAATTCCGAGTCCGACTCAGGGGCTAAAATCTTCATCACGTTTCCCTGTCCGCTTCCTCGACCTCGAGATTGTTCTCGATCTCGCAGATAATCAAGATTGGACTCGACGTGAACGCTGGTGGGGCGTAGGCGCGCATTAGCTGACTTGGATCGACCAAGTGGATCGCCAATATCCTGTGTTGAGGGCCGCTGACCTTCCAATGAGGGCCGAGAAGAAGCTGGCGATCTAGGTATTGTGAGGCCGCTAGTCTGGGATCTCGATCGATTGACATCAAGTATTGAAGGGCGCGGAGGTAGCGCGTATTCGGGTCGAAGGCTAGGCGCACTTGATCTTGCGCTGTCCATAGCTCGCGGCTGGCTCATAGTTCGATGGTGGTGGTCACTGGACGACTCTGTGGGAGGGAATCGGTAGATGGGACGTTTGTTGGCCTCTGGGTATTGCTGCGGTGCTGGCGACGGGGCGGGGGATGTCATTGTACCCGTTGAAACCATACCAGGCCGCTGTGGTTCTGGCTGGAGTATGGTAGTAGTCGGGATTGGACGCGCAGGCGCTTTTTGAGGAGCAGTGGGTTGGGGCTTCTTGACAGAAGCTGTCCGTGATATTGTTGACGAGGACATCGTGGACGAAGGTTTGATGTTCGGAGCAGAATCTACCTTTGTGACCGGTGGTAAAGCGAAGGCGTCATCGGCCAAAGCTTCGGTCACTCGCTTGTTCAATGTCTCCTCCTTGGGATCAACCGGCGAGGATGGATTAAATTGGAATTTGGTCCCGCGGTCGTGCAGAATTGAGAACTCATCTAGCGAAGGAAAGCGTGCAGCGAGTTCATCGGCGGCAGCGCTCCTTACTTGGACAGACTGCGAGTCCAGGGCAGCAAACGGGTCACCGCCTCCTCTCAGAGGCGACGGGCTTGGCTTCGCTGAGGCATGGTGTTGGGTTGGACCTGTAGGACGGCCTCGTCTCATGGGGGTAATATCTGGTATAGACTGTACCGTTTGTACTGGGAGGGCTTTTTGTATTCCAATTACTGGTGGAGATGAAGCGTCAGATTCTGGAGAGGGGAGTCTCTCATTCCGGCGAGATTCTGATTGAGATCGATTCGTGTAAATCTAGTACTGTTAGCTGAGTCTGTAGACCATGGTATGAATGCGTACGTCTTTAATCGGCAATTCCGTGTGCCGCATGGAACAGACTTCTCGTAAGACTTGATAGATGTTTGGCCGCAGTAGAGGGTTCTCCCGTAGCATGGACGCTACGAAAATGGTAAGCACTTATAGAGAGCGAGTGTAAGCAGTTTCTTACCAATGAGCTTTTTAGTGCGATCCGAAAATGCTGGGTATGAAGGGAATTTGAAACTAGCATTCAATATAGCCATCTGTCCCACTTCCTCGAAGGGTGTTGTATAGTAGCAAAGTTTGTACAATAGCACACCCAAGGCCCATATATCGCTTTTCTCATCGATGGGCTGTTTACGGTAGACGTCGATCATTTCCGGACTCCGGTATTGCAAGGTAGTATGCTTTTGGACGTCGTCCTCAATCAATCTCCCTTCAGCAGCGGTTGTGGCAGCGGGGCGCGGAGGAGCCGTGGATCCAAAATCGCAGAGCTTGTATATCCTAGACGATCCAGAAGAAGTGATGAGAACGTTCTCAACTTTCAAATCCCGATGTAGAAGTGGAGGCTTCAGGTAGTGCATTGTAGCAACGCCTTCGGATACATCTGAGAAGATTTTGAGAATTTCTGGCTCCGTGAGACGATGCTGAAGCCGGGTATTCATGAAATCGATCAAGCCCCCTCCGCTACAGAATTCCATGAGCAGGAAGACTTCGTACCCCCCTCCCTTCAGCTGGGAGGCATGTGAATCCATGTACGTCACTATATGCTTGTGGCCCTTCAGCTTCTTCATGGTTTCCACCTCCGTCCTCATGTTTGCCAGAGAGTCCTTGTCCGGTACTGCAACTCTCTTCAGGACCGCAACCTCGGTCTTGTCAACCGACTTGGGAACCCGCACTAGGTAGACATGGGCAAAGCCGCCCTCGGAAAGGTATTTCTCGATGACGACTCGGTGGTGTCCCACCTGGACTTTCGTGCCTGGCTGGAACGTGCCTGGGGGTGCATTTGAGGCGGCAGCGGGAGCATGATAGGCAGCGGGTCGGTGGGATGCAGCGGCTGAGCTGCTGAAGGGTGCGGAGGACATTGTGGGCTTGGGGCGGGTTCCTGCACAAGGCAGGGTTCTGGCGCGCTTTAAGGAGGGTACATGAAGTGTAAAGGCGTGTGGCGGAGGAAATCAGGCGCACGCAATGAGCGTATGGGGTGGTTTCGAGGACGAGAAGGCAGCTGTTGACCGTCATACGTAGTGTGTCCAATGCGGAAACAAGAGCCTGCCAAGCCTCTCTCCCCTGCGTCGGCGGTGTGGTATTTCTCGCAGGACTGCGTAATTCTCTATGTGCTTCACAACTAGTCACAGAAAGCCTCGGATTTTCTCTATGTGCGAGTCACTGTAGAATTCTGAATTGCCAGCGTCGAGAGATACAATGCCGAACCCCTTCTGGGAACGTCCACGGGTCTGAAACAGCAAATCGTGGAGTGCTATTGGTCAAATTTGGAACACTTGGGACTGGTGACCGCTCTCTGTCGATTACATCAGGGTCTCCATCACATGCCCACGGTTCAAGATATTCTTTTTCTCGTTTTTGGTACGGTATCTATTTACATTTCATTGGGGTCTTTCTATTTAGTCTCTTTCTACTCTTGAACGATATCAATGTTTCATCAATACCTACCGTGAATAGAGCTACAAAGCTACCCGTCGCGCTATCCAAAGATGTACTATGCAATTTGTGCCCATGAGGGAGAGCTATAGAAACAGATGAAGGGTTTGGAACCGTTTCGACCTTATCACTTTCAGCATCTTTGCTTTACGATCTAGGTTCAATCGTGACGGGTTACCGAAGGCGCTCTTGACGAGCAATACAGCCATTTTACTGAGGAAAAGCAGAATACTCTTGGATTATCTAGGCGGGCTCTACAAGTTTAGTGAGGAAGACTCGACCTGTTCATTCTACTGCTCCTGTGTAGCTTTCCAGACAGTGGAGTGGAAGACCTTCGATGTGGGAACTGTCCTCCGATGCTACTCTGCTGTCACCCGGGTTTGCGTATTCCGAGAAATATCAATTCGAGATACGGTCACTGCTTCGCCGAAAGACATGCAGTCTTCGGACTGACACGCGTTGTTGACACGCGTCTTATGCTTCAGTGCGGCAGTTATGTCATGTGCGTTTTTTAAGCCACGCTGGCCCTGTGTGACAGGTAGAGGCCGTTTTCGTGACGAGGAGAGGCGCCGAGAGGGAGCCATCTGAGGTTCTCCAATTAAAACACCTGGAAAGCCCAGAGATGCTCGATACTAGTGCGAAGTCAGACTTCCAGCACTCGTGAAGGTCACGATGCACAGCGAGCCTGCAGCGTCGGTCGTAGTTCGCACCGTTGGCCGACGTTGAATGCACGCTTCTCCCTTGGCATGCAGCCAGCCTTGAGCAGGGCGTTTTGGATGCGGAACCGTGGTCGTGACGGTGAAATCTGCGAAGGTCTTGCCGTCTGTAGCTATAGTAGCGGAATGTGACATTCTAGGTTGGACAGAGTGTGTAACTGTTTAGGGGTCCCGGCAGAAGTGAGAGTGAATGAAGGGCCTTTCACCTCGCCAGTCGAAGACATACAGCTGTCATTATCCGTGTTCGGCCGGCGCTGGACTGGCCGGCCCGTGTTGTTGTTTGAAACCATGGTTTCCACCAGGCTATGATGTTGTTTTCGCCAAGGCTCGACCACCGACAGCTGACGTGCAGCTTCGCTCCTTATTGTTAAAGCGGACGCTCCCCTCACGCCCACTATCCAGAAGGCACTACATACGCCGTGTTGATTTATTCTCCATTCATTCACTGCTCTCCTACCATTTGCCCCCTTCTTTCTCACTGCCCGCCGCAGTCCTCGACACCCTCCCGGCTCCTCCTCCGCCACTCTGCACAACCTTGCCCTTGCTCACTCCGCAACAACAACCTACCTTCCAAGTCACTAGCAATCGCCCGCCGTCCTCAGACGCTCCTCACGTATAAAGTCCGCGCAGCATACCGCCTCTATCGCCGTCTCCTTGTCCACCATTCCACCTTCGGGAATCAACGCAACAAACCTCCACCGTGCAGTCATCTCCGTGCTCTTTTAAAACCACCACCACCTATATATGGTGCAGCCGGAACGGCAGATATCTTGTAGCTACCGCGCTCTGCATCTACATACTCCACATCATGGCTCGCTCCCGCCGACCGCAGAGATCACCTAGCGGTTCCAGGTCCGACACATCGGCGTCCACATCCCCAGAACGAGGGGTCGATGATGACAATGACTCCTTCATGATGCAAGCAAACGACTCGGTGTCCTCTCTGGCGCCCTCAATCCCCCCGGAATTTGACAACGAAGCCGCGAGGCGAGAAATCGAAGAGCGGTGTCGGATATCGCCAATCAGCCGACTCCCCGCCGAGCTCATGATCGCTATATTCGCCAAGCTGGCCTCCCCCGGGGATCTGAAGAATTGCATGCTGGTATCGCGAGAATGGTCGAGGAATAGTGTTGGACTACTTTGGCACCGACCTCGGACCGACAAGTGGTCCAGCCTACACAACGTGGTCAAGTCAGTTCGGACTGTGAACAGCTTCTTTGACTATCCCAGTCTTATCAAGCGGCTCAATCTATCCACTCTGGCAGGCGATGTCAGTGATGGCACCCTGCAGCCGCTTCGTGCCTGCAAGAGAGTGGAGCGTATGACACTTACAAACTGTACGAAGCTTTCAGATCTAAGTCTGGTCGACATGATCCAGGGCAATCGTAGTCTTTTGGCTTTAGATGTGACGGGTCTAGAAAACATCACGGACAAGACCATGGAGGCCGTAGCAAACAACTGTATACGACTCCAAGGCTTGAATATTACAAATTGCAAGAAGATCACGGATAAGTCCCTCGCAGAAGTTGCTCGACTTTGTCGGCATGTCAAGAGAGTAAGTACTAAGGTCGTTCCATCTTCCGTTCAAGCTCAAACTAACAACATCATAGCTAAAATTCAACGGATGCTCTCAACTCACGGACGCATCTATCATAGCCTTCGCACTTAATTGCCGACATATTTTAGAGATCGATCTCCACGATTGCAGACTTCTCGAAGATGAGTCGATAACAGCCTTGATCAGCGAGGGTCCGCATCTGAGAGAGCTTCGGCTGGCACATTGTTCCCGCATCACCGACAACGCTTTCCTCCGCCTACCCCAAGAAGCTACATTCGACAGTCTGCGCATCCTGGATCTCACTGACTGTGGCGAGCTTCAAGATGCTGGAATACAGAAGATCGTCCAGGCCGCCCCACGCCTCCGCAATCTGGTCCTTGCCAAGTGCCGACAATTAACCGACCGAGCGGTCTTAGCAATCACTCGACTTGGCAAAAATCTGCACTACATCCACCTAGGACACTGCTCGCGCATAACGGATGCTGGTGTGATACAGCTCGTGAAGCTTTGCAATCGGATCAGATACATCGACTTGGCCTGCTGCTCCAATCTCACCGATAATTCAGTCCACCAGCTTGCCACACTCCCCAAGTTGAAGCGCATCGGACTAGTGAAATGCGGAAACATCACGGATCGGAGCATCCTGGCTCTTGCGAAACCGAAGCAGGCCGGACACAATGGGCCAGTAACCCCGAGCTCCCTTGAGAGGGTTCACTTAAGCTATTGCACAAATTTAACTCTCGCGGTAAGTACAAAGAGTGCCACCTTTCGAGATTATTCACTCTAACGTTCGTAAGGGTATTCACGCGTTACTAAACAACTGCCCGCGCCTGACCCACCTCAGTTTGACCGGTGTCCAAGCCTTTCTTCGTGAAGACTTGATTGTGTTTTGCCGAGAGGCTCCGTCAGGCTCGTAGACCCTTTCGCCCCTTTAGCATTTGATCGTAGTCTAACACTCGCAGCAGAATTCAACGACCACCAGCGAGACGTCTTCTGCGTCTTCAGCAACCACGGCGTCACCCGCCTTCGAAATTACCTCAACCAAGACTCGCGCATCTCCGCCTACGAGGCTGACGGCACGATGTATGACGAAACCGACGAGCCTGACGTCATCATGAACGTCACGGCCCAAGCGAACATCATGGCCATTGACGAAATGGACGAGGACTTTGGTGAGAATAGCGAGGTGATGGGCCAGGACTGAGTCGGTCGTTTCAAGGCTTGAACACACCCATTTGCACGCCATGAGATCAGATCGTTCGGCCTCTCCCACTTGAGATCGAATCACGATATTAGGCAACTCTCACGTTCGAGCACGTCGCTTATGAATTAACGGCAAGAAGTCACTGCATTTGCTTTTTCGAGCGCGGGAGGCACGGCAGGGATCCGGCTTTCCTTTTCACCTTTCTTGTACCTATCTTTCCAGCATCATCTCCAGCCTCCGGAAACGGAGCAGCGCCAGCTAGGTGTGTGAGAGAGAGAGCGCGCGAATTAGGGATGGATTAGAGTGGGGAGAATACCCAGAGTTGGAGCATAGTCCTACTCAAGTCTAGTCCAATCTGCGTTTTGGGCTTAGCTGGGGCTTGTTTGTTTTACACTGTGCAATATACACTCCCGGGGGTATGATGAGGGGGGATTAGTAGTCTGCTGTACAAGTGTAATTTTGGCTAATGCGGATTACGGTGATGCATTTCTTGCGAACTGCTTCGTGTGAAATGATAGTGTGATGCGTGTTCAGTCAGGCTCGTGTGGATATCGAAACACCCGTCTTTGCGCTCAAGCGTGCATCCGGAAATATGCCGTTCCGGTCCGCTTCCTCGTCATGGTGAATGCACTAGGTCTAATTCGGCCGTTCCTTTGCGAGGCTTGTAGGGAGTTTAGCTGTGAAGGTGGACATGCATCTTTGAGATCGGGAGTCTTAGAGTGCCCGACGTCGGCTCATTGATAGTGTGAAATGCGAGGTTGAGGTGCGCTAAGGAAGGTGAGTGGAGGCAGAATCGAAGAAAATGGGTAATGCTCGGAGAGAATTGTGTTGGCGCTGAGGCTCTTGTAGATAATGCGATTGTAGGGAAGAGAAGAGAGTAACAATAAGAATAAAGACGAATCCTTCAACTCTGCATTACGAAGAAGCAAGTTCGAACGTCAAATACTGACTTGTAGCAATCAAGATTGCACTAACCTTCTGATGTATAAGAGTAAACATAGGAGCGCGATGTCAAGCATTCAGAGAGTTTTCTGTTCTGTATTCTGGAGGACTTGGGACGATGTTGACGAGTCGAGTTCTTAGCAGGTAAAGTGACGTTCAAAGAAAGGGCTCGTGGCGTAAGCTAGTACGAGATACACTCCCCGTAAAAGTAGTGTATACCAATGGCTTCATGGGAATCGAAGCACAGAAAATCTACAGGTCGAAGGCTATAATACTGGGGATTTTGATTTTGAACGATCGCGCATTCACGTAACGTCTATGCATCGCAAGGTGGCCTGAGATTCTGCCTATAGCTTGGGTTTCATGTTGAAACCAAACCAAGGGCTGATGCTCACGTCACACATCTATTTCGTGTCTAAAGATCGACTGATCCTTGCTATTGCCGCACTGTGATACAAAGCTGGCTGAGCTTAAGTTGCTATATGTGTAAGCGGGAGATGCTTTGTGGAAGCTTCAGTCATTCCAAATCTCTCAGAGACCATGTGATTCAATAGAGCGGATAGAGTGTACATAAGCTTACCAGCAGGTTAATTCTGCTCCGCGCATGAGATTAAAGCTTCGTCTGACGTTGGCTGATTGCACTCAACTTGGCACGTGGATGGTCTGGGCGAACCGGCGGAAACCTTGGTAGGAGCTGACGGCTAGGAAAATGTGCTTGATACCTCTTTTAGAAGCCTCCAGAGTGACAAGGATACTAAGGGTCTGGACTCTCGACAACCAGGAGTACAAAGTACGTTGCAGCACAGCCAGCCAGTCAATTGCCAACATCCTCTTCTCTTGCGACGATATTGCCAAGAGTGAAGTAGTACGCATGCAACATGGCACATGAAGCTTTAATATTGACAAACAAGCATCTGCAGAGGCACTGGACGTGCAATTGAGGCGACACGGCCAGAATCGGTTGGCAAGGGAGTGTGTCTGCCGTGTCCCAAGCGGGCACTCGGGCAGTCGGGCCGGCCAGTCGATTTCGGGATGAATACGAGGCACATGGTCGACTCGGTAAGGACCGGGGCTGGAGCAGGCTGAACATTCTCTCTAATGTTCTTCATCTGTTGGCAACCTGGACGGCTGCAGATTCAGCAAGACGGATCTTCGATAGTTTTCCACGAGCAGAGATGCAGAAAGAAAGAAGTCAACGGAATCGAAAGCACGTGACAACACAGAAGAGCCAGAACATGGGGCTTGCAAACGCGATAGACGTCGAGGTGATAGAAACCCGTCAGACACAGCAAGCCACTGTGAATGCGGCTTGCCGAGTATAATGGCTCCCGCGAGGGCGAGGGCTCTACAGCGCACTCGATTGGACGAGAGGGTCATACGACGTGAGGTAAGCGAGATGCTCATCCAGCAGAGCACAAGCTCAGCGAAGGAGGCTGGCAGACAGAGAAGATGCGGACAGCCAAGCGGGGAGACTTTGCAGCAACGAGCTGCCCGTTCGGACGGCGCTTGGTGCATGAGATGAGAGATGACGCACTCCGCCAGCGGAAGAGGCAGATCCAAGCACTCCGACCTTGGCTGATACTCTGGGCGCGCCGTCGCTGCCCAGACGCCCAGCGTGCGCTCGTTTTGGGTGAGCCGGGGTCCGTCCACACTGGGCATCGCCCTGTTGCGCCAGCTGCATGGCTTTGCGGAAGCAGGCGACGGCACCTCTTCCACGGTCGCCTCGGTGGCTCGACCCGCTCACTTTACGTGGCCTCAAGCTGCGAGCAGTGGTTTCGCACGTAGAGTGAATTATGAAGGAAATACAGCTGCGGAAACAGCACTTTCGGCAAGCAGCTCGGAGCAGGCGCAGCGGGCCAAGGCCGCCAAGGAGGGAGGCGCGCCCCAAGGGCCTAGTGCGAGGCGCAGCGCTTGCCTGGCTTGTCCCGCCGGCCGCCCAGAACCCGCCCTCTCCTCTCTTAATTCCTCCCGATGCCCTCCCCCAAGCCTTTCACTTTCTCGACCCGCGAAACTGCTGCGCTGTGAAATCCCCCGCTGCGACTGACTCTCTAGCGTTTTTCCTGCGCCGTGCGCGATCCTCGCCGCACACCAAGCATCTCCGCCTGGCTCCCTCGCCGCCAAGCAACCAAGCACCAAGCACTCCATCGCCAACCCCAAACCACCTCTCGCCATGTCCGAGAACGTGCCCACCGCCCAAGGCCCGCAGTCGGCCACGACACCGCAGCAGCAGCCTCAAGTCCTGCCCCAGCCTCAGGGCCAGGCATCGCCCGCCGTCGCCAGCGGTGCCGGCGACCAGCTCGTCTGCCAGTGGCAGAACTGCGGTGAGCGCTGTCCGTCCGCCGAGCAGCTCTATGTAAGTAGATCAATATATCTCGTCGACTCTTCTCCTTCTCTCTTCTCTCTTCTCTGGATCGCGTCGCGATTCTCGTCTTTCTTTCACCACGACGCGACCGCGCGATGGCACCACCGGGCCACCGACCGCAGGAATGTGGCCGTGTTGCTCGCCTCGGCTCCTCGCGCACCTCGTTGCCCTGCGCAAACATTTACTAATTCCCGCAGGACCATGTTTGCGAGCGACACGTTGGCCGCAAGAGCACCAACAACCTCAACTTGACCTGCCAGTGGGGCAATTGCCGCACGACGACGGTGAAACGTGACCACATCACTTCTCACATCCGCGTGCACGTCCCGCTGAAGCCGCACAAATGCGACTTCTGCGGCAAGGCCTTCAAGCGCCCCCAGGACTTGAAGAAGCATGTCAAGACGCACGCCGACGACTCTGTGCTACTGCACTCGCCCGAACCAGGCCGTGCTGGCCACGGTGGCGGCAACTACCAGCAGAACAACGGAAAACGTAAGTCGCACCGCTCTCCGCTTTAGCAGCCAGACACCCGCTCAGAAGTCCCCTTTTTGTACCAACGCCGTCGCCTCCCCCTTTCTTTTCTTGAGTCTAACGTGCACGGAACAGTGGTCGCTGACTTGCAGGCTCTCGCTGCTACAGCGAGTGGTTACTACAACCCCGAGAATCCTGGCTCCGGCAACTACGGCCAGCAACACCAGGGTGGCCAGCCCCCCCAGGGATTCTACAGCGCCGCGCCACAGAGCACCGCATATGGCCCCGTCTACTATGCTGTTAATCAACCTCAGTCCATGAACAACGACTCCTACGAGATCCGGAAGCGCGCCGCCTACGACGCGCTCAACGAATTCTTCGGTGACGCCAAACGGAGACTCATTGACCCCACGACGTACTACGACGTCGGCCAGCGACTAATGGGGCTTCAAGGTGTTCAACTTCCCGTTGTCGCGGGAGGCGGGGGAGGAGGGTACCAGGGCGGTATGTCTGATTACGGTCAAGGCGGCCCCATGGTTGCACACGCACCAGCGCCACCTTCAGGACACCAATACTCACTCCCACTACCGAACCTCCGGACCAAGAACGATATTCTCAACATTGACCAGTTCCTCGAACAGCTACAATCGACAGTCTACGAGAACTCCAACCACGCTGCTGCGGCCGGCGTCGTACAGCCAGGCGCCCATTATATGCACCCAGGAATCAACTACCGATCCAGCAACTCTCCGCCAGGGATGCCCGCTGGCTCGCACCCGCAATCTTCGCACGCTACAGCGGTGGCACCGATGTCGGCAGCTCCAGCCAGCGAAACTCCCGCTCTGACGCCTGCGTCAAGTGTCTTGTCGTACAACTCCGCACACTCGCCAGGTTCGGGACACTCTGGAAGTACTGTCTCACCAACTTCGCGGGCCGGAATGAGCAGCATGTACCCCACTCTGCCTTCAGTTAGCACGATGTCGGATGCCTCGAATTACCCTGCGACCAGCGGTGCTCCCCCATCTGCGCTCGGTGCGTCCTTCGACGCAGACGGCCGTCGACGCTACTCTGGCCATCTGCTCCAGAAAGCCGCCCCTAGCCGTAGGTCTAGCGATGACATGGATATATCCGAGGAAGGATCACCAAAAGGCTCCCGAAGAGGCTCTGAACAAGATAGCCTTCGCCACAATGTCAACCAACTCGCGATACAGTCTCCCAAGGTTGACCCGGCCCTCCGATCCCCTAGCCAGGCTTCGTCTGGAGAACCTGTTGCTGAGTCGTGGGTGGAGAACATCCGCACTATTGAGAAACTCAGGAGTTGGCTCAAAGAACGGATTGAACAACACGACTACGTTGATGACGAAGACAGCACTCCCGAGGCGGACTCGAAGCCTTCGATGAGCGAGGATGCACACAATCTATATCCTGTGCTGAGGGCTGTCCGAGAAGGAACCGAGTGAAGAATATTGGGTGGCTGGGTAATCGGTGTTAACGGTGATGTGTATGATGAGGTTTTTGATACGAACGGTATGCTTCCATCATGCAGCATTTCTTTACGACAGACCGGGACACTCGCTTCTTCAAGCTGAGATCGGACGCAAGCCGCTGTTGTGGCTTCAGGATCCTGTCCCTTTTACACTATCGGGGGCTGTCTCTTTTAATTAGTGTTTTAGTGTGTTGTGTAACGATGACAGTCGTTCTCAGGGCTATCTGCCAAGTTACCATGAACTCTTTTCATTCTACGACAGCTGGGTATCAAAACACAATTTGTTTCAGTCACACTTTCAATGTTGTGTCCGTGATATTCTCCAACGGTTGTCCACTTTGCTTTCGCCGATCGTGACTATACTTTCAGTAACGGTGTACCATAGCATAGCTTGAGTGTGTCTGATTGTCTAAAGCTTTGAAATGTCGAGGAGGTATCTTAGATCAAGCTTTCTCTTGGCCCGCTGAATCTCACGTGCCTGTAAACGATCTAGCAGCCCGACACCCTGTGGACCCCCACGAAATGTCACGGCCGCAGAGAATCCTGCCGTTTGGCATCGCCAATCAAAATGACAACGCCGAGCCCGATCCCCACGTTGCTTTTTGCGCTCCAATTTTTCCACAGAAGGGTCCAGGCAGGGTGGCCCCCGTGTGGATCTCGCCGCTAGGGATTGTCTGACGCCAAGGCAGCGTTGCGCAACTGATCTTTAGCTGGCCTCAGAGCTTTTAAACACACGACCACGCTGCGTACATATACCTCACAGTTACACTTTTGAGAACATCTGCAATTACCAGTTACCACTCACTACTTACTACTTACCTTCGCACCCACTCACACCCAGATCCCCAACCTAACCCAACCCAATCCAACCATGCCAACCTGGGGCCGCGGCGGCGCCGGCAACATCGTCACCGACGAGCAGGTGCAAGAAACCACCCGCCGAGTAGCTGAGGTCCGCTCCACCCCATACCTACTCTACATCATCATCTGACCGCTCACTCCTCTCTAGGACCTCGAAGCCAACCACCCCACCTCCCAACCCACCACAACCACCACCACCGCACCCCCCTCCTACACAACCCAAGACTACGCCCACATGGGCCGCGGCGGCGCCGGCAACTGGTTCGTGCCCGCCGACGAACCTACCCCTGATCCTAAGGAGACTGCCGACCCGACCCCCGCGCCGCAGGCTTCGGCGAAGCCTGCGGTATCGAAGCCGTGGACACCGCCGAACACGGAGCTGCCGATTGCCCGGGGCGGGCGAGGGGGTGCGGGGAATTTCACGTGGGAGAGCGAGGAGGACAAGCAGCGAAAGCGGGAGGCGGAGGCGCGACGGCGGGAGGGGTTGGAGCGGCGCGTGGTGGCGGATGTGGAGAGGGGGTTGAAGATGCCGGAGCGGGCGGTGTTGGGGGGTGGTGGGGGTCGGGCTGGGGAGCTGGAGGCATCGGGGGTGTTAGGGTTGTGATATGGGGACTGAAGTTTTTGGGACTGTTTTTGAGGCAGGGAGGTTGGATACCCAGGGGCTAATTGTATATGTATGTCTAAGTCGTCTATGTGTATGGCTCTATGCCTTTGTGTCTAAAACTCCTGATTCTTGAACCTTGGATGCCGGCCATGCTCTCATGGGGCTGACGACGTCGGCTCGCTCTAATGCCGACTCGATGAGCGACCAGAATTCGAATACTTTCAATGTCCTGGGGATCCGAACGCCCCCTTCTCCAACTGTCAACAGCGCCGCTTTCGTCCGCCCTAGCTGTCCTACGGCAGCTCTATCATCCGTGTGCACGCCCTCGGTCACGATCTCCACTGCGAACCTTTCACCCCCTGCATCGTCAAATAGATCCGGATACAGCGCTGCCGCGACAGCGAGCGGGTCATGCAGAGGCGGTCCAGCGGTCAGCGCGAAGACTTCGGCGTAGGTTTGGGCGAAGAAGGAGAGGATCTGTGTGAAGAGGGCGCGGAGGGCGGTTGGGTAAGTCGTGGAAGAAGGGGGAGAGGGGCCGTAGAGGAGCTTGTGGCGGATTGGCGCCGTGGCGAGGACTTGGTGGGTGAGATCGAGTGGGATGAGGGTGGTCTTTGGGGCGAGGACGGGGTTGGTGAAGAGGGAGGCAGCGGCTTCGGGGTCGCACTGTGAGGTTTGTGTTAATGGGAGTAATGGGAGTAATGGGAGTAATGGGAGTAATGGGAGTAATGGGAGTAATGGGAGTAATGGGAGTAATGGGAGTAATGGAAGCGATAGAGAGGGAGGCTCAAGAGAGACTTACGTAGATCTATAAGTGAAGTAGTTAGCTCTTGGTATAGAAATTATGTTGCTCATTATATTGAAGAGCCTGTTTGGTGGGGTGTTTTTCATGGCGAAGTCTCATAGCATTGAGGCTAGCGGACCCAGTACGTACATTAAACTCTGCAAAAGATGTCCAGTTCCCAAAACGCTCGCCCTCACCCTTGACCGTGCCCATTGGCGCGTCACTGAAACCACCTCCGATTGCGCCGCCCATGATGCTCAGGCCCTTGATGTGCTCGGCCAGGTCGGGATATCGTTGGAAGAGAAGCCCAATGTTTGTCAAAGTGCCAGTGGAGACAAGCCATGCGGTATGCACAGGCGTAGCTATCAGAGCACTATACATCTTTTCCAAGAAGTCGACATCTTCGGCCGCGGGCTGTACGGGCTGTACGGGCTCGGGGAGGAGAGTCACGCCGTCTAATCCAGACTCACCTGTGATGGCTTAGAAAGGGTCGGAATGGTGGATCCAAGTGTCGAACAACCTACCATGAATGTCGGCCGCGTGAACGGCTTCTCTTGATATGGGCTTCGCGGAGCCGGGGTATACTACAATGTCGCGTCGTCCTATAGCCTCGAGAATGCCTCTGGTGTTGTAGGTTGTGTTCGATAAAGACGCATTTCCGTGGACAGTAGTGACGCCTAGAAGTTTCGCGTTCGGGTCGTGGGCTGCTATGAGGAGGGCGAAGGCGTCCTGGAGAGGCGCCAGATGAGCTGGGTTGGTTTTGGACAGGGAGGAGTGGATCGGCCTACATCATGTCCTATGGGACGTTTGTTAGTTGTCCATCCGCTACTTCTGTGGGAGTGTGTATAATAACCTGTATCAACATCGAGCCAAAGAGGGACTGGATCCGTGGCCATTGTGTCTACTTCTATTACAACACTGTCCAGCTGAATTTGAGATGGGAAAACTTCAAAAGAGGTAGGAAATGCTCAAATACCCTCCAATACTTCTATAAGGAATGTTCCTTGCTATCAGTGAAAGACCCAAAAGTTTCCAAAGGTGGGATGTTGTCAGAGGATGGCCTTGGCATCAGCGAAGTTAAAACTCCCGCAAATCCAGGTACGAGCGGCATGTTCCGCTCCGATTCCCGGACACCAGACAGATTTCAAACGCATGGTCTATTCTCCACTCGCGTTGACTGCTCTGTAAACATTGGTGGTTGCGAAGATCGTGAATGTTAATCCATCTTGGAAGGGGTCCCGCATTTGTCCTTCCACTCGTCATTTTGGCGCGTTATTGGAGCCGACGACACCTCGTGCTTACCTATCACCGTACTTTTTCACCTCCAACATCGTCAGGTCTTTTCGACTGGGTAGTGGAAAATAGGGCTACGGGCGAAATACAGCAATCGCAAAATCACTCTCGCAGCCTGGGAATATGGCTTTCGGATACAGCTTCGTGAACCTGTCAGAGGCTGAGAAATTACAGAGACGAGAACTGCTGGATCTATATGCGGCTACTGCACAATGGTCTATCCTGATCGTCTTCGCCGTCTTCCAGTTATCGTTCCTTCTGTCTTGGTTGCTCGAGCCCCGTGCCGAAGAACGTCCCAAATCGCCTTTTGGGAAACCGCCAAAACTCAAAGGACCAGGATGGATAGCAAAGGCTCAGCATCTTCCTCGGAGCCTTTCTTGGTGGGCTGGGGCTCCTCTGGCTGAAGGTTGGGGAACAAGAGCAGAATGGATTGCAGGTTTGGCATGGACTGCCTGGCTGCTATTTCTATCAGTCCATCAGACTGGCAATGGTAAGTAATGTTTTTCTTTAGTCCCACCGTAGGCCAAAATCCTGCTGTTCTTGGAGAAGCTACTCCAAGTATCTGTCATCAATTCATCTATGCAGTCGAAGTGTCGTTCTTCACACATCACGGTTTCAGCACGCGCTCAGGGGCTTGTAGGGTCTTCCTTCGTTTCGAAAGTGTCCTGACCATCTCTCAGATTACTTGCACCTTACCAAGCGGTTCGGAATTGTAGGCGCTTCACAGCTGCCGCTCCACTACCTCCTGGCGATTAGGTCTAAATACTCTCCTCCTCAATTGCTCACGAGGCTGTCTCACGAGCAAATAAAGACCGCGCACCAGATTCTTGGCCGCATAATAACGTTCCTGTTTATTCTGCATGCTTGTTTCTATCTGAACTTCTTCATCCTTTCGGGATTTCTCCAAAAGCGCATCAAGGATCCCGATGTCATTTTCGGGATCGTGAGCATCATTATGTTTATAACTATGAACACGACGGCTTTGAATATCATTCGTAAGTGGAGCTATAGGATGTTTTATACCACACACATTGTCTTCGCCAGCCTCCTCATCATCCCGCTCTACTTTCACGTTCACCATATTCGAAAGTACGTTTTGGAAGTGTGTGTTATCATTATTTCAAACCAAGCACTTCGCAATTACAGTCTGCGAACTTATTCGGGCACGATCAGCATGGTCCCAGGAACCAATCTGGTCCAGGTCAAAGTTCCCCTGGTATCTTCAAACAAGGAGATGAAGTGGAAACCAGGGCAACACGTATATCTGAGCCGTCCAACCGGCGCATCAACCTCCTTTGGAGTATGTGAGATGTTGGTGTTGTGGAACCAAACGAATCCCTTCACGATTGCTTCGCTTGCAGAACAGGATAAGCACCTCCTTCTAGTGGTGCGGACTTTGACCGGAAATACAAAGCAACTCGCAAAACTGGCTCGATCGCTACCCTCTCAGGATGGGGTTGAAGTACCAAGCATACCAGTCGCGCTTGAGGGCCCGTATGGAAGCACATCACGGCTCCCGGATCTTACTAAATTCGATCGTGTGTTGCTTGTCGCTGGTGGCGTTGGAGCAACATTCATCATACCAATATATCGTAGCCTCGTTGAGCACGACGGCCCTTCTTTCCGAAACTCTCAGCTCCGGTTCGTATGGGCTGTACGAAAACTCGCTGAGACGCAATGGGCATTTCCGGCCTCCCGTGGCGATGAAGACGCCGAATCCGAAGCCGAAGGAGTTCAAACCGATAATGAAGTTGAAGTCTCTGTAACGCAGCCGTTTGGGTCAGATCTGCAAGGGGAGAATGCGGATGATGGGATGGAGCTCGCGGAAGCTGAGCACCTTATCCCGTTCGAAGAAGAGATGGAGAAGCCGAGAAAGGGTGTGGTTCTTCGTGCTGGTCGGCCTGATGTCCACGCGATTGTCGATGAAGTTTTCACTACTTCTGCAGGGAGTGTCGCGGTGATTACGTGTGGACCGAGGGGAATGACTGAAAAGTTAAGAGAGAGCGTTGGGACGTGGGTGAAGCAAGGACGAGAGGTGTATTGGCACAACGAGACGTTTGGATGGTGAAGACACGGAAATTGGTGTCCATACATGAATGCGAATGGTCAAATGGAGACATTGTCAAAAGGAGGTCATATATACAGCAAAAGACTCAGTGTACAGGTTGCATCGAAGACCGCCCTCTCTCAAGTGTATATACTGAGGGTTCATACTACAGTTCACGGCCGGCGTTCTTGCGAGAGTTCACGACTACATCACAGGCTGCTGTTTGTTGATGTTCGATCGATCGTCGTTGGGTCTTGCCGCTGCAGTTACCAAGCTTACCTGGGTTTGGGAGACGAGATGAAGATCTCATCAGCAGCTTGCTCTAGCTCTGGCGTTCAGTCCGCCGCTTGGTCTATCCGCGAGCGGAGCATGGAGCCGACAATTCGGCAGAGTCTGGCCTCGGTGGCGCGGTCTCATTGAGGCTCGGTAGGTGTTTGATATCGCAGACCACCTATCACTATCTACGGTAAAAAAGCGCAATGCAAGAGACGTTTCGCCGTCACAATTACCATGGCCTGCAAAAGAGACTGTTCACACACGTCAACCATGGCATCAGTGACGCATCAGTGTGCAACTCAATCAATAGCTCTGCTGATGGCGATTGGAGTACGGAGAGTCACCGTGAAGTAGTAGTAGTCGATATCAGTACGGCTATACCCGATACTGTACAGGGAAGCTGGCGAGTAGAACGGGGGATCAGGAATGCGCCAGCAGGATCTAACGGTTATCATGGCCGTCTGGGGAGATAGAATACCTGTGATACCTTGACGTTGATGCTTAGAGACGCCCTTTCAGGGGTAAAACCCCCAATCTGGCCGCCACCAGGGCGACAAGCGCGGTTGCGGCGACGCTCCCAGACTCCCCAGCGTGCTCCCACCGTTCAGTGCCCTCAGCACCCCGTTAGTGCTCCTGGTTTCGGACGGGCTGCCCGAGTGCGCTGAAATTGCTGCACAGACCGGCTCCAATCACCAGCACTGGCCGTGAGAGACGGCGGCGGCTGGCGCTCCTCAGCAAACACACCACGTCGCGCTGCCTCTCCAGCTCAATTCCTCCCCGAATTGGCCACCCGAGCGGCGCCCTTGCCCCAGTCGCTGTCTGTACATTCACCTCGCGCCGGCCATTGGCTCCAGACCCGTGCCCTCGCTTGCTCCGCTGCCGCCGTTGCATCTTGCAGGGCATCCATCCGCATGCTGCGTCTGTCACGACTCCAACACCGCCCACTGCACCTCCATCGCTACCCCGGATGGCAGTGCTGTTACGCCCACATCCCTAATCGTCGTCTCCAAAGGCTCGCTCATCCACCACGCGCACCGCCACGGACGGACCCGTCTTCGTCTCAAACGCAACCGCAGCTCCTGGAGACCCGCGCCGCGATCAAGATCAACCATCACCCGCAATTCACTCCCTGTAGCTTGACTACTACCGTGGACAGGCCTGCGCGCTCTCCGCTGGCCCGCTGAGCAGCCGAGTTGAGATCGTTGCCTGTCTGATGGCTGTGGTTTCCCCCCACCAGCCCCAAACACTCACTCCTCCGAGCAGCTCGCATGGTGGGCGTGGGCAATGGGATTTTGCCGTGCCTCTAAGCAGCGAGGTATGTCGATGTCGAAGTCGGCGGGATTACTTTGCTCCCTAGACTTGTTTCACTCCACTCAGTCCGCACTCATTGCGTCACTCAACCAGACTTCTTCTACCACCGGACCCTGAAAGACCTTTCACTGACACGATCTGTATAGCCTGAGAACTCCGCAGTCTCTGACCCAAAGCCTTTCATGTCCGAAAACGCCGGTGCGAAACCTTTAGCCCAATCCTCCCGCCAACCCCTCACCAATGGCACATCCAAGCCCCCTTTCCAACAGCGCACAAACACCTTCGATTCGCAACGCTCGTCCAGGTCAAACCACGTCGAGGAACCGGAGCACCTCGTGCCGAGCAGAGTTGGGCTACTGCAACGAAAGACCAGCGACATTAGTGCTACAAGTGACGCAGACAGCCTGCTAGACTATTACAAGCAGCCCCAAAGTAGAACCATGAGCAGAAACCCTTCGCAAAGTGTGGGGAATGGAGACAAGAGGAAGCCCAGCTTAGGCGCATCGGCCGATCTGGAGAAGGACGCCTCGTACTGGATTCACCGAGACAAACTGGCACAGATTGAAAGAATCGAGCTAGAGGCAGCGGGATATCGTGTTGGACGTGCGAGCCGGTCTGGCAGCAGATCAGCTAGCATGACTAGACCAGCGCGAGAACGCAGTTCGTCAGACCAGCACCGCGAGACACAAGGTAATGGAGACGACCGGCCCAACAACCATCAGGAGAAGAAGCAACGAACTGTATCGCCTATTCCGGCAGAAGAGGAGGATGTGGATGAAGGACCAATGACCTGGGATATCCGTACTCCTGAAGAAATTGCGGCCGAGCAAGAGAAGGAGAATATGACACCACGACACACACTACGTCCGAGCAATTCTCGAATACCGGTTGCTAAGACGAGCCCTGTTCCCGTACCCTTCACGTTTGTCGAACGAGACTCGCCACTGCCCCGAAGCCGAAAGGGAAGCAATGCGTGGAGTGGAGATGCGATTGCTGTCAACGGCGCGCGGGCTAGAAGCGGGAGCATTGGATCACAGGTTTTGCTAGACGACGTGGACAACGCCGAGGATGTTCGTACGCCTGTACGCCCAGAAGCCAACTATTCTGCATCGCCCGCCGAATCCCCACCAAAAGCAAAGGTACCCGGAAAGAACAATCCCACATCAGGGAACCGTAAGACTAGTGCAGCCCGGGGCACTTCCCAAAAACCACGGACTGCATCCACTACCACTTCACCGGTAAAGCGTCCTGGAACTAGCTCAGGGGCTTCCAGACCGGCAACGAGTCATAACAGACCTGAAGGAGACGCGCCTTGGCTTGCGACCATGTACAAACCGGATCCCAGATTACCTCCCGACCAACAGATAATTCCAACACACGCCAAGCGAATGCAGCAAGAGCAGTGGGAGACTGAAGGACGTGTTGGATCGATGTACGACCGGGAGTTCAAAATGCTAAACACGGAAGAGTTCAACAAACCCGAGAGATATTCAAAGGAACTTCAACCTTTCGAGAAGAAGGAAGATGACAACGAACAGTGGCCTCTTCCAAGTCCAACGAAGGTTGACGCTGCTAACGGCAGACCTGGTACTAGCAACGGAGAGCAAGGAAATTACAAACTCACACCCCGGATAGCGAGCCCCCAACTCCACTCCCAGCGGAACTCGGTGATCCACAACGTCACGTCACCGAAGCCCGCGGAACCCATTCGGCTTCAAGAGCCCCCCGAAGGAGCAAAAGAGAAGAAGGGCTGTGGTTGCTGCATCATTATGTAGCGTTCTGTCTTATACCCCATTTCCATTTCATTTTCCAGACTCAAAAGACTCAGGGCTTTCAGGCAAGGTGATTTCACGCAAACAAATCTGTACTAAGGGCCTTGCCATTCTCATTTGTTCATATTCAAGGGCGTTTTCGGGGTTGAGCTGGGGCTTGCTCATACATCTTTGGCACACGCCTTATCTGTGCTTTATCAGGGTTGATAGCGTATAGCGGCTTGGTGTTTTCTCGAGTGTCACTTCATTCCCTGCCTACTAGCTACCCGAGATTCCTTTTTCAGTCACTGCCGGGCCCTTCTGTCAGTTGATGAAGGCCAGCCTAGCCTCTACTCCTCGCTTTCAGAGGATCAGATTTCTCTTTCTGTTTGTGTTTCACTGGGCTATATCCGCCAATGTCGGCTTGTTTGTTTGTTGGACTGCTTCATGCTACGGATGGGGGAAGTGGTGTTGAGGGGTTTTAAGGTTCGTCGCAAGCGGGTTGCTGCGGCTACAGTGAATAGTTTAGTGCCAGACAGAATGTGATTTATCGAAAGTTCCGAACGAATCATCTCCGCTTCTTTGCCTGTGAAAATCGGCTGTGCTGGGTTCTGTAGTGAGTGAGGAATTCATGGAAAATGTAGAGTACAGTAGTTTGTGCGCTCTCTTTGCATTTAGTTCCAATCTTGCGTTTAAATTTTTGATGAGACGCTGGGTTCACTCCGAATGAAACCGCGAAACAGGTCGATCAGAAGCGTTTAAGGCCACTCTAACCTGCGTTGTCTCAACTTTTACGTCTTGTCTAAATTCGTGTTAATGCAATGGACCTCACACAGTGGTAAGCAGGAGTGCACAGACTTATGTCCTAGCCCTGGAAGTGAGATTCTCTATTCCTTGGGCAGGATGGTCTTCACTGCATATACATCTGTAGATAGGCGAGCAACCAATCTAATCATTGATATTCAGACGATGTGGATCTCGGAGAGAAGCACGTGACGCCAAGACTTCTCTCGCTTCTAACCGCACAGAAATTGGGCACCCAGAACCTCCACCATCTCCTCTCTCCAATTCCAAACCAACACAACTCTTCGAGGACAGCCGACATCAGCCCCTAAACAAGTCAAAATGGTACGTCTCCACGCCGCCTCACCCAATTCCTAAACTCTCCCATCAATTCCCTCCGCAATCCCCCCAATACCTCACCATCAACCCTATCTAACACCCCTCCCAGTCGGACGGAGAAGAGCCCACCTCCCCAATCGCCGAAGAGACCGCCGAGGTCGAAGTCAGCGCCGATGCCTCTGCCGGCAAGGGCCAGATGTCGGTGCTCGAAGCGCTCAAGGGCGTGCTGAAGCTCGCGCTGATCCACGACGGGCTGGCGCGCGGCCTGCGCGAAGCGTCCAAGGCGCTGGACCGGCGCCAGGCGCACATGTGCGTGCTCAACGAGGCGTGCGAGGAGGAGGCGTACAAGAAGCTGGTCGTGGCACTGTGCTCGGAGCACAAGATTCCGCTGATCAAGGTGCCGGATGGGAAGCAGTTGGGCGAGTGGGCGGGGTTGTGTAAGTGCTGAATCTCTATTTTTTGGCGGGGGGATTTTCGGCATGGGAGGATTTCAAAATGAAAGTTACTGAGGATGGAACGGGGCTAATGAACTGCGCAGGCCAGATCGATCGTGAGGGTAACGCCCGCAAGGTCGTCAACTGCTCGTGCGTTGTCGTCAAGGACTGGGGTGAAGAGTCCCAGGAGCGCAGCATCCTCCTCAACTACTTCCAGACCGAGCAATAGATGCAACTCAGCTCGCGTACCTCGATTACCAACTCTTCAGTGTGTTTCCGGCCTCCGACTGTTTCTACGATGGCCGAATTGAGGATGGACTGGCTGGGGGAAGGAAGTGGAGCCAAGAGGGAAGAAGCGTGAACAAGGGAACATTTCGGAATGGATGCATAGACCTGGCTTTATCTAAACGATCTAGCCACAACAAAAGCCAATCAACATCTTAACCTCACTGGCGTCTTCAATCGTGTGCACTCACAGGAAGTGGAATGGGTAGAAAGTTACCTTCCAAGACCTATACCGTTTAATACGCGATAATGCTACGTGAACCTACTCTAAACCAAAAACATCGTCCCCCTTGTTCTCCGGCCACCCTTTCAAAGGACCGCTCTCCCCCTTGACATCCGCTTTCACAGTTCTCCGCCATTCCAGCAAGTCTAGCTTCTTCACATCCTGATATCGCACTTCCCTCCCCACTCCTAATAACGCAGGAACTGCCAATAGCGCCGCCACATCAGCCACAGCTTTCCACATAGACTTCCTACATAATCTACTAGCCCCGCGCGGGTCGAATTGCTTGCGGCCCTGCAGCACACCACCAATCAGGGTCTCCTGGAACTTCGGCGTGTACACCGCGCTGATATTTGAAGGGACGGGCGTCTGGGATATCTCGAAGCTGCGACGTGAATATGCAAACTCCTGAACTACGGGCCGCACCTCGAAAGGCTGGAATCTATATCCCGAACCTCCGGTTCCCCATCTCGTGATCATTTCAGGGGTAATGCCAGCCATACGCCCTGAGGGCCCGAACGCGCGAGCAATGGCAGTAGGCACGTACTGAGCAGCTGGGAGAACGAGAGTGGAAAGGTAAGCATTGCGTGGTGAGACGAGGAGAGATGTGACGGAGGAGAGAAGGGATGCTGTTTCTGCCAGAGCAAGCTTGTCGGTGCAGGACTTGCTGAGGGTGGGCGGGGCATCAGTGCGGGATGGCTTGAGGCGGACATGGCCGAGGAGTGAGAAGTTGGCGCGTCCACGAAGTCCAGCGGGAGGTTGGTCTAGATCCTCTGAAGAGGGTGGAGGGACTGGCCAAGGGGTCGCGTCGTCTTGGGCGTCCATGACGAGCTCCATGCTGGCGTCCCCGCAGGGCGCTTCGGAACTGTACATGTGGATCTGTACGCTCTCTTTGATGGTGAAAGGCTGGTGCTCTGCTCTCGTGATCTCGCCCTCTTCGCGGTGGCGGAGGAAGGCTGACGGACGGAGGCCAGAAGCGGCGAGGTCGGCGCATTCTTCGATGAGGAAGCGGTTGAAGGCGCGAATGGCTACGATTTCGGCATGCCAATCGTGCAGAATATTGCCATGGGCGAGAGGAAGTTTGGAAGAGGGGAGGCACTTCATGCCCGTGCTATTGGATGGTCAGCGCGACTACTATCTGGCTGAATACTGTGTATCAAAAGTGCCGAGTCGCATACCCCAAAGAAGCGCATGTCAAGGGGCCGCCATCTTCACTAGGCGATTAGTGAGCGATTGCCTCATTCAGGCGCGTCGTAAGAGGTGGAGTATACCGTCAGACAGCACTATGCCGCTCAGAGGAACCCATTCACGCGTGCCGTCGCCGCGTGGCCGGGGCTTGCGCTTCGCAGGTAGGGCCTCAAACGCAGCCAGCACACAGGCGGCAATGGCATCAGCAGACATCGACAATGCCATTGTGATAGGGAAGGTTGCATCGGCATTGGTGGTGTTCACTGATAAGTGGCTCGAATCAAGTTAGAATCTATGGCGTCCAAGCTCTTATCCCCGCGACGTCCGTCACTATTGGGTTTGCCTGACATACATTCACTCCGCATCCGGACGGCGCAACTCCAGGTGCAACCGGCCTCCACCTCACTATCTATTTGTACTGCCGCGTTTCCTCACCTTCCACTATGCAGGCTTTTGGTGAGAAATGTCGCTCCGGCGGGCGCACGCAATTGCGACCCATACGCTGACCTATGCAGTGCCCAAGACTCGCAGAGTAAGCTTCACGCCCTCTGTAAACCCTGTCGAAGTCCATTGCTAACGTTCGCGAAGCCCAAGTTTGACCTAAACCTCAAAGTAGACACCCCATCGTTTCGATTCAAGTGGCTTTGTTAATGCAAGAGCTAGATCGTCGACCTCACCAACGTCCCGCTCGTTTCCGGCTCATCCTTTGTTAAATGGCACCTCCCGCACTCTACCGCCGCCGAGCACCGTGGCCGAACCGATAAGAGCCCCATAAAAGACCACAAAGTCGCGTACGACTACGAAAAGACCACGTCTGTGAGGCTCACTGTCGACAAGAATGGCATGCTGCAGGAATCATGGATACACTTCGAGGTGGTGCAGGAATACTCGGTCGGCGGCCGGAGCGAGCGCATTGCTTTGGGGAACGTCAAACTGAACCTGGCCGAGTATGTGGAGCAAAGCGAAGCGGATGGTGAAGAGGGTGTGTGCAGGAGGTACTTGATGCAAGAGAGTAAAATCAACAGCACGCTGAAGGTTTGTATATCCCGAACGCCTTGTATAGGCTTGGGCTGACACAACAGCAGATCAATATCTTCATGAAGCAGACAGAAGGTGACAAAAACTTTATAGCGTAAGAAGGATTTAGCAATGCAGTACGCGCAGTTGCTAATAAGACCAGTCCTCCACTCAAAACCGCGCAAGTGTTTGGCGGCATAGCCGGCATAATGTCCGCCGAACAGGGGGAACCAGATGATGTGGGGAGTAAGTTTTCGCCACTAGATGCTTGCTACGTACCTTACTGATAGCTAGTAGGCACGCCTGCGCTGAGCAGTAAATCTGGAGAAGCGGGTGAACTGCAGGACATGTATAGGCGATCACTCGCGGCATTCTGGGCAGCACAGCCCGGCGAACTCAAAGCTGATGAGTGCATAGAGGACATATTCTCAGGTGGCGACGGGTGGGGCGACAGGGACAAGGCATACGACACTCAGTCGAATATGAAGACTGTGAATGGACAGAGCAGTGATTCCCTGAGTGAGAGCGACACGCTGTCGTCCCACAGGAGGATGCATCGAGGGGAAAGCCTCAGAAAATCACATGAGACTATCAGGCCTGGCGATGGCGGCCACGGAACGTCTGGAGGGGTGCGAGGAAGAGGGAGCTTAGAGCAGCAAGCACATCACATGAAGGTAGAGGCGGAGAGGAGGCGAGTCAGGCCTACTCGTGAGGTTGACGAGTTTGAGGTGAGAGAGGATTTACGGAGCTGGAAACTAAGTTAGATCAAGATACCAATTGCTTCATAACCATCCTCTATTCGAGTCAAGACGCACACTATCTTTCATAGTGACTTTTATTTAGCTAATGCAGTCTTGGTGGGTCATGGTCACGTGCGCGGGCGGTGAAGCGCATCTTCAAAAAGTCGTCTGCGAACTCTCGCCTTCTCGCATCGCACTCCGCGCAAATTCTCCCCATGTTGGCGCATCGGACCTCTGGTGCCTTTGTCTGTATCCAATGTCGTCTTCGAGCCATACCCTTCCAGAAAACACGACGAATCCTGCGCAGAGGCCCGATTGCGCGTTTCTCGTCCACTCCTTTACGCTCCCAAGATGACGAGGGTTTCCCAGATCAACAACTTCAGCGTCCCGCGCTCACCCTAAGGAGGAACTCCCGGTCGCGAAGGCTTCGAGGAAAGCGAGACGGGACCCTGTACAGTGAAGATGCTGAGTCACTGAACATTGCGTCCTTGGGCACACCATCGGAGATCATTGTTCTTCGAGATGCTGATCGAAGCTACTCGTTCAAGACACTAGACGGTGTGGCCAACTATAAACAAGAGGACAAGGAGGAGAAACAAAAGGACGCAGAAGAGGAGGCATCAAAACAGGGTGACATATTTGCCTCGCTGATAAAGGAGAATGCGACTCCCGAGCAAGAGGAAGTAAATGCGCAAATCGAGAACCTGCGACCGAAAATATCACCGGAGCTCAATGACCCTAATGGATCCGTCTACCTCCCCAATGCAGAATTCAAGAGGATATACAACATGTTATATACTGGCTTCACAGGTCCCCAACTGGCTCGATATTTCACGGACAGCACGGGAATATTGAAGGGTGGTGGAAATGACAACGTTGTGCAGGGATTGATCAAGGCTTCTGGTTCAGGCAAAGGGGCACGCTTTCAAACAGAATGGTTGCCCGGAACAAGCCCAATTTCTTCGCGATTATCCAGAGGAAGTGATGCCATGTTGAGTCGAATATCGAAGCAGAAAGGCAGCAGTAAAAGATTACTCGTAGATCAAATCTTACGGGGGGCATGGCATGTAATTCTGTTGGAGGAGATTGAGGCACCGGGGGAGCTGGAGATATCATTGAAGCGTTGGCAGTTGTCCTTGTTGTTCGCTGGCAGTAAGGCACACATGTCTCCGTATTGGACACAGCTAATATAGCACAGGCACTCCAACTCCGCTTGACTTGATTGGAGCGAATCGAAAAGCTAAGATCGAGATATTCTGGCCGCACAGTGTTCTTCGGATAACGGCAGATAAGAATTCTGCTGAATATGCTGCACGAGACGTAGAAGCCTTGCTGAAGAAAACCGAGCGATTGCCATTCGACCTGGAGCCCTGGAGACCTCTCCTCCCAAAAAAAGCACCAAAAGACCTTACCGAACTTTTCAAACCTAACGATTTCACGCTGATAGAGAAGTTGACTGGGACTGTCGTGGAGAAAGGGTCCCAGAGCACTGTGAGTCTTACCTTTTAATTCGCCGGAGTACGCTCATTTTCTTAGCTTATCATCCGTGGATTGAGCAACGCACACACTAGAGACGCTTATCGGAGCTTGTTGACGATACTTAAACTCGACGACCGGACTTCTAGGATGGCCATTACAAAATTTAGATCAAAGAGTGATAGGAAGGAAAGCACATTTGTTCGGACATCTTCTAAGAACGCATTGGAGTATAATCAATGCAATCTAGACCTGGTTCGTTGGACTCGGCCCTTTGCTAGATCCGAAGTTCTGAGTGGAGAGGCTGCCACACTACCGGAATCATCATTTGATCATAATCTCCGGACTGAGATTATGACGAAATTGGGAAAACCTACACTATTCTCGGCAATATCTGAACCAACAGTTACAGACCAAGACGCAAATATCAAAGACCCACGTTGGTCAAACCATGTGGAGATGCAGACTACTGCTAAATTGGGACATGTCCTTCATCCTATCCAGACTAAATCATCAGTTCTGTCAAGATTTGACGACCAAGGGGTGGACAGATCGAATTCCATGGCCGTCTTTTCGAATACTATCCCTGGAATATCCCACCTACTCCAAAGCTTCAGCTCGTTGCCGAATGATATCAACCTCGAGAATGTTCTGGAGTACCATTTCATACCCTCGCCTCTTCCAGGCAGTGGTTTTGACGTTAAGAACAAATATCCTAAATTACGCATCCTGGTCACCATGAAGCGCGATGGCAATGTCAGACTGACAGGTGTTAGGCTTGACCTCTATGAAGACTACATCGATGTGCTGCTCCCTGACCAGGCCACCGACATACGCTTCCGACGACGGCAATCGGCATACCTGTATCGGGCAGACGACGAGAAGCATGTTGTTTCTTTCTTCAAAGCCATTGCCAACAACATCAAAGGTGACGGAAAGCTTTCCGCCCCCGCATCTCTCAAACTCCCCATCCCGACCTGGACCATCATCAGCCCGAACCGCACACCCTTCAAGCGCTTCAAGCTAGATCCCTTCCGGACCGAAATGGTCGACTTCATCTTCCTCGGCATCCAGCACCGCCAGACCGTTCTGATGCCATTCGGCAAACACGCCGACGAGGACCTGCCCTTTAGCGCCCACAACCTTGCGTACTCTGGCGTCGAAGCCGGCCAGCTTTCTGGGAAGTTTGGCGAGCTTTCTCTGAAGTACAGCAAGAAGAACAAGTCCAAGGACATCCACCCCAAGCTGGCAAACGGCATCCTCGCGCATTTCGTCAAGTCTGCGTTCAAGGTTGTCGATCGGATCTCGTTGGGATCCCTCAATCAGAGCCCGTTTGCGGAACTACGACCGCAGAGTTGGAACGCGTCGCGCTCGACTGTCCTGACGGAGAAGCTGGAGTCGGAGATTGTGCGTCTGTAGAAACACCTCTTAAGCTCCTGGGCTGGGGAAAATAGGTGGCCGTGTAGCACGTTGTACATACACTTGTATTTGATCGAATGTTGCACTCTTCTTGCATTGGTGGCGTTGGAGAAGGGCATTGGTTGAAAGGGCTCTTGTATTATATTTGTAGTCAATCGCATAGCGAATTAGTGTATGTGTTGGGCTAGTCGATGGGCTCAAAGCATGTTTTTGAATCCTGTAAATCAGATGAGATATCCAGTCAGTGTACATCTGCTTGCGACTGTTTGGGGCGTCTCGACACACCATCAGGAATCTGGAAGCTATGAAAATGTTGTGAGGGCGTGATTGAAGCCGGTTTTGGAACGCCTTTGAACAACAGTGCCTAGCTGAGCCACCCCTCGAGGTCGGATCCAACAAGCAAAATCCACATTAACAAGCTACAATCTTGGAGCTAGCAAGCCAACATCAAACATCATGATACTCTAGCAATGCCGAGTGTACTTCAATCTAAGTTAGACATTTCACAAAGACAAACATCGACATACTAGAGCGACGTTTACATATCACATTCATCACAACAGCAGTAAGGTATGTGTGCCCACCCATTGAATTCATTAGAAAGATCATGATTCTATGGAAATGAGCAACGCCAGTTCGCCCCCACCGTCATGCATGACCATTGACTAGAGATAGAACCTAACCACCACCACATCTCAAACATCCCCAAACATCCCCAGAAATCCTCCTTCCCACCATTTTCGAATCGAATTGTCGAAGCAGGCGCGAGCCGTTTACTTCTTGGTGGCCTTCTGGGCAGCCTTGGTGACCTTGCCGGTGGCCTTGTCGGCCTTGACAACAGACTTGATGACACCGACAGCGACAGTCTGGCGCATATCGCGTACCGCGAAGCGACCCTTCATTCATATTAGCTCAGTCTAATATTAATTGAGCGGAGATAACTTACAAGTGGTGGGTAGTCAGTGAAAGCCTCCACACACATAGGCTTGGAGGGAACCATCTTGACGATGGCGGCATCACCGGACTTGACGAACTTGGGGGCGTTTTCGATGGACTTGCCAGTTCGGCGATCAATCTTCTCGAGAAGCTCGGAGAACTTGCACGCAATGTGGGCAGTGTGGCAGTCCAGGACTGGGGCGTAACCAGCACCGACCTGGCCGGGGTGGTTGAGGACAATGACCTGGGCGTTGAAGGACTCGGCACCCTTGGGGGGGTCGTTCTTGGAGTCGCCGGCAACGTTGCCACGACGAATTTCCTTGACGGAGACGTTCTTGACGTTGAAGCCGACGTTGTCACCGGGGACACCCTCGACGAGCTGCTCGTGGTGCATCTCGACAGACTTGACTTCAGTGGTGACGTTGGCCGGGGCGAAGGTCACGATCATACCGGCCTTGATGATACCGGTCTCGACACGTCCAACGGGAACCGTGCCAATACCGCCGATCTTGTACACGTCTTGGAGGGGCAGACGGAGGGGCTTGTCGGTGGGACGCGCCGGGGGGTCGATGGCATCAATGGCCTCGAGGAGGGTCTTGCCACTGGATTTGGCCGTTTTGGTCTCCTTCTCCCAGCCCTTGTACCAGGGGCAGTTGGGGGAGACATCAATCATGTTGTCGCCGTTGAAGCCCGAGATGGGGACGAAAGGAACGGTCTTGGGGTTGTAGCCGACCTTCTTGATGAAGTTGGAGGTCTCCTTGATGATCTCCTGGTAACGGGCCTCGGACCACTTCGTGGTGTCCATCTTGTTGATGGCGACGATGAGTTGCTTGACACCTAGGGTGTAGGCAAGCAGGGCGTGCTCACGGGTCTGGCCATCCTTGGAAATACCAGCCTCGAACTCACCAGTGCCGGCAGCGATGATGAGAATGGCGCAGTCAGCCTGGGAGGTACCAGTGATCATGTTCTTGATGAAATCACGGTGACCGGGGGCGTCTAGGTGGTGTTAGGTGTTGTTTGGATGTTCCTCGAGTAACAGTGAGACATACCAATGACGGTGACATAGTACTTCGGGGTTTCGAACTTCCAGAGGGCAATGTCGATGGTGATACCACGTTCACGCTCGGCCTTTAGTTTGTCGAGGACCCATGCGTACTTGAAGGAGCCCTTGCCGAGTTCGGCGGCTTCCTATGGGGTGTTAGCATCCATGGTGAGAGAATAGAGTGCGACAGCAGCGTCGCCTAGGAGCAGCGTCTTTGGTGGGGTTGGCATGAGGTGTTCTGTCGAGATTCCGATTGGGGCTAGCGCCAGAAAAATCCGCACCCCACCAAAATTGCCCCTCCTCTGACGATAAGGCAGAAGGTGACACGTTTAGGCTGCTGTCCGGCCGTTGTAGAGGAAAACTGAGGCGACGTACCTTCTCGAACTTCTCGATCGTACGCTTGTCGATACCACCGCACTTGTAGATCAAATCTGTTGTTGTGTGAGCGGTTGCGGCGTCGCAAGGCGGGGGCGGGGTGGCTTACGTCCAGTGGTCGTCGACTTGCCAGAGTCGACGTGGCCGATGACCACGACATTGATATGCATCTTTTCCTTACTGCAGGCATGGTCAGCGATGGCTCTGGCAGATTGAGGCCGAAGCGCAGAGGCCTGGCGGCGTCAAAGTCACTTACCCCATGTTTGCGGTATTGTGTTGTTTTTTGGACTGGAAGTTGAAGTGAAGTAGATTGAAAGCTCCTAGGCGCTGTCAATGATGGCCGCGATGATGCAGAGTGCGGTGATCTTACAGGCACAAATACTTGATTTGAGGTATGAGGACAAAGGTGAGAAGAGGGTCGAGGGGCGGACGAGAATTTGTATCGGCCGTGGACGGCGCTAAAACGGAGTAGTAAGCGAGAGCCAGGGTTGCTCGCCCACCGTCAGAGCCAGCAGAGCTTTCGGGCAGGTTCTCTTTGCGGCGGCCCAACCTTGCTCCAGGTGAATTGCCAGTCCAGTCATGCCTGTCTCTGCCGTGCAGCTGGCCTTAAGCCGGCCCCGGATTTTTCTAGGTCTACACCGCAATTCTGGCGTGGTTGAGCTTCGCCACTGTGGTTCGAGGGCGTGACAGCCTCAGAATTCTGGCATCAAAACAATGCCTACCATTCCACGTATGGCATAGCAACACAACGTCAAACACTTCCCCACCCCGAGCATCTCTTCAAAGTTTTTAGTATGAGCCTCTGGCTATCATATTAACAAGTTCAATAAGCCGTTCCCGATCAATTCACCTTGATAACTTCCATAAAGACACTCCGCGGGGGGACACTGGTACCGCCTGAGTCAACGGTTCAACCCTACTTGCCTCCGCAATAATGTAACGAATCACGAGGCTCGTTTTCTAGTGGGTGCTGCACCAAGCTGGAACGGGAGTCATCGAGCTCCATTATTCTATCCGAAGCAAAGCGGCGAGGCTCGTAAGGGAACAATGACTTTGACATAGTTCTGGATGTACCCTTAATGGAGTCGAAGCTAACGTACTATAGTGTAGGGGCTCAAGTCTAAAGTGAGTTAAGTCGGAACGCTTCTAGTCGGGACCCAGATGAGTCAAATATGTAGAAGGTTATATGCTACACGCTTATCCTGTGGTTTATTATCCAGCTCCTTAGATAGCTTAATTAACTTCAAGCAGCTCTCAATGTCAGTCCTTCATCAAGCCTCATTTCTTGCTTCTATCTTTTCCACGTCTGCAATATAGTGATGATAGGATAAAGAACATTCATGAGCCCCCTTATCTTGAACCTGGACCAGCAATAAGTAGAGATCACACCTTGCTAGCATCTTAACTTATTCATTTCCTCTTACATTTCCATCCCAGTAATCAGTTCGTAACTGGCAATCTGGTTTACATCCTGAATGCATATATTCTCAGGAAGCTGGGAAGCTCGGTGCGCACGGAAAAGATGAGATCTGCGGACTAATGATGGAGCGACCACTACCGACGTTCGCCGTTGATCAAGTCGTTATCGGAGATAGGTTCGAGACTAGATAAGATCTCAATACCTGTGGCTAGACCGCTTCTCCCAGAACTCGACCGCAATCCAGCCAGCATTCTTCGTAGACTTAAGCAGGGCGAACTGGATGAGATTGGGTGTTAACTATCCAACAAACCTCAGTAGAGCTCTGAGCTCTTCAGAACCGTGTCTTTGCTGGATCCATCCTAAGCTCCAAGCATCGAGCCCGGTATGTTGGAACTCTCAAATACAAGCAAAGTCAGGCGATATCAAGCATATTTGAGGCAAAAGGAACAAACCTTTTCCATTGCTAAAATAGATTCAATTAAGCCTGTCTAGAGAGTATGGACTTTCCGTTCCAATACCCTATGAAAGATCTTGTGATAGAGGCAGTGAAAGGGCGTATAAGTCGCCGAGTGAAGCTCGATGGTATCAACTACAAGGGCGGCCTGCGCCCTTGTAGTTGACCTCCGCCCTTTCGCACTAGTCGAGACCGGATGGATGAATTGACAGCGCTTTCAATGTCCTGTGTCGCTCATGTGCCAATACCGCCCGTGGTGTTGTTTGCTGCTGAGTCAACCGCTCAGCCGTAGCTGGAACTGGGTTTCGACCTTGTTAATATTGTCAATACTCTCGGATTGAGTCGTTTACGACTCAATCCACCTGAAGAACAGGCTCTTTGCAAGCACTATCACAATTTGCAGGAGAGGGTTCCTTTCATGTTGTGTGTTGGAAACAGGAATTCACAGTGTGCGAAAAGAATCCCCGGCGGGCAAAAAGATCCCAAGCGCGGAATCCGAACCTAGGGCCCTATGCTTGCGCCGATGGCGACGTGCCTTGCACCTTCGGTACTCGCAACTTAAAAAAAAACTTCAAAAAAATTTTGAAGCTACTCTTTGATAAAGCGTGTCATCCTTAGTGCAGGGGCCATGCTAATCTAGTTGACGTTAGTTGTTGTAGAGGCATTGTTGGGGGGTGATGTGTGTACCTTCTCTGTATCGTTTCAAATTGACCAAATGCCCGAAGGCGGAGAACACTGAATTTTTTTGGTACATATACTATGCAAAAGTGCGCGGGTCCCCAGCTCTTGCCACCCACGCTATTCAACCCCCGACCGCCGCGCCTTCGGCGCTGCGGCGCACGAACCACCAACACCAAATCGCCATTGCACAACAAGGCATTTCATGGAAAGTAGATTGCGCCCTTATCACTTAATTCAACGCGACTAAAATCATTAGCATCAAATTCGTGTTCAAGGCAAAACATCTACTATAACTAGCTACAACCATATCGTCATCCGAATACCTACGACAATACCCGCCTCGGGATTTGGCCAATTTGAAACGATAAAGAGAAGATTAGCATGGCCCCTGCACTAAGGATGACACGCTTTATCAAAGAGTAGCTTCAAAAGCGCGGCGGCAGGCTTCGCCTGCCGCCTGCCGCCTTGTCGTCGACACTCGAGACCGCCCAAACACGAGAAGATTTGGATGAGTCCTGGAAGGTCTACATGATCAACCTTGCCTGCACGATCAACAAGGTACTAGATATACCTCGCTGACGTGTGAGTTCAACAATATTGAGAGTGTGATATGATCATTGCGGTCTTGGGCTAGAGTTACTTGAAATTTTTGTCGCTTAATTGAGTACGTATTCCTACCTTTGTAAATCATTCAAATAACACACACGGGCATGAACAACGAAATAAAGCTTGAGTGTGGAGTTTCAGGCATATTACTATTTACGAAGTATTCAATCATGCAGTGCATATGCAAGGACTGCATCGCCAGCGACGAGTCCAAACTCCCCCAATCGCCCTCGAACGCCTCACATCCGCTCTTACCCTACTTCCCCTATCTAACAGCCCCTATCTAACAGCCCACCCCTTCTTAAACGTCCTACTCTCCTCATCCCACCCATCGCTCCCCCTCCGCCTCCCCTGATACCCGCCGCTAGGCATCTCACTCCGACTCCTCTTCTCCGCATGCTTCTTCCCCCCATACGCGCCCAAAATCAACCCAGTCGCCGTGCCCAGCCCCGGGAAAATCAAATCCCCCACCAGCGCGCCACCGCCCGCACCTAAGAAGGTATCGCGATTCTTGTACGCGACCTCACGGTCGCCGTTGCGCTTCGGCCGCGACGACGACGAAGAGTGTTTGCCGTGCGTCCTGTGGTGGTGGTGGTGGTGTTTCCGCCCGCGCCGGTCGTCGTCCGAGGAGTAGTACTCGTTTTGGGGTGGGAGGGGCGCGGCGGGCGTGGAGTGCGCGCGGTTCGGGCGGGGTTGGGAGGGAGCGGCGAGGTATTGCTGTGAGGCGGAGGGGTGTGGGAGGAGGGGGGCGTTTTGGTGTTGGTTCTGAGGGTATGGGAGGACTTGTTGCTGAGATTGAGAGTGCGGGTAGGGCGGTTGTTGCTGAGGTCGCGGAGGGTATTGAGGGTATTGCTGCTGTTGTTGGCCGCCTGGTGGCATCAGGCTGTATGCCGGTGGCGCATCGTCGAAGGGTTGAAATACTGTGGATGGAGGTGGAGGTTGGTGTTGTTGAGGGTAGGGTGTTGCTGGCTTTGGCTGGGTGGCTGCGGAGCCGTAGTAGTATTCTTGCGCTGCCATTTTGTGATCGTGTAGGAAGAGTTTGGAGGTTGTAAGTGGGAAGTAGGCTGCCACCGTGAGAGGGCTGAAAAGAATATATCACGAGTGACGATTGATTGGCAGCTGATGCCCCTCGTCAGGCGTCGCTTCGGTCATCTGCAGCAAATCGCCGTCCACCCCGCCTACGTCACCGAGATCTTGTGGCGGCGAGTCGGGCTGGCCGGCTCGGCGAAGCCGCGGAACACTTGCATATCGATATATTTAGATATCGAGTTGACCAACATCTACAGACTCCTCGAAGTATGTACCGGGTTCTTCGTGTTTCAAAAGGGAAACACCATCTCGCTATCTCTCATCTCAGTATACATATTGCAGGCGAAATAACGAGTGAGTATTAAACTCGCACGAAGAGGTTTATCTCGTGCCAAGCCATTATAAACAGTAGGAGGGATACCAAGAGCGCAGCGTCTACTAGTAATTCATAGAGGAAAATCTGTCGAATCAGTGAAGTAAAACCCATAAGAGTTTCATCACCCAACGCTATTCAGTGTCGTCTTCTCCGAGTGGCCAAGCATCCATTTCTTCTCTTTAGACCTTGGAATCTCTGCTTTTTTCTCGCGCGACAGCATCGGCTTGATTCTTTTCTGGCCCCAACACTTGAGCCTCCACATCTTGAACTTTCTCTGCAATCCCTGCAGGCACACCCTCGACTTTCTTAATCAAGTTGCCTTCGTGAAAAATCATGATACCACCCACACCAGCTGCAATGCAGCCCATAGCGACGAATGTACCTGTAGCCCAGGATGGACGTTGGTAACGGTTATAGTGCCACATCCAGAAACAGAGAATGACTTGGAGAAAGGTGTTCATCGCGTTCATCCACACAACGAAATCCATCTTCCAACCTGCTGTTGGAGTCGCCCGTACACCCGTTGGCGGAGGGTCCGGAATCTTGGATAGTGGGATAGGGACCGCTGGGTTGTTAGGGTCAGTGGATGAAGGGGCTTCCGGTTGGTCGAGACAATCGGATCCGGGAAGTCGGAACCACCCTCGATGAATACCCGCGAGTCTCCGAATACCAGTCATTGTGCGCTTGGAGCCGCCAAGTCTCCATACTCCCCACCAATAGAGATCTCTGAACCGCCAAGGAGCGAGACCAAATCCGGTAACGCAAAAGAGAGCATTCAAGATTTGGGAGTCGATTTCGATCCATATCCGGCGGGGCGATTGGATGTCGTTACAAGTTGGGTGGCACATGGCAGTGCTGGCGTTACATAGCAATAAGAACAACATACCACCCCAGGCAATCACATTTGCGCCGTAGATAGTGATAAGAAAGCCGGCTGGGGTTAAGAACCATTTCCAGAAAGACTTCAGGCCAATGACGGTAGAGGTGGTCCAAGGAAGCTTTGGTGGCGGGACGTAGCCATTGGAGAACTGTTCCAAGTTAGTGACCATAACCATTTATATCGACACGTGAAAGGGCTCTGCGCATTTCAACGACATGGCACTAACCTTTCGCTGTGGCTTGTGATGCATGTGCGGGTGTCTATGAACATGCTGCCTCTCCGAATCAACAGAGCTAGGATTTGATGGCACGATCTCTTTCTCCTCCGCAATCCCATCATCATTGGTTCCATCGTAATCCGGAGTTTTCCACGTTGGATGAGTGTGGCTTGGTTCTTCTGGTATGGCATGCATTTCCTCCGCGGTCACCGCCGGGAATGGCTCCGTACCGAGATCGGGAGAGCCGACGGAGCTCTTTCTTTTCCCCTTTGTCACCCCAGCTGTAGCGTCACCGGTTCCCGCTGTACTGAGTGACGAGCTCGTCCTTCCTAATCGCCATCTCTTGTTGGCGCCCTCCTCGGCCTCACTTGCCCGACGCTCTCTGCGCTCTGTATACGCCACGCGTTGTCCATCGTCGCACCATCCAGCATTACTGAACGATCCGTTCCGAATCTGAGGAAGTGTCGGCGCTTTGGAAGCATGCGTTGCCGTCGCTGCCCACATTCCGGGTGGTGGATCTGCTTCTAGTATCTTGATCGACGCGGCCCGAATGCGATTCGTAGTCGATGCTATCGATGCGGTCGTGGAAGTTCTGGAACGTTTATTGGGAGTATTTGGTGTCGAAGGTGTTGGATTTGAGTCTGCGTGAGGTCGATTCGTTGAGGAGGCGGTATCAATGTTCTCGAGGAGCGGGAACGGCACCGGCGTCGGTGTCTCGTCGTTGGAGGAGGCCATGACGGGCGGATATGGCAGATATTATGGATGGGCGATTGCGCCTGGCGTTTCGGGGACAACTTCAGTACACTGGGTGCCCTGGAAGCGACAATCAAGTGTGAAGTTGTTGCGACGTGCCCGACGTCAGTACAGGAAGTTGGACCGGCTTTCGCCACGGGTCGATCCTTGGCGATGTCCCAGGTTTGATGTTGGACAAACAAGGAGGAATAAATCGTAATAATAATAAGTCGCGAAAAGTGCAAGGGAGGAGAGGTGTGAAGGGAGGAGATGGGTACAAAGGCATGTGGAGTTCGGCGATTCGGTGCGGATGCAGGATTGCCTTCAGGGACTGGGCTCTCGGGTACTAGCTACAACGGGTGAAAGGCCGTGGGGACTTGGCTGACTAGTGGACAATCTGTGCTGACCGACGCGCTAAGGGCCTTTACAAATGTAAGGTAAGTTCTGGGTGGATTGGATCCGTAGAACTCCACATACCAACACTATGCGCGCCCTTCAATGGCTAGCGGTAGATCATTGGTAGATACTTCCTTATATGAGCTTCTACAATCCAAATTTCCTTCTTCTACTATATATCTCTTCCATAGGCTCAAGACTAGGTGCAACTGCATGTAGCACTCCAATGGATAACTTGGAATTAAGAGAATTGGGGCAAGATGAGGGCAGCACTGTATTTCGGGCTACATCTTCTTCAAACGGCCATGAAGGTCAACAGGAGTTTTCATTACCGCCAGTAGATGGTGGGAAAGACGCCTGGATGTTTCTAGCTGCAGCATTCGTAGTGGAGACTCTAGTATGGGGTATGCGAAAGTTGAATAGTCCTTCTCACCATATTCTCATCACGAACCTCTAGGCTTTCCCTTTGCTTTTGGCGTGTTCCAGGAGTACTACAGTACCCATCCTCCTTTCGAGGGCTCGAGAAATATAGCGGTCATTGGAACCTGTGCTATGGTGAGTGTCCTGCAATCACTTCACTAGAACTATATGCTCACCATGTATCAGGGGATCATGTATGTCAGCGCGCCGCTTGTATTTGCTGGGCTCCAAAGATTCCCCAAGACTCAAAGACCAGCAATTGGATTCGGTTTGGTAACGATGTGCCTCGCTCTGGGACTGAGTGCGCTCTCCACGACCACGATGCACCTCATCATCACACAAGGTATATTCTATGCCATAGGAGGCTCCTTGGTGTACTCCCCTACCATTCTCTTCATGAACGAATGGTTCGTGAATAGAAAAGGCCTGGCTTTCGGAGTCATGTGGGTAAGTAATCCTCCTTCCGTCTGATACCTGATATAGTGTCGCTCATATCGTTGTAAAGGCCGGCACAGGTCTAGGCGGCGTCACAATCCCACTCTTACTCCAATACCTTCTCGCCAAATACGGCCACAAAACAACCCTTATCGTCTGGGCCGTCGTCCTTTTCGTCGCTACCGTGCCCCTCAGCTACTCTCTACGACCCCGCCTCCCCGTCTCCCAAAGCTCCCGCCTCCGCCCCGCCTCCTTCTCTTTCCTCTTGACCCGCAACTTTCTCTTCCTGCAAACCGGAAACATCCTCCAAGGCCTGGGCTACTTCATTCCGTCGATTTATCTGCCCACACACGCTAGCATGCTCGGGGCATCCCACTCCGTCTCCGCGCTCACCATCGTCATGTTCAACCTCGCTATGGTGTTCAGATGTCTGGCGATGGGCGCGTGGATCGATCGGTACCACGTCACGACGTGCGTCCTCATCTCCACGATCGGCTCCACGATTGCTGTGTTCGTGCTATGGGGTCTTTCCTCAAGTCTTCCAGTGCTTTTCGTCTTCGCCGTGTTCTATGGCTTCTTCGCGAGTAGTTTCTCGAGTACATACCCAGGCGTCATGCGGGCTGTTAATTCGGAGACCCAGCGAGACCCCAATTTCATCATTGCGTTCCTCTCGGCAGGGAGGGGCATTGGGAATATCGCATGTGGACCTGTGAGTGAGGCGCTGGTACGGAGTCAGGCGTGGACAGGAGAGGCTGGCGGTGCGTATGGGAGTGGTTACGGGAGCTTGATTGTGTTCACCGGGGTGACGGCTGCGCTTGGGGGCGTCGGGGTGATTGGAAGATTAATCAAGTAGGTGAAAAGGAGAGTACACGGCACGTCGTAGCGGGACTAGCAATTTCAAACAAATGGAAACAAAATCTATTATACTGGCAACAAGAAGTTCAAAACCTCCAATACTTAAAGTAATCGCTTAGTGACTCCCAAGGCCTCATTAGAGGGGGAGGGGTCCCTGTTCGTTAGCTCTGCTCCATTCAAGTATTTTCTGCTCCGTACCGCGGGCAACTTCATGTTGATCTTTATTATGGTTGGGCAAGCCGTCTGGCCTGACGCGAATGACATTCGTAGGCTCCCAGCCTTCGAAGTCGATGAAATGCCAGGCATCAAGGCGCTCCTGGTCCCAGAAGAAGAACCCTATGTTGCGGAAGTAGCTTATAAAAATAAATCGCTCTATGTTGTGATGCTTCCTAGCTTCGTTGAAGAAAGTCCATCCAGGATTTGGGACATTTGAGGATGGCCAGTCTGTCCAGATCTTGGAGGGGCTTTTAACAGTTCTTTCTTCCAAAGCCCACAGGCCGTCTCCGACGATGTTTTGCCGGAGCACATCCCAGAGCGCATTCTTAGTCATAAAGTGACAGTTCTGGCACCCCAAGGGCTCTCGGCTACCGCGAATCCAGTGAGAATCGTTCGTCCCAGGACAGGGAGAATTGTGTTGAGCGGTACTTGATACATATCTGCACTCCCGGACCGTGTACTGGTATACGGACAGCATTTCGTCGACTTCTGAAGGACAGAGTCGGTGAAAGAAAACACTTGCGGGAAAACCTGGCCCCTCACCTAATGCAGGTTCGAAGTCCTCAATCAACAAGATGAATTTAGCCAGATATTCATAGAAAAGTAGGCCGTAGAACCGGAGCATCCAACAAGCGCGAGATATGCGATGTCGTTCGAAAGTTGACAGTACGAAATTGGGTTCTACAGCACCCGGATTATCAAACAGACAAGCTCTATGGTGGATTTCTTTTGAGTATTCCTCTACTAGATCCTTCACGTCAGTATGGAGTATTTGGAGGTCCTTCAGTACGGCGATTGGATTAGTGTCGCATGGGAGTATTGATCCGGGATTCTCAGTGTCGAGGGTGCGAGAAAGATATTGGTCTAGATGCTTGAGATCAAGGGGTGTCTCCCTACGAACGGCCTGTAAGATCTCAAGACAAGCTAATGTGAGGTTGCGTAATTGAAGGCCTTCCTGGCTTGCGACACTCCGAAGGACCATTTCTGGATATGCCAGGTATAGGTCTTTTGTTCTTCGGTTGATATCGACCAAGTTGTAGAGGGTCTTAGGATCCAGGTTTGCCATTACTCGAAATTGTAGTTCCGGAGGCAAGTTGGATAGGGGAAATGTTCGCGTCGGTGCTTTCGGTGAAGGTTTCGAGCGGCGAGCCATTGCGAGAGGGTATTTAGGTTTCCTGTGATATTCAGCGTCGTAATGTGAGTTGCGGAGAGTGATTTGATGGATGACTGAGGGAGAGGGACTCATGGCATTCTATATATGTAATTGAGTTGGAGCCTCACAGCCTCACCCGAGGTCACGTTCCGGCCCCCATCGACAATATCCACCTGCAGATAATCAAGTCTCGAACAGCACTCTCTCAAAAGTACCCAACGCTCAGAAATCTACGAGTTATTCCAGGCCATGGCCGTCTGATATGATCCAGCAAACATACAGGCTGTTCGAGTTAATGACTTTTCATCTCTTTCGATTTTCAAAGAGCGTCTCCATAAAGTAACACTCGCGATAGCAAAAAAGTGTACAAATTCATGACCAGGTAACTTCTCAAACAATTTCCAGAGATAGAGTCGCCATTCCTGATTGGAGACATTTTAGGACAGATGAAGGAGACGACCTTGTGCTAATTAAATTACATCTCTATACCGACTACAGAGTGCCTCCGAGGCCACAAGGCTCGATCACTCTGCAACGTTCCTCTATATCTTAGCCCCAATTCGTCTCGACAAGTTCAGCTCTTGCCTGACAGCTAGATCAGAGATGATCTCCTCGCTCCCGCCTCCGACGACGAGCATACGCAAGTCTCTACCAATCTGTTCCACACTGCTACCAACACCGCCCTGCTGGTATCCAGCACCACCCAACACCTGTTGCGCCTCGCGGTTAGCAAGCTCCAGCATCCGCCCGCCCTGGACCTTTGCCAACGCAAGTCTACTCGCCAGGTCGTCCGTCCATCCATTGACCTTCACATGGTACGCGAGCTGCTCGAGCCATGCCCAATGCGATTCGACGTCTTTTGCAATGTTTGCAAATTTGGCGCGTATCACTTGGTTTGCAATCAACGGTTGACCAAACGTAACCCGTTCGTGGGCATATGCGAACGCAACGCTGAGGCACGTTCGAGTCTTTCGGTTCTGTTCCCACCCGTGCTGTTAGTCAATCAAATTCGCCCTTTGAGAATGCCCTGGCTTACCATTGTGACGGCGATCGAAAAGCGCTCCTTGTTGAAGTCTGCGTCGTTGTTAGCTATGATGAAGTAAGTTCGAAGTCTGCGAAGCTTACTGGACATTAGAACCTGAAATCCTCGGTTTTCTGTCCCAATAAGATTCTCCACAGGGACTTGAACGTTTTCCAAAGTTACCCAGGCGCTCCCTTCAAATCAATGTCAGTCATACTCTCGAAAGGTCCGTCTTTTTGGGTCTTACCTCCGGCATTTGCTCCCGTATTTTTGATCTTCTTTGTGGAGAATCCCGATGAGTTCGTTGGTATAACAAGCACAGAGACGCCAGCGGCTCCTGGACCACCTGTCCGGACTGCTGTTGTCATATGCGTGCTCGTCATAACACCGGTGATCCATTTCTACATAAAATCAGAGACGCGAGACATACTGCCACCAGAGTGACTGACCTTATAGCCGTTGACGATATAGTACTTGCCGCATTCTGACTTCACCGCCGTCGTCTTCAAGTTGGCCAAATCAGATCCGCCAGTAGGCTCTGTAGCCCCAAGGCAAAACACCGTCTGGCCAGTGAAGACACCAGGCAACCATGCATCTTTCTGCTTCTCCGTTCCGAATTTCACGATTGGAGGGGCTCCGATACCAGAAGCAGTAGAAAGACCAGCTAGCACTCCACTTTCTACCCGTGCTCGCTCATCTTGAAGCACCAGATCATGGAAGGGATCCCAATCTACAGCATTGTCAGCGTTCTATTCGTCATCTGGGACTAGAACGGGATTTTGCAACCTTCTTCTGATATCCCTGCGGGAAGGCTAACACCAGGACGATACTTCGCGGGGATGTTCTCTACGACGTCATTAGCACACCTAGAGCTGCATGATCGATGTATCAACGAACGGAATGCTAGGCCTGCTCGGGCGAACTTGATAGTTTCCTAATCATTCAAGAGTCAGCACTCATCCCAGAGTCTGCGTTGGCGAGCTTCAAAATACCTCTCGCGGAACCTCCCCCTTCTCCTCCCACTCCTCTGCGAAGTCTAATACATTCTCATTCATGTAGTCTCGCACAAATCGCCGTAGTTTCCGGTGGCTATCATTGTAATATGGCGATGAAAGAACGTTATACCATGCTGGCTCGGCCCATGGGTTTAGATCCCCAAAAGTCTCCGTTCTCTGGGATTTTCTTTGAGGCATATTATGATTGCTTTCAAAACGATGTTGAACGGTGAACAAACGTTTGACTGACTATTCGTAGATATTTACCTACTGCCAGATTGCCCCGAATTAGCAACTTAATGCTTACTGGCTCGCCTCGGTTTGGTTGTATGAGATTACGTGGGAATACTCTGACTCTCCCCTCAGCATTCTACCATCGCCTTGTCTTTCCCAAACGGACCTGCAGATACCCCATATTATACCCCGCGCCCCACATAGTTCCCGTTCCGGAGATCTAATTGTCCAAAGATATGTAAGAGCGCCGCAATCCTGGGTGCTTGCACCGGGGTTATTCTTCCGGTTGCACGCGGTAGCTGGCAACCTGACTGTACTCCCACTTATTCTTGGAAGGCCATTAATCAACGGGTCCCTGAAGCGCAATTTCTTCAAAACTCACAAGTACGCTGAAGAAAAGCTGCTTGATCTGCTATACGAGTTCCCGTCCAAAAGTACTCCTCGAACTGCCCGAACCCATCCACGTTATACGCCACATAGGAATATACTAGTCAGAACCATAATTCGGGGCTTTGATACTTTGAATTAGCATTTGCATCCTTTTCATAATGGTTCCCCGGATATACGAATCGATTTTCCCAGATGTTCACATTCCCACGAATCTCTCATTCCACCAGTTCCTCACGCGGTATAACCCCGAAGATGTTGCTGCGGACAAGGTCGTATGGGAAGAGTCGGACACAGGGCGGACATTGTCATATGGTGGTGTCCGAGACGAAGCTGCTATAGGAGCCGCTTGCCTCACCGGCGCTCTGGGGCTGCACCCAGGAGATGTTGTCGCAATATATGCGCCCAACAGCATCAGCTATGCTATTGCCACTCATGCAGTGATATGGTTCGGTGGAGTCATAGCGTAAGTTATATCTTGGAGTATTGAGAGATTGTGATAGCTAACTTATCCATTTCAACAGAGGCATCAACCCAATGACTTCACCTTACGATTTGGTCCACTATTTGGCCTCTTGCGAGCCAAAGGCTATCATCACTGTCCCAGATTTACGAGGCCAAGTTGTTCAAGCACTATCACAGAGCAAGAATCTCCCCTTTCAACCAAATATCATCATGCTTGATGAGACGTCCAATGCAATTGTATGTGCCCAGCGCCAACAGGCCACCGAACTGAATGCTAACATGCATCATCCAGTTTCCGGAGTTCTACGAGAAAAAGAACTATGGCCGCCATCAGATTCCTCCATTTGACCTCACCGGCCAAGACAATCGCAAGCATGTACCAGCAATCATGTTCAGGTAAAGACTTCCTTTCCTGAGAACATCAGTCCTAGCCCATTTAAATTATAACTGAGTAAATCATACATAGCTCCGGTACCAGCGGAAAACCCAAAGCAGTACAATGGAGTCACTTTTCAATGATTGCGCACCTCATAAACGTTCGAGCTTCGCAGCCGGAGCAGAACAATCGACTCACAAGAGAAGTTCTGTTTGTACCTTGTATGTTTGTCCTTTCAATTCTATTCCCCTATCGTGGCAGTTCTGCTAACCAGTGTAGTTGGTCACATGTTTGGTCTCGTTGCCGCCGTGCTCAACCCAACCCACACCGGTTCTCACGTCGTCATCATGAAGCAGTTCGAATATCTAAAGTACATTGAAGCTTCCGCGAGACTTCGGGCCACAATAATGAGAAGTAATCTAGCCTTTTCCTCATTATAATAGGCTTCAATCTAACCTCTCTAGTGGTCCCTCCCATAGCGTTGGCTATCGCTAAAGATCCTAACATATCGAAGTTCAACTTGACCAGTGTCCAAGTTATTATGTGTGCTGGGGCTACGCTCCAAGCCGAAGTAGTGAACAAGCTTCAAGCAATCATGGGTGGCTGCTACATCTTACAAGGTTACGGGTGAGAGCTCTCTATCCTCTATATCCACCTTCCAATGTGCTAATCATTGTTCTTTGGATGAACAGTTTGAGCGAAGCAGCTGTCTCGGCATTGAAACCGGCGAAAGCAACCGAGAGATCAGGATCAGTGGGAGTCATCTTTCCCAGCCAGTAAGTTAGCCCTACCGGCTCCAATTGCCTCTTCTAACCTCTTGCAGTAAGCTCCGTCTAGTGGACGACGATTTGAACGATGTCGACGTAGGACAGCCTGGAGAAGCTCTTGTCAAAGGCCCAACCGTATTCATGTAATCTACAACATCCCCTTCTCGAGATCGCCACACCCTAATAGACCCTAGGTCCTATAAAAACAACCCAGCCGCCACGAAAGAAGCTTTCCACGATGGATGGCTGCGGACGGGCGATGTTCTAAAAGTCGACGAAGACGGCTACCTCTGGTTCCTCGACAGAAAGAAGGAGATGATCAAATACAAGGGGTGCGCAACCCACTCCCTACTCGTTCAACTCAACAAGCCATCAGCTAACTCCTCCCAGCAACCAAGTCGCCCCCGCCGAGCTCGAAGACATCCTCAACTCGCACCCCTCGGTAGCCGAATCAGCTGTCTGCGGTATTTTTGACTCGTCGCAGCAAACCGAAGTCCCCGTCGGCTACGTATGCCTGAACGACTCCATCTCGGAATCCGAAAGGTCGAAAGTCCTACACGAGATCCGGCAGTGGGTGGACGGGATAGTCTCCCCAACGAAGAAACTGCGCGGCGGCGTGTTCTACATCGCGCAGATCCCGAAGAACCCGACGGGCAAGGTGCAACGGATGCTTCTCCCAGCCAGGGTGGAGGCTGCGGCGAAGATTGCTGCGGCGAACCGGCCTGCGAAGCTCTGACAGAGTGTAGTCACACTGGAATGGGGCACCTCAAGGCAGGCATGTATGCGTTATGTAGCGGCTCGAAGCAATACCAGATTTTACGCCCTTTTAGTCTTTCTCACCACTTCGCCTCCCACCCCCATCCAGCTCACCCCCCCATACCTGAAACGCCCCGTTCCACAAGCACCACCACCACACGCCGCGTGCCACGAGTACAATGTGACCGCTGTCAAATGGGCGCCACCGCGCTCCCAGGACCCGCGTTCGCCGCGTCCCGCTGCGGTGCGATGGTGTACCATAACGGCCGCCGGGGGGAGCTGGACCCGCGCCGGATCGGTGCTCTGTACCTCGTGGCACGCGGCGCCTTGGTGCTACGGCCGGAGATGGGAGTCGGGATAGGACAAATGGCGCCGGGTGATGGCTGAAGGATGGTGCTGGGACGACTGTTTTGTAACTCAGCTCGCGGACCCCACCCCTACCTCGATGGGGCGATGGGATCATCTCCTAGAAAAATCGTCAACTATTCTCCTGGATGAGACGTACGTGATCCCGGTTTCCTTTTCGTGCTAGGGGGTGTGGTTGTTGAGTTATGTGCGAAAACGTGGGCGGAGCGTCGAATGGAGGAAAAATTCGGGTTCTCTGGACTCAACACCTCAGGGTCTTTCTTGGCAGCCAAGACTTGCCAAACTGGTTGCGAGAGGGCAAAAGGAGGCGCGAGAGCGGGCGCGAGTGATGACGGGGATCGTTCGAGCTGAAGCAAGTAGCCAAATGCTGGTTCAGGATTCTCTACCTACTCTTATGCCGATTATGGACGTGTAGTCCTTGGACATTTTTCTTCCCCATCACCTCCCCAGTCCCTCTCGATCTTCCTCCCTCCCCAAACGTCCGCACTCCCCTCCCCTCCCCTCCCCCCACCCCCCCAGCAAGCTCCTCCGCTCCGCCGGCGGCCTCATATTCGCCTCCATCCACCCCCAGTCTCCATTTCCACACTTTCTGACCCCCCAACGCTCGAGTAGTTTAACCTCGCGTTTCGCACCGCGTCACATGTCACTACTCATCTGAAAGCGGGAGCTGTAGCACGCTCACTGTGGGCGCGCGCTGCCAGGATGCGGAAGTTTCTAGGGTTTAGCATCCTGTGGATGGGCTTGCGACAGTTGCCGAAAAGCAGAAGATAGGAGTGATGGTTTTCACGGGTGTCCCAAGGTGTGACGTGAGCCGTGGTTGATGGTGTCGGGATCAGTGGTTCGATAGCCCGTATATATCGATGATCTCGCAAAGCTAGTAAACTCGTCGGCCACCACCTCCAGCGGCGGCGGGACCATGTTGGTTCAGCTCAACACAGGCACATACAGTGGGCAGAAGTTTAGCAGCAGAGCATACTCGTACTATTGACTCAGCACTGTACCAAAGTATGAACCCCATTTCCACATTATCGACCGCAATCCCATACAATCCCCAAAAGGCTGCAATCTCTCCGCAGCTTCCCCAAAACCTCCGGTAGACCAGAAGGTATACCAAGCAAGTGCCAAGAAGCACTGATGATGAAAGAGCCTAGTCTCCATCCTAGCCATCGTGTGTAGAGTTGAAGCCCCGGATACGTCTAAGTGTACATTGAGAACAGAACACCGAACCGTTCATCCACCCCAACTTCAGCAACACCGAGGCATCGATTTGATTGTCATTCTAGGGGGTCGAAGAGGCATTGACGGAGGCAGAGCCGTTGGTAAGGGAGTGATAGGTATCGGTCCAAGTCGCATCGTCCATATCCATCAGAGACTGCTCGACTGTTTCCTCGGTACTGGCATGACTGGCTTCAGCTTCAGCCTGCATGAGCTCAATTCGAGCCTTGAGGACGGCGTTCTCCGAGATTGCGTGCTTGGTCTCCTTCCGGAAGACCTTGTTTTTGGCGAAGACCTCCTACGTTTTGAGCGGTTAGCCGTGGTCAGACTGGGGCATCTCAGGCCGTCTCAAATAGGTGTACACAAATGGCTTACGTTGATTAGCTCAATCCACCCTGCTTTCTGCTTAGCCCACTCTGCCTCCTTCTCAGTCCACTCTGCTGCCATATGAGTCGACTCAGCCTCCTGGAACGCTTCTTCCTGCTCGAGTTCAAGTTGTTGGAGTCTGGCACGAAGTTCGCCCTCGACACCCCCATGAGCCGCATTCTCAGACTTGAGGGTTCCATTCTCAGACTTGAGGGCCTCATTCTCAGACTTGAAGGACTTGATATCCTTCTTCGCGTTGAGCCAGTCCTGTGCAGGTCAGCAATGACCCATTGTGGGCAGTCTACAGGTGCTTACCTGGTAGACCCGTGCGAACTCGCCAGCCTGTAACTTGTACTTCTCGAGCTGACCGTCATACAAATCGGAGACCCGGTCGATCTCCTTCGCGCGTTTGGCTAGTTCGGTGCGCATGGATGCGTTCTCCTTCTCGAGATTCTGCTTCGATGCAAGAAGGCTCGTAATCGTGGCGGAGAGGCTCTCGCAGGTCCTATTGCTCTTCTCGGCATTTGCCTGGAGCTCTCTGATGTCAGCGTGGCATTCGTGCAACTCGCTCTTCAGGAGCCCTCTGATCAACGTTGAACGCGAAAGCTTCTCACTTGCCCCAGCCATTTCGATCATTTTAGCACCAGACTCGGCCCTGTATTCGTTGAAGGCCTTCTGTTGGCCCAAGATGACGTCGTTCTGCAGAGACAGCTTCCGCTGATAGGACTCGATCTCAGCAAATGAGGTTCTCATCGTCTCCTGGATGACTGCTTGGAGCTGGAACTTTTGGTTCTCCTTCTGGGTACTGAGGAAGGAGTGCGTGTGGGTGTCGAGTTCCGTGGCAAGGCGGGAGAGCTCCGCGATCTCAAACGACATCTTATCAGCCGCGTTGAGCGCGTCTGCATGACTCTGCTGTTTGATGGCTTGGTGAAGTTCGTCATGCAAAGCGCGAAGCTTTGTCATTACGGCCGAAACTTGCTTCTCGTAGCTCATGTTGTGTTTCGAAACCTCCGTATCAAAGACCGCTTCGAACTTCACAACGTGGGCCGAGGGGCCTTCGAAGGTGGTGAAGGCGTCCATACTAGATCGTGTATTAGCGGTGACAGGAAGAGGATGAGGCGGAAACTCACCTGTGTGCAGAGAGGATGTGTAGAGTCGATGAGATGAAGTGGAAGAAACGTGAAGTCGGCCGGCAGGAGCGAGATAAACAACATCACCTTGACGTTTTAGGCGTGCCCGTGACTGCCCAACTAAATACAACGTCGCCTGAGGTGCCCCAGCCGGATAACGGACTGTGCAAAGTGATGGAGTCCACCTTTGAAGAGTACACTGAAGCCTCTCATGCGGCGGCAAGAAGGTGCACACCCTGACGTTTCGAGCTCCTTTACTCGTGGCAGTAAAGAAGAGAGCGCAAAATGAGATTCATACGGCGCTCAGGAGAGTGTGGTCTCCCGACACTCACTCTGCATGAGGTGCACAGAGATTGATGACGATAATGAAGGCGCAAGGCGTTCTTACACATCTGCATATACTCTTCTGCTGGTGTTTGAAGCCCCTCGATACATTATCGAAATCTGGACAAGGCTACCTCAAAGAGCAGAACTCAGGTCTACACGGAGCGCACGTGAGCCAACGCTCCAGATTTCCGAACATATTGAAGCACCGCACCACAGGCAGTAATGGAAGAGTGTACGCAAATCGGTCGAGACAATGAGGCGACTCATCCGTATATTTTCGAGCCGTATAGCAGTCCACTGCCTTGTCATAAGTGTGCATACTCTTCTATGACTACCTGCCATGCTTCAAGTTTGGAAATCTACGTGTTATCCTAGGTTACAACCGTCTGAGGTGGCCTAAGTCTACAGGCCATTCAGAGCAAGCAGAGAACATAGCGTCGCCCGGCATCAACGTATTGCGGACTGCTCTAACGTTTCAATTCTTTTTAGAGATAAGAGAGAAAAATGCACGATACTACAGAATCATACTTTCCTAAGCACAAACTGCCTGGCACTTATCTTCCTACCTTGCGGTGATCAAAAAACGCCTCGTGGGTACCAATTGCGGCGAAGAAGCTTATTTGGACGTCGCAACGTCTCGCGCCCTGCACCGATATTTCAGAACCAAAGGGACAGAAGAGCTGAAGGATGTCACCCACCGTATACGCCTCGATGTCACTGGTTACTTGAGGGCGGTCGTCCAGGGCGGCTCATAACGCCGTGCCATCAACTGTGAAGTAATGCAAGGCAAGCTTTTTTCCGTGTCTCGGACCCCGGACGACTAATGGAGCCTCCCGAATCGCCGCACGAGTCGCTCGTCGTGGTGACACAAAAACCGCGAGAGGGTTGGGTGGGTTCATTAGCAGGCGACGAAGGGTGATGGAGGTCAGTGCCACGAGTCGCCGGATCGTCGAGATGAGCGCGAAGTCCGGGCGCGCTTGAAGGTGAGATGAATTGCCGTTGTACAGGTACAGGGAGCAAATAAGGTTGCTCGAGGACGCAGGATTGGCTCTGGCGGAGAACATGGTGCGCTGCCCATGGCAATGCCGCGTCTTACAACATTACAGGCCCCATTCTCTCGAGTGCTGGGACACGGACACGGTGACCGAAGGCAGGGCTGGGAAGTAGATTAAAATGCTGCAGTGCTACGGAGCACTGCTGCCACGCAGGCATCAGGCAAAACGGAGGGCCACGGAGGGCCACGGAGGCCGTGGGTCGTGGATAGGGGAGGGCGTGTTCTTGGTGGCTGCTCGAGGGCCATCTCCTTGTTTGTGTCCGCCGGCCTCGATGCTCACGACGCAAAACTCAGGCAGAGGCGTGGTGCAGAGGCGTGGTGCAGAGGCGCAAGAGGTGACGGCGTCCCAACCCTTGTTTCACCAGGATGGCCCCGTCCCGCCCCGGTCGAGTCGCACATCTGGGTCGCGATGGCGCACAGTGCGTAGATGGCGTGCCCGGCCGGCCACGAAGGATGCGTGGTGGGGCGGAGGGACTGAGATGCCTCCAAGCCTGGCGGAGGCTGGCGCAGTGGGCTTGTGGGCGAGTCTGCGGTGGAAAAAGCACCGGCTGGCACCGCTGCTGGCACCGCAAGACTGGGCGGTTGCAGTTATGTAACATGCAGACACGGGCTAACCGTCGCGAGAAGGTTGACAACCAGGGCGGGTCGCTAGCCGAAGACGGTTCGTGAGGATGGCGATGCTCCAGCCCGACACGAGGCGAGAGCGGGCCGCCAGGCTTCATGGGACGCACCAGGCGTTTGCAGCCGATGACAGACCGGGGATCCCGTCGCTGGCTGCCGCGGGCCTGGCGGTGTCTGTCTCTCCGGGGCTGCTAGCCTGCTGCGGTTGTGGGCGAACCCGCCGAAGCGGTGTAGTCGGGCGTGCTGGGTGGGTTTGGCCCAGCATCGCCAGCACTCGCCTGCCTCAAGCCACTCGCAGGCAATGAAACAAGGCAGCTGGAGCTAGCCGTGCGGTTCCCTCTGCTCGGGCCGGTTGCATGGGAGCGCGTGCCGCCGCCGAAAGCCTAAGAGCCGTGGGATCCTCCGCGAACGCTCAGCGCAGCGAGGCCATTCCTCCTCCATACCTACTAATCTTATCGTGCACCCCTCCCCGAATCCTTCGACCGCCTGTCCCAGAGCACGGCCGCCTCGACGCACTTTTTCGTCTCCTGGCCGCCTCCCAGAGCCCCTGGAGCGCAAGACATTCGAGTGTCTCCTGTGCGCCGCCCGCAGCACGCACGCCGCCCGCCGCTGCGACATTGCCCACCGCCGCCAAGCCTCGCTCCGTCTCGCCTTGCTCTCCCGCTCTTGCTCTCCCGCTCTTGCTCTCCCGCTACTCGTCCGCCTCGCCAATCGCTCCACCCCGACTCCCCGAGCTACCGGCCTGCAACACTATTCTTAACGGCTTCAGTCCGCCTCTCCTTGCCTACTCGGCTCGTCTCTCCTTCGGTACTATTCCTGCTGTTGTCCTGCTACTGTTTGTCCGCACCATGCGCTGACTGCCCTCCCTAGTCCCCGCCGCCGTCGACCCTGCCCGCTCCTTCTCGCTGCTCACCGTGCCACTTTTTTTGACCACCAGCCCGCGTAATTCATGGCCCCAGGAATAATGTGTTTTGGCAAGAAACCCGACGACCCAGACTCCAGGAAGAATGAAGAGATCGAGAAGGGCCTGCGCGCCGACAGGAAGCGCCAGGAGCGCGAGGTCAAGCTGCTGCTGCTGGGTACGTGCCCGTCGAGAAACTGCCTTGTCTGCCATCCAAACTGACTACGCCCTGTGTAGGAGCTGGAGAGAGTGGCAAGTCTACCGTGCTCAAGCAGATGCGAGTGATACACGCCGGCGGATTCAGCAAAACCGAGCGAAAGCAATGGCGCGCCATAATATTCAACAATCTGGTCACTGCCTACCAGACCATCTTCTCCGCCATGCAAGAGCAAGAGACCAACTTCGAAGACGAGGACAATGAGGTGCATGCTGGCCCAGATTGGACATGCCTCTTTGCTGACAATTGCTCTGCAGGCGTACGCAAACCTCATAAACGCCGACCCAGAGATTGGCCAGGAAGATCCGATGCCTCTGGAATGTCTGACTGCCTTCAACAACCTATGGGCCGACAAAGGAGTGCAGCTGGCAATCCTCAAGGGCAACCAATACGCGCTGCACGACAATCTCAGCTAGTATATTTCCCGTACGAGCGTCTTGTTCAACGCTGACCCCACATAGCTTCATTGGCGACATGGACCGCCTTTTCGCCAAAGACTACATGCCCACCGATCAAGATATATTACGAACTAGGCTAAGGACAACGGGAATCACGGAAACGATATTCGACCTCGGAAACCTGACATACCGCATGTTCGATGTTGGTGGTCAACGGTCAGAGCGGAAAAAGTGGATACACGTCTTTGACAATGTGCAAGTTGTGCTCTTTTTGGTCGCTATCAGTGGCTACGACCATGTTCTAGTGGAAGATCGGAACGGGGTAGGCTGCAATGCGCGAACCTCGCTACAATTTGACGCTGACTACACACATAGAACCAAATGCACGAGGCCCTCATGCTGTTCGAATCGATATCGAATTCGAGGTACTTCGAGAAGTCGGCCCTGATCCTTTTCCTCAACAAGATCGATCTATTCAGGGAGAAGATATCCAGTGGCATGAGCCCCATCCACAAGATATTCCCAGACTACACGGGCAAAATTACCGACATTGAGGCCGGCCAGGAGTTCTTCGCAAACAAGTTTAGAAACCTTGTGCGGCAACCGAAGAAGGAAGTCTACGTACATTACACCAACGCGACCGATACCGATTTGCTCAAAAAGACCATGGCTTCAGTGCAAGATATGATTGTACAGCGAAACCTCAACGCGCTGATACTGTGAGTCGGCTTATAAGCATCTTGTTGGTTACGTTTCTTCGAAAATCTCAAATATCTGGCCACGCCTTGACCAACCAGACCGACTTAGGATTCCCGTATAACCACCGAATTTCCGAAGGCCCTGGAGCCATATCACACGGCACAGCGAGCCGAGGAACCCCCTTCGATCCCCGTTCTCAAGCGATCTGGTATGCGATTCGTCACTACCGCCGGACTCCGCTTCTTTATGTTGTTCGCTAGGGATGATGTGACGACTATTGGGTTAGGCGCGTTTGGATGATTTTAATAGCCTGCGCCGTTTGAGCGAGATGAGAAAGCAGAAATACCAGGTTGGCGCTTCTTAGCATTGGTGTCGGTTGTATTGAGATTTGAAAGGCATGCGGAGGCTATCTCTTCTTCTTCTTCCTCATGTGTATCCTATCGCCTACAGCGCTTGAACCAAAACGCGAGTGGCAGCCAGCCGCCCTAGACATTCAACCTAATGATCTGCATGAGAAGGTTATTACCGAATGGAGTGTTACCCTGAGGGCTCAATGCTATAGTTTCGCAGCTAGGCCGCTCAATACAGTGCACGTATTACTTTCATTCCCATAAACCTATTGAACGCCCGTCATGTGATAGGCATGTGATCCAAGAGTTCAATCTTGCAGAACAGAATGCCAAGAGATATCGCCAAGGAAAATCATTAGCGCCTCCTCGACTTCGCCGTCCTCGCCATCACAGCTTCAACGCCGACAAAGCACATCTCAACGCTCTTCCTCGCCCTCCTTCGAGTTGGTAATGTTTTCCCCCGCACTGGGCAGGGCTGTCCGCTCCACCTGCGCCATCTCTGCCGGCCCCGTTTGCAATGCGCGGGCAGCAACAGTCGCCTCCATAAGCGCTGCATCACAGCCCTTCTCCCGAAGACCGCATCAGCGACGACCGTCATCTTCAAAGGCCTCAATCCCCCCGGACGGAGCGAACGGCTCAAGCTCACCTCAGCAGACAGCTACAACGCCTGCCGCGAGGTCCCCGGGGAAGAAACTCGCTGCACGTGGTGGCCGGAAGAGAGCCTCGCCATCTCTTCTAAACGTGCCTCATGTGCCACCTACAGATCACCTTCAACAGTTAGGTTCGTTGCTACTTGGCGCCTTTCAATGTTGAAATTGAGCTAACGTTCCCCAGATGTGAAGATATCTTCCTTCTTTTCCCTTCACCGCCCCATATCTGTCACAACACCTATTCCTCCAACAACCACCGAGGCCTCCTTCGGCGCGATATTCGAGCCGCGACTGTTGAACAACCGGAATAAATTCATCGATGTCCTGAACACCCTCTCACATGGCGTAGAAACTTTAGAAGCAGCGGCGTACGGCAACGAAGAGAGCGATCTACGCGCGGAAATACTACACCACTCTGCGTCAAACTCGGGCGATATCATGCATCTCGATGAACTCCCTCAGGACAAGATTGATCGAATGATATCCCAGCTCATTCCTTTCAACCCTCCGCCCGCACCGGTACCTTTCGGCGAAGCGCAGGCGGCAAAGAAGGTATCATCAAAGGACCAGAGTCAAGATGTTGCCACGGCACAAATCTCGAAAACAAAACAGAAAGCATGGACTACTACTGTTGTAGTCACCGAGTCGACAGACGCTACGGGAGAGCGGACCTACTCGGCCTCCACTTCCCCGATGGTTGAGATACAAGTCCCTGAAGAAAGGTCAGAGCAGTCTAGCGAGGTCGGGATCCGCCAGCCATTCCTCCATCGTATGGGAATACGAGAACGGGCATATACCCAGTATCTTGACGATATGGCGAGCAAGAAGCGGGGTTCCTTTTTGCTGATCAGCACTAAGAGGCGGAGATCATTGAAGATGAAGAAGCACAAATACAAGAAGCTGATGAAAAGAACCCGCCTATTGCGTAGAAAGCTGGATCGAACATAAAGCATGGTAAATGCTGTTGCTTCAAGTCGGCTCTTTTCGGAACTATATTTTCCTTTTTGTTCTCCCCATAGCCTTGGCCGTCCGATCACGAACTCTCAAGTCGTTCACGATCAGCTCTTCAATAGCCTCTAGCATAGTTTTGGGTGCATAATGGTGCTAGCCTTGGCACTGGCGGTTTCCTCGCTATATCACACTCAAATATCATCCCGAGTCCCTCCGCTTTCCTGCATAGCGTCTAAATATCCACAATCGCATCTGAATGTTTACACTTTGATCTTACGATAGGCCATGATATGTAGTTGAGTGTCTCGGGTCGCATGTTGGGGCAACCCCTCCTCATGGCGGCTAATGTCGATGCTAGAAAGCATGAAACTGTCTTGCGACTCCAAGGGTCGCAACCCGCCACCCGGACTCGACGCGAACACGACCTATATCCCTCGACAACCTCGGAACCGGTCTTAACTGTCCGTATTAAGTTGTTCCGATGTCGCAGACTGCAAATCATAGTATGGCCAGCGCGGCACCATGGTCTTACCGCATAAGTTTCCTACATCGCTACCACCTGGCTCATAACATCGCGAGATTTTCCATCACTTGGCACCAAACCTCTTACTCCTCGCCTCCAAATGCCTGGGGCACGAGACAGGAGTGAATAGTGGCGCCTGAATTTCGATGGGTGTACAGCTTGAAGATGTATAAGATGGCAGTAACCCGCAGGCGGGTAAAGTCCAGCAACTAGCTCTTACAGTTCTCGACCACTTCACATTCATTTGTTCTGTTATCTCGTCGTTCTTTCTTTCGTACCCTACATTCTTTATCCGCCGGTCGGTCGTTTACTCTTGAGCTAGTCTCTCTTTTAGCATATACTACGATTACGCTTCACGACTTTGCTGTATATATATTATCACAATGTTCTCGCGTACCATTCTCATTGCGACCTTAGCGGCTATGGCATAGGCTCGGTAAGACTCATAATGCTTCAAGTATGTCTTCCTCGCTAACGAAAAGTAGCTTTGGCCAAGAACAAATCCCCATCGCTGCAATTGCAGCCGTGAAGGGTGGAAGTCCAGGACAAGCTGCCACGATTGCCGGCGCCGCCATTAGTGATCTGCTAGGTGCCGCAAATGCCTGCGCAAAGGTAAGTCTCAAACCTATCACATTATCCACCCAGCTCTGACAAACACCAGCTCTCCCGCGCCGACCAAATCATCACCGAGCTTGGCACTGGCGCCGACTCAATCGCCGCAGCTATTGGCATGGTGACCGCAGAGAAGAACTTCAACAACTTCGTCACGGATATCCCTACCATCTGCGATGATCCCACGCTCCCGGCCTCTAAGCAGCTTCGCGGAATCACCCCCTTGATTGACCCTGGAGTTGGTGGATCTGATATCGCCAATGCTCTCTCTGCCTCCTCTGCCAAAGCGCCGCTTGATGCCACTGGAAAGAGTATCGCGGACCTCCTTACCGCTAATGGCTTCACGAACTTCACGGGTCAAGCGGCTGATGGCGCTGCGCCTGCGGCTGGCGGAAATGCTGGCAATGCGGCATCAAGTGTTGTCTCGAGTGCTGTGGCTGCCTCGTCGAGTGCTGTTGTTGGTACGTTATATCCAACCCCCTTAAATTCACACGACTAACCCATATCCCAGCCGACTGCGGCGCTGCCCCCGTCGCCGCAACCTCTACCGCCGCCGCCATATCCTCCGCCGTTGCAGTATCCTCCGCGGCAGCCGCCACATCCACATCCGCCCCAGCAACCTCCAACGTCCAAAAATCCACCATCGCCGGCCTCGATTTCGGCCTCTGCGTGCCAACCATCAAATTCGAAGGCGGGCTCGGCGGGCGCCCGGCGACTGAGTTCACCTTCCAGCTCATCGACCCGCTCGCGGGCAAAGGGCAGGAAGAAGCCCTGAACCCGAACATCATCACCAACCGCGTGTGCGACCAGCTGACGAATGTGTGCGAGGCGAACGCGGCGGCCAAGACGGCGTGCACGGCGGCCAAGGCGCAGATTTTAGCGCTGGGGACCAGGGATAAGAGCACGGCAGATGCGTGGAATACGGCGTTGGGGTTTGCGGGTACGGTGACGAATCCGGATGGGGGGCCGGCGAGCCCGGCAGTGAGTGCGAGTGCGGTGGCAGGGAGGAGGGGGGTTAGGTTTGAGGCGTAGAGGAATGGAGATGGCTTGGAGGGAGAGGAGGAGAGGGTATAAGAGATGGGGATGGGCGGGATGGGATGGTCGTTTGGGGGGATGAGGGGAGATGAGGAGAGATGAGGGGAGGCATGAAGAGAAGGAGCCGTTGACGGAAGTCTTACTGGCGAATCGCAGAAGTGAAGACGAGGGACTTGGATTCTTGTATGATTGAGGAAGAGGATGTGGGAGCGCACTACTAGTATTCTCAAAGACATAACTTTCAAAACGAACAGTAGAGCTTTTTACTCGACTTTGCAGACCTACCCTCACACCCCCATTTCACCAACCATTACCCCCCATCTCCATTTCCCTAAAGCGGTAGATTCCAGCGTAAACCCACAAAGCATAATCCCCACCACCCCCCGTCCATCACTATGGTACCACAACGCGCTGGGCCCAACGAAGTCATTCACCCATTTCGCTGGCGAACGGTCTCACCCTTCCGCCAAACCCACTTTACCCATCTCAGCCCCCATAAAACTCACGAAAGTCTAGACCCTCTATCTCGCTTCCCGGCCTACCCCTTCAATCCGCCCCCTTCTCTGTATCCGTCATCGATCCTAGCACAGATCCCCGCCAAATACGTTTCGCGAGCCGCCACCTAAACGAGCCCGAGGCGCTGGGGCTGGGTCCTCTCGACACCCTGTGGCCTCACGCGGTCTTCTGTACTGCAGAATTCACGTGAGTGCTGCGGGTCCATACAAGGGGGTAACCTGAGCGGGCTGCTCGTCCTCCCTGTCAGTTTCAGGGGGCATTATAGTAATATCCTAGGAAAATTAGTGCGGGTACGACTATAATGCCCCCTGAAACTGACAGGGAGGACGAGCAGCCCGCTCAGGTTACCCCCTTGTAGGATGATGCGCTGGGTTGTGTCGGGCGTGCAAAGTGCACAAGGATAGGTTGCTCACTTCCGGCACAAGTGCTAGGGTCATGGGGGTTGGGCATGAGGGTGCGGCGGTGTTTTAGTGTAATGAATGGTGTGGAGGTCCGCGGAGGACGGAAACGGGGTATTGGGGGGCGTGAAGTCCGGAGCTGGGATGCGGCTGGGGTGAGACGAGGGTGTGCGTTGGGGTGTAGGGGGGTTGGGGGTGTTTGGAGCTTGGGGGGAGGAGGGTTGGTAGTTTGGAGATGGGCTTGGATTGGTGCGTCTTGGTGGTTTGAAGGATAGTGCGAGGTTTCAGCTTCGAGATACTTGGGTTTCTATTTGGGATTAGAAGATGGGTAGACTCGCCGTACGTAGGAAAACCTCGTGCAAGTGGCAAGTTCAAAGATGAGAAGAGCAAACCTATCATCACAAACGTCATGCCGTACCCCCTTCGTAAGAAACTCACGCCACTCGTCTGTACCACAAGGTGTGTGCAGTACCCTTCCGATCTCAGATCATCCGGACAATTTCTCTGCTTTGCAGGATCGCATATCCGCCCGTACCCATACCCATGCCCATGCCCATGTTCAATCTAACCGTTCGTCGATCATCGTCGGCGCTCTCGGCAGTCTCGTGCCCCCTTTCGCCTTTCGATGACCGAATCGATATTTGCGATATTTTTCCTGTCTCGGCTCGGCGTACACCCCTTCTCGGGTTGTGTGCATCCTGGTGAAGTGGGTATGTGCTGCAGACGCGGGTAGCGGGCCGCTTCGGTACCGGGGACGGAAGGGGGATGTTGGGCCGGGAGGGTGGTCTGTTTGGTATCAGTTGGCGATGTGGCGGTGGGGATGGTTGGGTTGGGGAGAGACATTGTCTTCGCTTTTGAGAAGAGGAAGTATCTTGGAAGCGAGCGGGATTTGCGGAGTGGAAATGTGTTTGAGACATGCACAAAGGTAATATATTTGATGATCGCCTTACCTATCAATGTAGGAGCTGTATAGTAGTAGTATAGTGTGTGTCGTAGTGTTGTATGTTATTGCAAACCTAGGTATACGATTTTGCCACAAACGGACTCCCGCCGCTAAGCTAGTTACTCTATCCGAGCCCTTGAAGGTGCTCAGTCGCACTCAACCCTCGAACCGCTTCCCCATCACGCCACCTCATTTCTCACTTAATGGCCCTAACCAGTTCTCTCAAGTCTCCACCCTCAACCCACGGTGCCCCGGCACCTCCCCCGACACTTCCTAGCCCCCCACTGCTCGAACCTCCAGCACTAACGCCCCAGCCCTCTCCGACCTCTCCCACTACCCTCGCTGGCCGGCCGGCAACGACAGAGCCCGAGGGGATCACCATGTGAGATGGGATGATGGTGTTTGAGAGGATTTTGACGTTCTCTTTAACAATGGCGAAGGGCTGGATGACGACGTTTTCGCCGATGTGGACGTGGGAGGAGATGGAGATTGCGGAGATGGTTGAGCCGGGGCCTGGAGAGGGGTGGAGTTAGTGGATGGTCCTGGCAGTCGTGCGGATTTAGATATGACTCGTTGCTTCACATGAAGTTGCAATGACAACACACTACCTCGACTTTATAATGCTGACATAGAAATGGGAAGATTGAGAAATCGACCTTACCGACAAAGACATTGTCTCCGATTTTCATGGGATAGTAATGCACTGCGCCTCTGCTGACTCTGCTGGGAGGTTTTATCACACACCCGGTCGATATCACGGTGCAGCGGCCGATGCTGATGGATGTGGGTGGAGCTTCTGGTTTCGATGAGCTGGTGCTAGATGGCATAGCTCGGGTTGGGTGAAGGTCTCCTCGAAGATGCACATCGGATTGGATGACGGTGCGGCCACCGAGGGTGATGTTGGCGGTTCCAGTGATGGCGGCACGGCGGGAGACTTTGTTGCCCGAGTCCTAGGGTGTGGATATGAGCTGTGATGTCATTGCGGCTATCCATGATATGTTTTGATTGGCCTGAAAAGAAGTAAATGAGGCGAAAGGGCGTCAGACTTCGTGATGGATGATACCGTTTCGCGGAGTTGATGCTTTGCAACGAAAATAGTGAAGTTCGGAGAGTAAGAGACAACAGCTCATGAGGAATAACATAGACCATCGTGTTTATACACGGCTTGAGAAAGATTTGAGGACAAAATCTGGCACTGGTACCACAAGAAGCTCATAAACATACCGTCTCTATGTACTCGCCCTTCGGTGCCGGTCTACGCGTGGTAGGTCGAGACATCCTTAATACGCGCCTCTGGAGCAAGCAGACATAGGTTTGTGCCAATGAGCCAAACGAGCTTAAGGGCCTGCTTGACGGTTGATCTGTTAGGAAGATAGTGGCTGCAAAGGAGACCTGCAGGGGAGGTCGACGTCGCTGGAAGGCATAGCCGAGATCACGTGCGACATCATGGGCTTCAAGAATGTTCCACTATCCGCATATTGGGTGCGTAAGTGTTTGATAGCCAAGGGTTCTGGCACAGACATGTAAAAGATGGAGTCGTTGGATTCTACGACTACGAGAAGGCTTATTGTTTGTCCTCCGAGGGCACTAAGACTTCGCCCAGGAGGTTCTTTGCAGTCCATCGATGCATAGAGCTCTAAAGCCATTGATGCACCAATATACTCCCAATCCTTGTGAGTCTGTTGGTGTGTATATATACTTAGCCGTGGAATGTTGAAGTGGAATCCAGCTGACTTGAGAGGCGACGAAGAATATGCGCAGCCACAACGCCACATACCGCCACGAAAAGAATCTCGCGACAGAACCGTAGAGTAGAGCTCGGACTTCCGCAAAGTAGAAGGGAGAAAGTGTTATGTGAGCAATCCATCCTAGATCCACATGCACTCTACGAGGGCGCTCCATGGGGAGCAAACTCTGACCTTGGCAGTGTCGTCACATAGAGTGTATTTAAAGCAGCAAGATAGCCGTTTCAGGTGCCCAATGCAGCTTAGAGCTGGGTCCCTAAGGTGCTCTCCAGCTTGGCATCTGCAGGGCTGGGGCTGTGAGGCGGAGGCGTCCTGGGCATGGTCCACTGCGTACGTCGTCGGGCCTCAGCTGTGCCCTCAGCATACGAATCGCTCAGCCTCTTCTCTTCACACCTTGCGCTCTGACGCCAGCCCTATAACAACACCGCCGCCTCATACTCTCCAGCGTTCTGCTATCAATCCACGGCTGTGCTCGATCCAGTCCACTTTCGTTTCCCCTGGAACCGTCGCTACAACAAACACGCTGCTCTCATCGCTCACCGGAAAGCCCTCCTACCGCAGAGACTGCTTCTCCACCGCATCTCTGGCCCAAGATGGCCGCGAACGACTATTACAACGACCCCCCTCTCCGAATTAATCAACCTCTCCCACCCGACCCGCATCTTAACAACCCACTCCCACCAACGCCGCTCAGCACGAGTCCCCACCCTCGTCCTACCGGTGCAACGCCCATCTCGCCCGTAGCCTCGCCCTTCGACGATCACACATACCCAGACTACCCAACCACCTCGAGACCAACGCCCTCAAATTACGGAGATACTGGCTACCATGGTGCAGGAGGGGGATATCAACAAAACCCGTACCACGACAGCTCAGACCCCTTCACAGACCAGAATGCTATCCCGCTACACTCGCAGCAATCGCTGCAGGGGAAGATGGACGCCAGTCCTACACGATACAACGCAGATCCAGAATCACGCTTTCCTCGGGAAAAGAAGAAGAAGGGCTGGTTTAGCGGGAAGATAACATGGGTGGTGTACATCCTCACCACGGTGCAAATAGGCGTGTTCATTGGCGAATTGATAAAGAATGGTACATATTGGCTCTTTTTCTCCCCCAAACCTCCCAACCTCCAAACTTTACGTCTCTAGTACAAATACCCAAATATATCGCGCTAACACCCCCCCAGCCGTCCTCACCAAATCCCCCATCGAAATCCACCCCCAATTCAACATCATGATCGGCCCCTCGCCATACGTCCTCATCAACATGGGCGCCCGCTTCACCCCCTGCATGCACAACGTGCACAATGTGACCGACTTCCAGCTCGAGCTGCCCTGGCAATGCCCCAACTCCACCACCAACAACGCCGAGTGCACCCTATCCCAGCTCTGCGGCTTCGGCGGCGTCCCCTACCAGAAGCCCGGCACGCCCCTCTCCGACCGCTCGCACGAGCCAGACCAATGGTTCCGCTTCATCGTGCCCATGTTCCTGCACGCCGGCATCATCCACATCGGCTTCAATATGCTGCTCCAGCTGACCCTCGGCCGCGACATGGAGCGAGAGATCGGCTCCCTGCGCTTCGCCGTCGTCTACTTCAGCAGCGGCATCTTCGGCTTCGTCCTCGGCGGCAACTACGCCGCGCCCAGCATCTCCTCCACCGGCGCATCGGGCTCCCTGTTCGGCATCATCGCGCTCGTGCTGCTAGATCTGTTCTACAATTGGTCTACGCGGCGCAGCCCCGTCAAAGACCTCCTCTTCATCCTCCTTGACATCGCCATCTCCTTCGTCCTCGGCCTCCTCCCGGGCCTCGACAACTTCTCCCACATCGGCGGCTTCCTCTGCGGCCTCGTGCTGGGCATCTGCCTGCTGCGCTCGCCGCCGGCGCTGCGCGAGCGCGTGGGTGCAGATGAGCCGCCCTACGCGGCCGTCGACACGATGCCCCTCGTCGACGGCGAGGGTGGCGGCATCAAAAAGTTCGCGAAGCAGCCGCTCGGTTTCTTCAAGGGGCGCAAGCCGTTCTGGTGGGCGTGGTGGTTGTTCCGCGCTGGGTGTCTGACCGGCGTGATCGTGGGCTTTATCCTCCTCTTGAAGAACTTCTACGTCTGGCGGAACGAGTGCTCGTGGTGTAAACATCTTTCGTGCTTGGTAAGTTTCCCCTCCACCCTCGTCCTCCCGCGACAAGGGCTGGATTCTGTTCGCTCAAAGCTAATTTCCTGTCTCAGCCTGTAAGCAACTGGTGCGACATTGGCGCCATCCGCCCCGAAATCGTCACCACAAACACCACCAGCAGGCGCGATCTTTTCGGCCTCGATGGCCTCGCGTCCCTGCCTCTCGGTGCCTTTTAGTATATTTAAGCGGCATTAGCCTATCATAATAAATCTCATTTCTATTAGCAAGCACGTACGCACGCACATCCAACGCAGGCACAAAACTTGGGAACCTTCTTCTTTCAACGGCGTTGGATACCAGGTGCTTATGGATAGCATAGCCCCATTCGGCGTTCATGGCATCATATTTGGGATATTGAGTAGAATTAGCCTGTTGCTGGGGGCGGATACTAGATTCGAGATTGATGACTTGCAACGTTTTGCTGTTCGGCATTGAAATGGCGATGATGAAACACACCACATTTGAGAGTTGGTTGTGGGGTTTTTCTGGACATCACGGCAGATTGAGTCAGGCAAAGGGAATGGATATACTACCTAGTAGATTTTGTTGGAGCTCAGATGCTACCTTATGTTGGAGTGATTTTGTGACCTGACCATAGTGTGATCCTTGTGGGGGGAAATGTAGGGCAGTGCTTTCATGAGATCATATCGCAGAAAGGAGTAGTGTAGGGAAATGAGAAGAAGGCAAAGGAAAGTAGGGCCATATTGCCATGAGTATGTGAAAGAAAAGAGATGAGGATATAAAGCAAAGCTGAAAGAAAAGACCAAAGTGTTTAACTTCTCCCAGTCTCATACCTCGTTGATCCACCACTGAGAGCGGCAAGCCGGTGTACGCACGTATGACTGGAAGGTATCATATGAGGGGTAAAGTCGAGTGGTGACAGAAAATGAAATGGGTTTGAAAGCAAAGTGGAATGCATGTGTTCAATCTTGACCAGTCTCTCATACAGCGCTGAGCCACTACGGAGAGCGGTGGGCCTATGTGCGCACGTATGACCAAATGGGATACCGCAACATATCATGTGAGGGAGCAGGTCGAGTCGTGACCAAGTGAGATTGCCTTGAGCTTGAGGTCCCGAACCAGAGTCCTCAAATGGTCCACTTCAGATAGTCCAGCTCCGAGCCCGGTTCCACCCAGTCGGGAGGTTTGGTCGACTCGTATTGGTTGTACCCCACGGGAATCGGCTGCTTCTCAACTTGGAACTTCTCTTTGGTAATAGGATGCTCGAACTCTTCGATTTCAGGATTTTCGTGTGGGACATGGTCGGGGCGGATGGTGTAAGTTGCTCCCAAAAAGCCACCGGATAGTTCATCAAGAGCCTGAGTGAACTTGTCACTCTTCGAAAGATGACAACGGCTGTTCGGGGCCTCGGCATGCGCAATCAATGCTGCGCTAGATTTGAAAATCTTGCAGCATGATGGGCAGCGTTGATCTCTCATACGGTGAATGCTTAGGATGTGATTTTCCAGGTCGAAGTCATTCGCGAATTTTTCCCTGTTGAGGCAGTTAGCAGTCTTTCGATTCACAATGGCCCCACGAAACTTACTCGCAGTGAGGGAACGGACATTGATAGGTCATGAGGATAGGATGGTAGAATCGTTTCGGGTCAAAGTCCTTGCAAGTAGGATCCCAGAACCTATCTTTGAATAGGTTGATCTCATTGTTTTCATCGACCAAGTCACGCGCTCTTAATTTGTACTTCCATGCATCGGTAGGCGGTGTCTCCTTGGCTTTCGGGAAGAGTGCTTTTGTGACTCCAGGGCCAGACCAAGGATTCTGAGGCGCGATAGCATCTGGACCAGCGACCTTGGAAACAACACCTGGCTGGGCAGCTTCAGAAAGACGCATGTTAGCAGCACTAGTCGTCAGGCTGTCCATTGCGCGTTGTCCCTCAGGCTTCGACGATGGCAAGGCAGGGAAGCTCTCCCCAAGTCGGGGTGCATTGACCGATCCGAGTGTCTTCTCTGGCTCCAGAGCTTCATATTCAAGCCTGGGGCCCTGGCTGTCATCGAGCAGAGCAACACCCCCCCCCTCGTCGTCATCCTGGGCCGCTTCTTCATAGCCTGCGAGGGCATTGATCTTGGCTAGCTGCTCCGGGGACTTCAGAAGCTTGCTGACGATAGTTTTGTGTGCCAGATGCCCAGAAAACTGAGCGGCACTGATCTTCGGGCACTGTCCTTTCTCAAGATGATCAATCATGCGCGATGCTCGTGGGAATGTTTCGCCGCACCCGATGCACGGGACATTCTGATCAACTGGGTGCGACTTCTCACAAGTTAGCTCATAATTCTTAGTACGAGCTTTTAGGATGTGAACTTACAGCCTCGAGATGGCGTTTCATTCCGCTAATTGAGCCAAACTCCTCCCCGCAAACTCTGCAAGCCGCCGGATGTTGTAGAGGCTCCTCCGATTTGTGTTTGACGTAGGCTGCCCAATCTGGGAAGTCTTTGTCGCACTTATAACAGTAGTCGTGATCATCCCGATACTTCTTATGGCGTCTCAGCTCTTTCGCCGTCTTGAACCTCTGGTTGCAGGGCTGACCAGTCTCGAGGTCCTTGTAACCTGTGCATTGGAACTCGTGAGAGGCGGCGAAGCCCGTCTCGTTTTCGCTGGCCATGATGGCTGTGAATGTAAATGTTAAAGGAGGTTTGGTGGTGATGTAAGGAGGGTGGATCTAGCAACCTGGCTGGAGGAAGGGAGGCTTTGGCCTGGTAAGCTAGGAGCCTGTTAGGCTGTAAGCGATCGAATGAAGTGGAATAAGAGATGAGGCTTAGTGAAAGGCTACTTGCCTTTGTAACGTGACTGTTAGTCAACGGAGGCCGCTATGTTCACGCCGCGGCTAGAACAGAACAGGCCGACTTTCTCAGTGTCAGTTGAACTGTCCAGACGCTTGAGGGCGAGGGGCGATCTTCATGAAGAAGGAAGGTTGAGCTGAATAGAAGCCCAAGAGGATGAATAGATGAAAGGTGAAGTTGGTAAAGTGGAAGAGGAAGTGAGGTCGACGTCTGGGTTGGATCGAATCTGGAAGTCGCGCTAAGGCCTACCTAATTTTGACGTCTCTTCCGCAATCTCGAAAGATACCGAATCTCAGGAAACGGTTGATTGGGCATGGAGCTGAGGTGAAGAATCAGATGTTCTGACACCGCCTCAGACACTGCGGTCTGCTCACACGTTACAGTTGTAGGTACTTATATCACCATTGTCTAGAGCACTCGCGAATAGACCACCACTAGGAAGGAAACGAGCAGAAAACACGTTAACTACGCGTATGTTAACTTGTGCTACTGCTCTGGCTATTGTACTATACCACGATTTCTTGGATGCTACAGGATATTAGTCTTCAACTACAGTGATTTCTTTATACCATGACGAAGTTACTTTGCATTTGATTACTTCAATTGGGGTTTCAATTTTTTTTATCAAGAACATTACTAGATTTGAATCCTCATACTACCAATGGTAGGACCATACATCCGCCACGAAGTAATTTTTGTCTCGTCGTCTAGAACCGCGAGTATGGAAGCCTGGACAGGTTAGACTAACCATCATAGGGACGCGGAGGACTCACCATTTACCCCTGAGCGTAATGACAGCCCAATCTCCCTTCTCGTCCGTCTCCTTTTCCACCTTAGTCGAGAAACTGATTGCGCTCATGATGCCATCGCCAAACTTCTCGTTCAACACAGCCTTATATGCATATCCATAGTTTTGCACGATCTCGAAGAGTCTGTAGATCAGAGGCTCTCTTGGAGGCATATCCAGCGTATGGCCGCGATCGGGGATGCCAGAAAGCTGCGACTCCAACTTCTCCGAGGGTATTCCGAGCAGCTCTGAGAGGCCTTTGATGTCCTCTGCCGACGCCTGCGCCTGTCCGTAGAACAGGGCTGCGACGGCGACTTCTTCACGGCCAATGTGCTTTGCAATGGCCTCAAAGGTCAAGTTCTTTTGCTTCTTTGCTTCGAAGAGGGTTGGGGAGGACTCTGGTAAGCGGGGGATGAGAGACGCCTGAGCACGTTAGCATGGTTCAAGGGGCCAGAAAGAAGAAAAGAACATCCACGCACATCTAACGTCACAATACGGTTGCCAGCCATCTTGGTGGGATGGAAGGCGCGTGCTTACTGGTGAGCTGTATATGATATCTGGGGACGAGTAAAGGTGGACGCGTAGGGTACAATTGCACGTCTTGCAAGTCTGGTGGAGATGGCAAAGGTAGACATATTGGCCGAGGAGAGGTGCTATATATACTGGCAGGCGGATCAATGGACGACTTGCAACAATGGAGGGGTCTACTTGTACGTGATGCGGGGAGGGCCCGAGAGATGACCGAATGCATGTCATCGATGGACGTCGGCACGCCGAGAGGATCATCGGCACGGCATTCCTGGGCTGACTACTTTTGACTGACGGGATTAGTTGCTTGTTATCTCTCGGGCCGCGAGGTCTAGAGCAGCTTCTCCGCGGTGATTACAGTAGCTTTGGCGATGAGCTACTATTAACTAAAGGGGGTTGATAATCTCACACCCCCTCCCCTCTTGGCGCTTCACCACATTCTGATTGGCTCGGAGCAGTGCGGAGGAAGCTCCGGGCATTCACTTTTACGTCTCTCTACACGTGATGCTATACGCAAGGCCGTACGTGATGCTATACGTGAGGCCGTACGTGATGCTATACACGAGCTCACGTACAGCTATATAGCTATGCCGATTCGCATAGCCTCATATATAGCCTCAGGTACGAGCTCAAGTACGAGCTCACGTAGTCTAAGTCTAAGTATAAGTATAGAATAGAGTTCTATTCTAGAAGTGCCTACGTGCCTACAAGTATGCCAAATCCGTCAACCCCTCACCTTATTACGGCTCCTTTGCATCGAGCCTGGCCCCCTAGCATCGCCGCCTACACCTACTCTTCACCCT